CATCTATGTAACTAATTAAACCTGTAAAATCTTGCGATTTGTGTGATGCTTGGCTGGAGATATGATTCTCTACATCAACCTTGTGCACATCCAAATCCAAAAGAGAATAACCTTGTGCATATCCAAATCCAAAAGAGAATATATTGGTGTAATTTCGATTGGCGACATCTTAGTGATGAACTCTCGTCGAGATCGACCACAACTCTCGCGAATCTCGCCGTGGAACTCAATAAAGCATCGCTAATGTTAGTGGAGACGATGCGATATTGTGGATGCAAGACGAGGGTTTCCTTGTTGGAATAAGTTCATCTAAGGTCCCTTAACTTGTCAATAAATCCAATTTTCGTCCCTCAACCAGAAAACCAGACACAACGGGTCCCTCAACTACCAAAACCAGATTAGGTCCCTCGGCGGTTTTGAGGGCAGTTTTGGCTGACGTGGCACCTACGTGGCTAATTTAACTCGGTCTTCATCTGATGTGTCATTGACATGGCGCTTACGTGGCAATTTTGTCGCGACCGAGAAAATTTGCATTTTCCCGAACGCTAGTGTATTAATCCCCGTCCCAGGAAAAGCCGGGGTACACCACACAAACATGATATAAAAGACACATCTTTATTATATCGATAATATTTACATTATTACAAAGGCACTTCAGGCCTGACAAACAAAAATAAACAGCAGCGGACTAGCGGGCCTATGGCTCCATCTTCACAGGCGCTCAACTGGGGTATAAGCTAGGACTCCACCTAAGACTTCTTCTCCAAAGCTTCTCTTACTGAAGGGGGGAAAGATAGAGCAAGAATGAGTACAACCACAGTACTCAGCAAGTCACACCGGGAGATGCATGATTAATGCAAGGGGGTACAAGGGGATAATAATATGGGTTAAGTTTTGCAGTAAACAGCATTTAAAAGTCACTTAGTTGCCCAAAGCCATTTTAAAAAGACGATCCTAGAGCTACACAGTATTATTAATCAAGGCCGTGAACCCGCACGAACCTGCCTTAACCCAAGGCCTATGATGATTCAGACCGAACTGGCAACCTGACCCTAGGTCCCAGCTCGTCCCAAGCCAACCCAGGCCAACCATTCCACATTTTAGTTGTTAAGCAGGTTTTAAGAATTAAAACACTAACTTGGGTACATTGCTAGGCTTGCCCATAACCGAGGGCGCGGCTATTCGAATAGATTATACTCTGATCAGAGGTGTACATCTTTACCCACAAGACACGTCTTCCTCACGTGTAACCACGTGCCACATACCACCACGGCATACGGACGGAAGACGTGACATAGTTTCCAACCCATCCTAGCCATAGACAAGAGTGCCGACCCAACCCCACCTACGGCCGGAACCTCCGGGACAGGTAGGCAGGACTGAGCCCCTAGCAGCAGGACACCAGCCCTGTGCCATGACATCTCGACTACCGGGCCGCAGCTCGTGTAGCCTTCATTTGTCCTAGAGATGTCCATCGACCCCCGACTTCATCCATCTCCATCCGTGTACTTTTGTTTATAACCAGACTGAGCCACAAACTAAGCCTTACCCACTAGACATGTGGAAGTACGGTAGTGCTTTGCAACAGAGGCCCGAAGACCGGTCCTTATGTGGCCGAGGTGCTACTATCAAATCCATGCACCCCGAGCCTAGCCTAAAACCATTTTGAGGGTTTTGAATAGAGGGGGAGGTGTGAATCCAATTCCACAATAATCCAACCATTCCACAATGTCCAAGTGAAATGGATATTCCCAAAGTCTAGAGTTATAAAACCACCTAATGTTGCCTAATTAAACAGCGAAGCATCTACCTAAATTCATACTAGTGGTACTATGAATAGAGTACCCACTAGTTGGGGTTTTGTTTATTCTAGGGTGAACAAGGTAATAATAACAATAACAATAATAATAAGGTCATAGCAAAGGTAAATAGGCATGGCTAAATAAAACAGTGATAACGCGGGAATTTAAATAAAGCTATAATGCATTAATTCAAATAAAAATAATTTTATAAACTGGGATTCAATATATTCAAGGATGATGTGACTTGCCTTGCTCGCTTTCCCAAACGTCGGCTTCAACCTGCACGTAGAGCGGATCTTCCGAAGCTGCAGCGTCTACACGACCAACGGAAAGGAAAAAGGCTTTTACTCTAATAAACTCCATATAACAAGTAGGAACAAAGCACAAAAATGGGTTCTTGACTTCTTGAGGAAAAATTAGAGACTTGAACGGTCCAATTCCGAGTTCAAATGGCCAAGTTATGGCCATTTGAAGTTTATATGCTCTTTAAGTGAATATTTGCGAATTTCTTTATTTAAATTTTAATTTAAAAAGGATTTATTGCGTCAGCCGAGGAGAGGGGGCGCGCGGACCGGGTCCACGGGAGTGGGGCCCACGCGGCAGCCTCATGGTCCACGGTGGACCGGGCGCACCCGGGCTCACACCAGCCGGCGCCGTGGGCCCCACGCGTCAGCCGTACCCGAGGGCGCGGGCGGCTGACGGCTAGGCCCCACGCGGCGGCCACACAGTGCGCCCGGAGGCGGCCACGACGGTGCAGCCGGCGGGAGGCGGCGCCCGCGCCCCTATGGTCACCGGCGGCGGCCATAGGCACGGCGGAGCGGCGGCCGAGAGAGGGGAAGGGAAGGGAAGGGGGAAAAGAGGCGGCGGTCCACGGCTTACCCCGGGTCGACGGCGACGACAAAGGAGGCGGCCGGAGCGGAGGAAGGCGGCGGCGCGGCTCGGGTGGACTGGGACGATGGCGCTCCGGCGGTCGGCGAGCTCGGCGAGGTGGTGGACGGGGTCAGCGGCGATGCGACGAAGCCGGAGAAGGCGACGCCGAGGCGGGAGACGGTCCCGGCGAGCGGAGAGGGCCGGCCGGAGGTCGTCGGCGACAGAGGAGAGAGAGGACGACGGCGCGAGCTCGATTCTGGCGGGGAGACGGTGCGGCAAGTGGCGGAAACGGGCGAGAGAGGCGCGGGGAGGGTTTAAATAGGGTTGGGAGGGAGAGAGGGCGGCCGACGGGGAAGGAAACCGGCGCGGGAGGTCTGGCCGCCATCAATGGCGCCGGCGAGATTTGCGGGAGCAAATCCGGCCGTTTGAATGCGAGAGAGAGAGAGGGAGAAATGGGGGGAAAGGGGGAGGGGATCACGGGGAATAATTCCCCCCCCCCCACTTAATTGCACGCGGGGGCGGCGGGATGCGGCGGATTCGGCGGCGGCGGCGGCGGCGCTCGGCGCGGGCGGGGCGGCGAGAGCGGCGGGAGGACGGGGATGACGGGTGGGCCCCACCCGTAAGCGAGGGTGGCGGGCAGGCCCGCCCGTCAGCGGCACGCACGCGGGGAGAGACCGAATGGGCTGCGGGGGAGAGGAGAGAGAGGAAGGGAGATGGGTCGGATTCGGCCCATCCGAGGGGAGAGAGATTTTAGGGTTTTTCTTTTTATAAAAACCTTTTCAACTTTTTTTATTTCTTAATAATTATTATTTGTGCTCTGAAAATTTAAGTAAAATTTGAGGGCTCTTTTTAGACCAAGGAGAATTTAACAAAAATTCTCCGGGTCACATTCGAATTTTTCTTGTACGCATTTTAATGTTTGCCAATTTCTTTTTGAATTTTAATTAATTTTATTATTCCTTTTAGAGAATGATTTTTATTTCGGGATGAATTTATTAGGACGTGACAAATTTGATCCCAAAAATAATAAAAACCGTGGGTCCTACATGTCGGTCTCACATAGAAAATAATAATAAAAATAGTGGGACCCACGTGGGCCTGAGGGCACTCAACCGAGGCCGTAGAAACCAGAGGAGAACTGGAGAAAAACAAGATGCCACGCCTACGCTCCCGGCACGGGACGAACCCGAGAAACAAAGGAGAGAGAGACCTATCCACTCCTCCATGCGGCATCGCACCTCACTTCCCAGCCACTACTTACCAGTTGCCACCACCACTACCACCCACACCGAACTAACCTCGCCGTGGAAACCAAACCCCCGCGCCCGACCACCACCTCCCTCCTCCCACCTCTTCTTCTGGCCCCACCGCGCGCCGCGGCAGACCTCGGCACGGCGCGCGTGGCCGTACCATGCCGTGACGGCCGGAACCCGCCACCGCCTTGATCGCCGCGCATATGCACCCCATGGCCGTGGCAGTGGCCGCCGGAACAGCCGCCGTCTCATGCCCGCGCCTCGTCCCCGAGCGTATCCCCCTCTCCGCCTCCGTCGCCGTCACATGTGGCCGTGGCTGCGGGGTGGCGGTGAGGGCGCATGGCCAAAGCGCAACGCGTCGCGGAGAGAAGCTATGCGACGACCACGACGGCCATGGTGGATGCCAGTGCGGCGGCTGGTCGCAGCAGCGCCGAGGAGCGGCAACACGGGAAGGGGTCGTGGAGTGGAGTAGCCAGAAGGAGGTGGTGAGGGCGAGGAGCTCGCCCGCCGCCGCTCCTCCTCTGCTCCGCCCCGCCGGCCCGCGCCCGCCCGCTCGTCCACGCCTCGCCGCCGAGGTGCTGTCCCGCTCGTCGGCCTCCCCGCGCGCTCGCCGGCCTCCCCCGAGGGAGCACCCAAGATAGAGAGGAGTTAGCTCGAGCCGCCGCAGCCAGGGCCACCTCCCCCCGCCGATTCCTCTTCCGCCCTCAACCGCCGGAGCCGTGCCTCTGCCGCTGCGCGCCGCTCCCTCCTTTGGCCGCCGGCCGCCGCGTGCCGCTGCCTCTCCGTCGCCTGGAGAGAGAGGAGAGGAGAGAGATGAAGACAGGGGAGATGGGGAGAGAGGAAGAAGAAGATGAAGGGTGAGGATGACATGTGGGGCCCACGTGGGGCCCACTATTCCGGATCGAATTGCCACGTAAGCGCTACGTCAATGCCACGCCAGATGAAGACCTGAGTCAAATTAGCCACATAGGCGCCACGTCAGCCAAAACCACCCTTAAAACCACAAGGACCTAATCTGCACCGGTTTTAATAGTTGAGGGACCCAGTGTGTCTGGTTTTCTGGTTGAGGGACGAAAATCGGATTCGGATTCGTCGACAAGTTAAGAGACCTCATATGAACTTATTTCTTCCTTGTTTGGTTCGACCTCGATCGGGGTTGAGTGGGCTGTGGCGGTGAAATCGAGCCCAAATCGACAGTTGCAGCATGGTCCAAAGCGAGCCCAAAATCAACAAGAAGGCCGGCCCAAAGGCTGAGGCCCATGGACAGCTGCAGCCATCAAAGCCGCCCCACCAACACAACTCCCCACGAGGCCCCGAGCATATCATCGCCTTCGCCGCAAAGTCCCAACACTAGCGGCGACCGGCGAGGACTCCGGCGGCGACGTGGGTGGGACTGAGAAGCGCCGCCGCTGACACCAGCGAGACGAGGCGGCGACCTCCGTTGACGGTAACCTACCTACCAACCTCGCCATTCCTCTCCAAACTGTTGTGCTGCTGTCTAGATCTCCCACACTACACTAGTTACTCCTCGTAGATCTCGGCTACCTGGCTCAAGATCCGGGGTCAGATCCGGGTCCGGGGATTTTCTTTGTGCCCTATGGCTGTATTTTGGCGTCTGTGGCTGATGACAGCGTGTGTTCTCGAGTGCGGATGCAATCTGAGTTATATAGGCAAATGGCCTTGTCAACTCGGGCAGCGGCATTGCTTTGCTCAGTGTGTTTGAATGTGCTGAAATTCATGTAGTAGGCTGTAGGCTGTGCATTTCTTGATTTGCGTCTTGCATAATTCACTGGTGGATTTTCTAAACCTAACAAGTTTAAAATTAGACCATTCAACCAAAGACAGGAGGAATAAGTGAAGCTGTTGTAGTCACAGCTTATGGCCGATCCAAAATTTGTTAGGAATGTGAATATGTGATGCTACAAACATATCCTTGTAAGCTACCATGCTATTTATCATGTTCCATCATGGTGATTGGTGAGCACTCATGAAAAATTCAGATCCAAACCTAGTGTTACATGTGGATTTGTGCTCTGCAATCTATCGCCAGTAATAAAATGGTTGAGTGATCCAGCTACTACAAAATCACATTGCATACTTTTTTTTTTTGTAGATTATGCATCCTGGTTTTGGGTGGTGGGTTCCTGATGTCAGGAATATAAATTTAGCCTGCTGATTTAGGTAGCACTGCCGGTGCACACTTTGGTTTTTGAATACTTGTAGTCTTCCAGCTTCTTGTAGAACTGGTACAATGTGGGCCGTATATAAGAAGGGCTGTCAACTAGCACATGCTCACTAATTAGTCTAAACATTTATGTTTTTATTCATTCAGGTCAGGTGCAATCATAGAAGTAGTTAATGACAATACTTTAGTTGTTCTAATATTATTTATGTATGGACTCAAATTAACATGCAAAACATATGAGATTAGTGGCATGCATTCTTTTTCTTAATAGTGGAAAATACGAGATAATGATAACTGTGAAGCTCTGTTAGTACTCTTCATTACTCTATTTGAGTGGCAGCATATCTCATGCTAGCCATAAAGCAAGTTCTAGACGTATTCTGTTGTTAATTACTTGTAGCTATATAACCCAACCTAGTCATTCCAGCTTATGTCTCTTAGAGATCATGTTTATTAGCACCTCAAGATTTCCTCTGCACAGTATAGTAACTATCGAAAAAGATATTATTTCTTTGTTTTTAATTGACAACCTTCACGTGCTACTTATTTTTGCAGAGTAAATCTATAGGAAATGGCTGACGGTGAGGATATCCAGCCTCTTGTCTGTGACAATGGCACTGGAATGGTCAAGGTCAGGAACTTCATCTTTTAAACCATCTATCATCTCCAAGACTCCAACTGCATTTTTACCAATTTGAATTCCTTAAAATTTTGCAGGCTGGGTTTGCTGGAGATGATGCACCAAGGGCTGTTTTTCCTAGCATTGTTGGTCGTCCTCGCCACACTGGTGTCATGGTAGGGATGGGGCAGAAGGATGCATATGTTGGTGACGAAGCACAGTCCAAGAGAGGTATTCTCACGTTGAAGTACCCAATTGAGCATGGTATTGTAAGCAACTGGGATGACATGGAGAAGATCTGGCATCACACTTTCTATAATGAGCTTCGTGTTGCACCTGAGGAGCACCCTGTGTTGCTCACTGAAGCTCCCTTGAACCCCAAAGCCAACAGGGAGAAAATGACACAGATTATGTTTGAGACGTTCAATGTTCCTGCCATGTATGTTGCAATCCAAGCAGTGCTTTCACTCTATGCTAGTGGCCGAACAACAGGTATGTGATGTTTTACTTAACTTCTTTCTTTCCAATTTCTTGGTTCTTTTGCATCTATAGATTCATTTAGATGAGAGCTCGGATGATTAAGAACTATTCTTATACATTTTTAATGTTGGTCAGTAGGTGTTAGAATTATATTATCTATGCTCAATAATAGTCGTGCAATTATTTAATGTTGGTCAGTGCATATGGCTAATGCTGTTTTAATCAACAGGTATTGTTCTGGACTCGGGTGATGGTGTGAGCCATACTGTTCCCATCTATGAAGGATATGCACTTCCTCATGCAATCCTTCGTCTGGATCTTGCTGGCCGTGACCTCACGGATTCTCTTATGAAGATCCTCACTGAAAGGGGTTACTCGTTCACAACCTCTGCCGAGCGGGAAATTGTGAGGGACATCAAGGAAAAGCTTGCATATGTTGCACTTGATTATGAGCAAGAGCTGGAAACTGCCAAGAACAGCTCTTCAATTGAGAAGAGCTATGAGCTGCCTGATGGCCAGGTGATTACCATTGGCTCAGAGAGGTTTAGGTGCCCTGAGGTCCTCTTCCAACCATCCATGATTGGTATGGAGTCCGCTGGAATCCATGAAACAACCTACAATTCCATCATGAAGTGCGACGTAGATATCAGGAAGGACCTGTATGGCAACGTAGTGCTGAGTGGAGGCACAACAATGTTCCCTGGCATCGCCGACCGTATGAGCAAGGAGATCACTGCCCTTGCTCCAAGCAGCATGAAGATCAAGGTTGTCGCTCCACCTGAACGCAAGTACAGTGTCTGGATAGGAGGGTCTATCCTGGCTTCTCTCAGCACCTTCCAGCAGGTAAGTCCTTATCATTACAGCTTCTTAGATGCTCACCAGAATTAGTTCATAACTACTTCATAACCAATCCATTTTGTTTATTTGTCCACACCAAGTTGTATTTTAATGGTTTTGCTAATGCACATGTGATTTGTTTGCTTGGCATTGATAAAAACAGATGTGGATATCGAAGGATGAGTATGATGAATCTGGCCCAGCAATTGTTCACAGGAAGTGCTTCTGAGTTTCTCATGCTGCCCTGTGCGTCGGTTTGTACTAGAGGAGAAATAGTTGCCTTTATGCAGCCATAAACTGCCTGTGAATTGTACGTCACTCTCTTATGTGGTTGGTTGCTCCAGATATCGTTGTACTATGTTCTTAGCTCTGTGACTGTGAGGTCACCTCTGGAACTTCTCTGGCTTGGTTGGTTGGATGGAGTTGTGATAGCTGATAGCCCTGGTGTTGTTTGGGGTACAAACTCATGTGGAATTTTGAACTATATATATCCGTGTCTGGTCATCTGGTGACATGTTTGATGCGTTTCTAGTATACCTACCAAAGTGACAAGGCATTTTGTCCCGGATGGTTTTCGCATTCTTATTCTAAGGGCCGTATAGATTACCTTTCTTTACCAGACTTCTAGTTTTTTTTTTTTGAAAAAAGAACTTTTTTATCTGTATTTCGTAAACTCTAAAACTTTTTAATGTTCCCTCCATTTGATAAATCATTTTGATTTATTTTTATAGTCAAATTTCTTTAGGTTTGATCAAATTTATAGAAAAATAGCAACATCTATAGTACCAAATTAGTTTCATTAAATATAACATTATAATATATTTTGATAATATGTTCATTTTGAGTTGAAAATATTGCTATATTTTTCTATATATTTGACTAAACTTTGAAATGTTTGAATAAGAAAAAAATTAAAACGACTTATAATATAAAACAATATATAGTAATTCATTGGTTCGTGTCCTCGAGTAATTATCATAAATTCAATTTCATCCATTATCCTATTTTAGACTACTCTAAGCATCCTTTGGAACGAAGGAAGGAATTTGAAGAAAAAATATGGGAAATAAACCGATATACCCATGAAATCGTATGGGCCCTTAGCAATTTGGTGGACGAATACCGCCCTGTTAAGTATAAGAGGATTAACACTTAAAGAGGCAACGTGATTAGAGCGTTGGCTGCGTGATTAGCTGGTGTTGGTTCTAGAAGCAGGGCAGCTTAAGAAGGTTGTACACGTGGGCAACCGCCCATCTCCTTCTCCCTTGTAATCCGTTGGTTTGATTCGATTCGCTTTCCCACTAGCCGAGCCCCATCGATCGTATTCGCGTCAAGCTTCTTCTCTTCCTCTCCAAATTTCCAACCTCTCCATCCATCCATCCCGCATCCGATTCTTCCAACCAATCTCATCTTCTTCCTCCTCCTCGGCGGCTCGCCGATTCCCCGACGGCGATGAAGATCACGGCGCTGCTGGTGCTCAAATCCCCCGGCGACGGCGACTCGTCGTCGGGTGGCGGTGGCGGCGAGCAGGAGCAGGAGCAGCAGGCGGCGGTGGTGGTGGCGAACGCGACCGACGTGAGCCACTTCGGCTACTTCCAGCGCAACCCCGCCCGCGAGTTCATCCTCTTCGTCGCCCGCACCGTCGCCGCCCGCACCCCCGCCGGCCGCCGCCAGTCTGTCCAGCACGAAGGCAAACCTCCTCCCCTTCTCTCCTTCGCTCGCTCTAAACTCTAAACCCTACTAACAACGAACGATTTTACGATTTGCAGAGTACAAGGTGCATTGCTACAACCAGAATGGCCTCTGCGCCATCGCCTTCACCGACGACCACTACCCCGTCAGGAGCGCCTTCTCCCTCCTCAACACGGTAACTAACCCCTATATGGCTTCATCCAATTCAATTCAACCTAGTTATTATGCTTACGATTCTCCTTGCATAGTCATTCTGATTGACCCACTCAATTCAACCTAGACTGCTCCAAGTTTGACCCAAACTTAGTCCTTCCTTCTCTAGTACTAGGAGATTGGATCGAGTAGGTGCAATGCTTTCCTGTGTGTTCTCACCTTCTTCTGTTGTTGGGATGGATTTGTAGCCTGTTTGTAATAATTTCTTCGCTAGCTGTTGTGAGGTTCTGTAGTAATTTCAGGCAGCCTTCACATAGGGATTTTTCTGGCGAGTTGATACTTTCAAAGTTATTGCTTCTATTTTTCAGAAGGAAACAATGTGATTGTTCACTTATTTTTTTTGTCTGAAAGGTTATGTGTTCCTTTTGATTTTTGCAGGTGCTGGAAGAGTACCACAAGACTTTTGGGGAGAGATGGAGGACAGCAAAAACTGATAACACCCAGCCTTGGCAATACCTGGATGATGCCTTGACAAAATACCAGGTTTGTCCGTTTCATATTATAAGTCGATTTGACTTTTTCCCTAATCAAATTTCGTTAGGTTTGACTAAGTTTATAGAAAAAAATAACATCTACAATAAGAATTAGTTTCATTAAATGTAAGATTGAATATATTTTGATAATATGTTTGAATATATTTTGATAATATGTTTGTTGTCTTAGAAATGTTACTATATTTTTCTATAAGCGTGATCAAACTTTTTTTAAAAAATTAACTAAGAAAAAAAGTCAAAGCGATTTATAATATGAAACGAAGGGTTTACTAATGTTGTCACTGCTTGAGTAAGCGGTTCTCTGGGGATTGTAGATTTGGAAGAAGCAAATTCAAACCTATGCAGGTTGAGTGCATGTCTTGGAATTCTTCGATCATGACCATTTTTATTCGGCTTGAATAGTACAGCAGTAATAGGATGTGTCTACACTAAATATTACAACCAACCAACAGAAGAAGCAATGGCTTGCCATGCTCATGCCTATGAATCACACTGCATCCTGTTATGTGAATGAACTGCTTATTAATGTAGCACCTTTATTCTAGTTTACATATATTCTTGTATTATTAGAGATTAGGACACTGAAATAATCAATCTCTTCATATACATGAGATGTCCCTGTATCATTATTAACCAAGGGACAAGTAATCCTCTGCCATCCATCCTACGGTCCAATATCCTTTTTCCACTGTCCTTATACCCTTGAAGCCATGCTTTGACTTCCTTTCAATGGGAATTGTAAAATTGTGTACTGTTCTCAACATTGTTTGTTGTTTTATCTCCATACATAGAGTAAACAGTTATAGCTTCAGCTTGATTTGCCCTTAATACTTGCACACATTTTTCTTCAACATCACTACTAATTAAAAAATCGAAAGGATCTTTTGATGGAAGTAATGCCTTGGAAATCCACAACTAGCATGCTAAAACATTTTACTAGGCTAGAAGACAAAGCTGGACTAGCATTTGTACACCAGATAAAATCATTATTGTACGTTTAGTTTTTCAGTTGTATTTTTCTAAACTAGAGCATGTACCTAAAGTTGTGGCCATATTATTTTCTTGTTAATTGTCAACGGTGCACCGCTTAACTGATGCTTGTATTGTTAAACATCTAATTTCTTGCTTCCCAATTATTATTCTGCAGGATCCTGCAGAGGCTGACAAGTTGCTGAAAATTCAGAGGGATTTGGATGAAACTAAGATTATTCTTGTAAGTAACTCTATCGCTCATGAATTAATATATCCTGATTGCAATTTATACCCTATGCTGGCAATGGCATATTCCTTATTTCAGTGTGCATGGATTCATGTTTCTGTTTTCAGATATTAGTATTCAGCAAAGAACACTATTGGTATCTTATTTTAATTTTGCTTAAGCTACAAGTTTGAAGTATACAATGAGAAATTTTGATATGCTTTTCCTGTTGGCTGTTAGAAATTAGCTCGAGCAATAAAATGTGTGGTTGGTGTTTTATATTATTGTGTGCCCGGTAGTTATACTGCAAATTCTTGCACGCCATTCAATTTAAATAAACAGAGGGAAATCGAACCGTAGTAAGTTCTTTTTGTCCTGTGGAACTGTGTATAGTTGAATGCGCTGGACCAGGTGTTCTCTATTTTTCTGGAAGTGTCTTTTTCCCCACCCACGAATAACTTTTTAGGCTTGTTTTGGTTTTGCTCTGTTTGTGGCAAATTATTCATTTGTTATCTTTAATTTGGATAATTGCAGCACAAGACCATCGATAGTGTACTTTCTAGAGGTGAAAGATTGGATAGCCTAGTGGAGAAGAGTTCAGATCTAAGTGCTGCTTCACAGGTAGGTATTATGATATGGCAAGTGACAGATCATGGGATACAGATCCACTCTATGTTTCTGCTTCAGTGATTTCTTTTTTCAGCGAAATGAAACCTGTTTAGTTAACTCTGCACGTAACAATTGAACTGTAAATCGTTGGATCCCTGAAGCTTTATGTCCCTTCTAATTGGGAAATTTGCTCCTTTGCCACAAAGTTGTTAGGCCTTCTCACTTTTGCCTTGGAACTAGTACCCAGTATCCACCACCAGCTGCTGGTTGTAGACAACATCTAAGAAAATCTTTCCTAGATCATGCTAAATTAACATATATAAGGAATGAATGACCCTTTCATTCAGTGCTATCTGATAATATTTTCTGTTGTTAATCAATCGGTTCAGTTATGATCTTTTGTGCTGATTTGTCCCTCCTTGTTATGCAGATGTTCTACAAGCAGGCCAAGAAAACCAACTCTTGTTGTACAATCCTGTAATAGAAACTCTGGTATAGAGTTCTGCAGTAGCACACTATGTTGGCATTTTCTTTGCTGCAAGTCTGCGATTAATGTCATAGCATCCTGGTGTCCGAGGTGTTAAACAAAGTTAGCGGTTAACATATGCCACAGGGCTACCCTACGTAATTTTTTGTAAGTAACACAAGTGTGGTTGCCATTGAGATGATCTGTGCCTGGTACTGTGTCAAAGCTATAATTAGTGATGAAATTGTGTACTGTCATCTTGACCCCCAACTTCATTAACGATGCAAGAAAATTGTATAAAGACCCGAACATGAGGATCATCATGCACATAAAAAATAAATGGAACAGACTAACAAAAATATAATAGTAAATTTTATAAAACCCAAATTGGGACGGATGTAACACAAAACCAACATTTACAGTCAAGTGACAAAAACAGAGGAAATATTTATAGGTAATGACAGGTTAAATCTCCTTCCTGGTTCATGTCAACAATCCCAGAGTACAGCACATGTCAACAATGCTAGAGTACAGCAAAGCGAGCGCACCTAGCTAGGAGTACTCGACAAGAACATGGAGTACTCGACAAGAACATGGAACACGAAGACAATAGCTAGGAGTCCATGGAGTACTCGACAATAGCTAGGAGTACTCGAACAGAGACATGGAGTACTCGACAAGAACATGGAACATGAACAGAGACCGTAAGACTGGGTAGGAGTACTCGACAAGAAACATGGAGTACTCAACAATAGCTAGGAGTACTCGACAAGAACATGGAACACGACAAGAACATGGAGTACTCGACAATTGCTAGGAGTACTCGACAAGAACATGGAACACGAACAGAGACCGTAAGACTGGGGTATCCTGATATCCTGTTGCTTCAACTAATCGATGCTCCAACTAATCCCTGAAAGGATAAAATAGAGAGTAAATTTCAGAAAACTGCAACTTTAGTGACAAAACTATCAGTTTGCTGCAACATTAGTGATATGTTTCAGTTTGCTGCAACAATAGCGTGGGAAATTATCACAAACTGAAAAACATGTCGCTAATATTGTAGCAAACTGATAATTTTGTCACTAAAGTTGTAGTTTTCTGAAATTTACTCTAAAATATATATGAAGAAACTGTTAGGGATTTTTTGAGCTGAACTCTCTGGAAGCTCACTCTTTCCATTACTCTATCTGAATATATACATGTACATATGGATATATGGGCCTCTTGAACCTAGATAGACATACTTCTACATATACGGCCCAACAATATATGATGGTTGTCAGTATAGATAAAAACAGTACGGAAACTTTCCGGTTCCGGACCTATTTTCGAAAACGGAATCTGTCGGTCGGAAATTTTTTGGAAACGAAAACGGATTCGGAACTATTTTCTCGGAAACGGAATCGAATATGATAAGGGCAGTTTCCGTCGGAACTCAAAATCGGTCGGAAGCTTTCCGAAAAATTTCTCGGAATTTTTGGAATTATAAAGGCCCATACCATAGTCTATAATTCCTCCCCACCCCAACCCAATTCAGCATCCCCTGAGTCACTCAATTCAGTCCAACCCAATACACCCAATTCAAACTTGAGAATTGGACTTGACATGATTGTGTTTTGTAATGTAATGTTGAAATTTGAGACTTGAGAATTGGATTTGACATAGTTTAAAGCTTAGTTTGAGGGGCTTTTGTATTCCGATAAATTTTCGTTACCGTATCAGCGCCGTTTTCGGTTTCGACAATATTTGATTCCGTTTTCGTATCCGGGGTATCCGATTCTGAAAAAAAAAATGAAAACGAAAATGATAAAGGTAGTTTCTATCCGTTTTTGTACCGTTTTCATCCCTAGTTGTCAGCCTGTATATCTTAATTTGGATTCACAGTCAGTTATCAACAAAATCAATTTTGTACCGTGGAATCAATGGCAATGTCCATCTTCTTTCTGACATAATTGCCATAAAACTTTGGCCTTCGCCACTAAAAAGAAGAAAACCATTTTCACATCAGCCAAATTGTCTTTAAATATTACACTTGACATGAAATTTAGAAGCATCGTACCTTGTATTTAACCTAACTCCAGAGCTTTATCATCTGTAACCTAAACGCATGCAAACAAGGTATATATGAAAACATTATCCCAATTATTCTCGAAAAAAAACATTATTCCAATGGATTCCACTTGAATGTGAACTACACAAGAAGCTACTTACTGTGAAACCATGTGTGGTTTTGATATATTTGTGTTGGAAGATTGGCAAGTGTTAGATTGCAGGAAATGTGTGAGTGAACTAACGTGGGTCATGTTGCTATATTTGTGCCAAGACAACGGTCGTTTGGTTCATGTGTGTGCACTTGATCAAAGTCAACCTTGGTCAACAGAACTCAAGGAGTTGAGGTCCAGAACGATCGAGGAAGTTATTTGACAAGGTTGAGATCAAGGTGACGCACGGTGGACGAACACTGTGTTGGGAAGACTTTGCAAGGTCAATTGCAAGTGTTGGAATTCGTGAAGAAAATCAAGGAGAAAAAGAAAAGGAAAAAGGGAGAGAGAAGGAGGCGGCCCAAGCAAGGGAGCCAGGAGGCGGCCCAAGCAAGTGAGCCCGGACCGGTGTGGAAAATTCGGATCGATGGCATGGCAATCATCTAGAGTATTTCCTTTGAGGAGAAGGAAGAGTGGATGTCTAAGATTGAGTCTAGACAAGGGTTTCACTCTAAGGGCAATTGTGACATTTTCTTAGCGATCTTGGGCTATAATTCTATAAACAGAGAGGTGGATGCAATGATGGAGTGTGCCTTTGGTAATAGTGGATGCAACGGTAGAGTGTGCCTTTGGCAATCTTTTGAGTGGTTTTTTGAGAGAGTTTTGGGTGAGTTATGCGTGTGTTGCCTTTGGGGCTTTTTTGTGTTTAAATTTACATTTAAGTGGTGTATGTTTGCTCCTCTTGAGCGGTTGTACTTCTGATCCTTCAGTTACTTCCCTCTAAATGTTTTTGGAAAAAGCATATAAGTGAAACATCTTTGGTAAAATTATAAAACTAAAAAGAAAAATGAAACAAAGATAAAATATATAATCACGCAAACCAGAAAGACAATATTTTTAAAATAACCAAAAAGTACATTTTTAAAGTAATCCTAAAGTTATATGTGAAGAGAAATAGAAAACATGTTTTTATGTTTTTTCAACTAGTAGTTTTTATCTTTATTCTTCAGTAACTTAATTTGAGCATATAACTGAAAGGAAAATGAAAAAAAGTTAAAATAGATAAGCACGCAAACCACAAAGATAACATTTATAAAGTAACTCAAAAGTTATATGTGAAGAGAAATAGCAAACCTATTTTGTTAAGTTGGTAGTAATCTAGGGGAAGTATACTTCTCTGGAACACTATTTATGATAAAATTTCTGAATTGCAAGTTGATAGTAATCGAGGGGAAGTATACAATAGTTAGTGTGAAATTACCATCTAATGTACCATCATTCTCAATTTCATAAAAATATCGATGCATATGGAGAAACGACAGCTTAATGTTATCTTCCTTAATGCATTTAGAGTTATCCAAAAAAAAAAATTCAAATCTTCGTCCAATTTATTGTTAGCATATTGCTCAAAGTATGTATTGTTTACTTGCTGCTTTGACAACTTAGTAATGAAAACAAGATCAATTAGCAACAAGATAATTAGTTAATGTAAATAATAATGACAGGTTTTTAACGAATCCAACATACATACATGCATATAATATACTCCCTCCATTTTAAAATGTAAAATGTATGACGCCGTTAACTTTTTGCATAACGTTTAACCATTCATATTATTTAAAAATTTAGTATAAATATGTAAAATATAAGTTAAGATTATATTTTATTTAATGATAAAGCAAGTCATAATGAAATAGATCATATTTATATAGTTTTTTAATAAAATGAATGATCAAACGTTGTACATACATTTTAAAATGGAGATAGTATTTGTTTATATCTGGAGTACCTTTAGTACTTGATGCGATAAAGCGCATGGCGGATTAAGAGGTCCTGAATTTGATCATCATCAGTGAGTTGGGTATCATCATGAGGACGAGGAGGCTGGCGTTCGTCTGGCGTGGCAACTGATAGAAGTAGGTATCATCATGAGAACGAGGAGGCTGGCGTGGTAGCTGATAGAAGTAATTGAGGAATTCTTCGTCAATGATGCTCTCCACCAAACCAAACTCGTTCAGCTCTTGGATCATACGCTCTGATTCTTCTTCTTATACATTGTCTCTTTTCAGCTTTGCAGCAGACTCGTGAGCTTCTATAATTGAAGATTAGTTACTATATGTACGCAAGTCAATCTCAAAGCAAATTTTAGGGCCATGTATTTGTCGTGAACCAACAGAGATTAATTCCATAATTGTGTACGTGAGGCAAGATTCCAAATCTGTCTCAAAGCAAAATTTAAATCACATATGGCAAGATTAGTTTCATGAGGCAAGATTATTAATTGCACCAAAGATTAGTTCCATATATACATGAGACAAGATTCCTAAGGCAATGCATATATATACACCCCGCCAGCAACACGATCTTGCGACATTAGTCAATTTCGGCGGATGGAGAAGAAGAGCTCTGCAGCACCTTGCGACATTACTCAATTCCAGCTACTCATCTTTGGCATAAGGAGGTAATTGTGCGCCCACAGAAGAACACAATCATGTCATCCTCTATTAATTAGGACTACATGATTTTGCAACTAGCAAATAACATAAGCATCTGTACAGTTTTGTCATAATATTTTCAGCAGAAGAAACTAACATTGCACCTACTAAAGAACATAATTACGATATCCTGTATTAGTTAGAGCTATATTATGTTGCATCTATCTATGTATACAGTTTTGTCACATTCTTTTTCAGCACAAAAAAGTAACCTTGCACCTACCAAAGAACACAATTATGTTATTTTATATTAATTAGTTCTATAAAATAACATAAACATGTATAAAATTGTTTACAATTCTCTGTCAAATTTGTTTAGTAACTATATGCAATACTACTCATCTGCAGATAACATGGCACCTGATAATTTGATTATTGCATTAACACCAAAGAACGATAGGTGGAAAATCAAAGTAAAAGTTACTAGGCTATGGGATGCGGTTAATCCTACAATGGCTGATGATTTCTATGGTATACAGATGATTGTACTAGATGCAGAGGTATGATTGTTGTAAACATGTGATTTAATATATTGTTCTATTGTGTAAATACAATCTTTTTGGTGCAGGGCAACTCAATTAGAGTAAAAGTAAAATAATAAAATACTCAGACCATGTGACAAGTTATAATGCACGCATAATGTTATGATGCCGGACTAGGTCATCGCATAGAATATAATTATGATTTTAATGTTTCACTGCTTAAATATGTTAATGATTTTTAAGATAACTAACGCTCAACATTTAGTTTTGAAAATATCAAACACTCATATTCAAAACAAAAGGATATGGTTGTATAATTTTATATGATATTATCATAAGTACTAAATATTTTATGGACAAACATCGTATATTGAAACTATTATTAATTAACATCTTAAGTAAAAGTCGTCGCATATCTATACGGCAATAAAATCAATAAAATAAAAATAAGATGTCCGTGCATCTTTTTTTTCCTTCACATAGCATCGAGGCAATCAAGCCACTAATGCAAAGGTTGGTTATTATTTGTGCACTGATGGATGATAATTTTATCTTGGTGGGTTAATAAATTTTAAATTCCCGTGTTTATGTACACTTCTTTTCCATACTATATTTTGCACATACATTTCAATCATATTTATGTACCTTTTCTATTTTCTTTTCAAAATCCTATGTTACAAAGGAGTCCCTAAATTCTTTCACGGATAGACAAAGTCATAATATTTCACAATCCTAATAACAACAAAAATTATGATATTTTAAATAAGATGCCCGTGCAATTGCGTGGGCTACCTTCCTAGTTAGGCTTAAAAGATTCGTCTCGCAAATTAGTCTCAATCTGTGCAATTAGTTATTTTTAAGCCTATATTTAATAATTTGTGTAAGTGTTCAAACGTTCGATGTGACAGTGTGTAAAATTTTTATGTGGGAACTAAACAGGGCCTTACAATAAAATTGGTTATGGGGTAGAATTCTAGAATCTTGAAGCAAGACTGACAGTTAGAATGTTTTATGTAACTTATAACTTTTTAAGTTTGTTTGGCATTAACCATTAACTGTCTTGTTTTAATCTTAGTTATTGGTTACAACTAGGTGATTCCCCGCGCTTTACTGCGGGAATTACTAAGTAATTATTAATTTTTTTGACAGCAAGTTAGGAGTAAAAAGAAAAAAATAATAATGAAACATCAGGGTTTATCAATCAAATAATACCATGCTTCAATGTGAAACATATTGATAAGTATATGTTAAATATTATAAAAGTGATAGATAGATTTGTTAAAATATCGTGCAAATGATATGAGGGGTGATGATTCAAGGTTTCAAACATGCTGAACATGCTGCTACCCAGTCAAGTGAAATGTCCATGCATGTTTGGTTTTCACCTTAATATTGCTATGTTGTAGGAAGCAAACTTATTTAGCAAACTGTAAGTTTTTATTATACTATGCAACAGGTAGGAAATAATAAGAATACCTGGTGATCAGAGATCTTGACAGGCACCAGGAAGAAGTCATTGTCCACCTCCATAGTATCCTTTCCCCCAGCCACCACCTCTTTCCGCATCTTGGACAGGCGGGGATCGTCTTTGTCCCTAATCTTCGTCTGCAGCACACCATCCTTGAATAGCTTCACACAAAGTAGCGAAAGAGAGATAATGCCAGAATAGATTGCTAGTGTTGCCCAGCAGAAAAAGGAAAGTCTGTAAATTCATTCTCACCTAAGATGAACAACAGAGGTCTGCCCCCAATTCTGTGTGTCTGCAAAAATCACCAAGAAACAATGAGGATAATGAGCAGCACAACCGAATTAGCCAAGGAGGAAGATTTCCTCTTGTTGGCCAAACGAAAGAAAAAAAAGGGCACCAATTAACCTGCAGCAGTAGAGTGGGCGAGCTTCCAAGAGAGAGGAACCGATGATAGCAGCACGAGCAACAGAAGCAAAGGCGCTGCTGCCCTTGTCCGTGTCCGCCGTCGTCGTCACTACCGCCGCCCTCGACCGCTGCCACCGCCCTCATCCGTGTCCGCCGCCGCCACCGTCGACTACAGCCGCCTCGTCCTCGTCCACCGCCGCCCTCGACCGCTGCCGCCTCCCTCTCCCGCGTCCGCCGCCGCCGCCCTCGTCCGCGTCCAATTCCGCCGCAGTCGCCGCGCTCGTCCGCGACCGCCGCCACCATCGACAGAGTCCGTCGCCGCCGTAGTCGCTGTTGCTGTCGCGCGGGGGGGGGGGGGGGGGGGGGGGGGCGGGGGGGCGATACGGTGCGGGAGGCGATGCGGTGGGGAGCGAAGGGACCGAGGGCATGCTCCAAAACGCAATGAGGACCACTGAGATGTAATCCAACAGCCGATAATTAAATGATGACGTGGCTTCACCAAATCTCAGCTTTGGGTCTTAATTTTATAGAAAGAAGGGATTAGGACAATCGATCGAATCATTAGATCCAGAGAGGTGTTTTTACCATTCAACTGCAATACCAAGTTTACTGAACCTACAGGTATTCTTTTTTTTTCCTTTTCTGTTTTTTCGCCTGCGTAATTTGGGATCATTGGATGCTTTGTTCTAGGTGTTTGTTAGTTCTCGAAGGCCTGCGTTTGTATTTGTTTGTTGTTCATATAGCTCGAATACTATATGCTAAACCCAAGAATTATTTGGAAGCCGGCAATAGAGAACAGTTCAGATCTAAGCGCTGTTCCTCGTGGGGCTCCATCTCGGTCGGTGTCTCCTCAGACATACCACTGTCAAAGAAAGGTAAAATTCGTTGCCGCTTTGAACAAAAGCTGGGAGCTGAGTACGAATCACAGCGACAGAAACCATATTTACAGACAATGCAATTGCAAGCAAGCAGTGACAGGTTTATATCTAATCTCCTTCTTGGTTCATGCAAATTAACAAATTCTACTACAGAGTGCATCAATCGAGGAGAGGCTAGGATGGTCAGCTCCTCCCCGACAAGAACAAGATGGAGATGGTAGCCACAAGCCCAATCATGGCGATCTGAGCACGAACCGGAGCAGCAGCAGCACGCCCCACCACCTGCAGCAAGGCAAAGCAATGCAAAAGCAAGCATGAGCTCCAAAGATCGCCGGTGACCGGTGCCAGTATGGAATGGAATTCACAGTGATTGGTTAGCTGGAACTGGATTTTTGTCTCCGGAGGGAACATCCTCTCGCTCTTTACGTGTAGTTCAAAAAAAGTTATTAAAAAATTATCAAGATAGATTAATATATGATATATTTTTTCACAAACATACAAGTTAAAATTCGACCTATACAATTCAAAACAAAAATAATAAATTTGACTGTGAATTACACGTTCACTTCACAGACAAAATTATTATTTTTGTTTCTACTTGTATAATTTGAATTTGAGATTGCATGTTCGTGAAGTGACATACCACATATTAATCTATCATACTAATTTTTTTTAATTTTTTTATGACTTTGTAAGTGACATAAAAAAACGAGGGATATTCTCTTGAGGGATGATTTGAGTTTTCTTTGTTAGCTTAATTTAGAGGTTAATTACCTTGTCGTTGCCGTCGCCTCGGTCCGGGAGCGGGAGCACGGTGGAGGTGTCGGTCATGCCGGTGGGCAGCGGCACCGTCGGGTTGCTGCCGATGAACGGGTAGCCCTCGCCGGCGGCGGTCGGGGCGACAGGTGGCGCCGCGACGCCGAAGGTCGGCTGGAGCGGGAAGCCGAAGTGCGGGGGTGCCTGCTTGGGAGCGCGGCCAAAGGCCGGCAGGTCGTCGGCGCCGGCGATGGGCGCCGGAGCGGGAGCGGAGAGTGGCGGGAGGCCGTGGCCGGCGGCGGCGCTAGGCGAGGCATTGCCGCCGCCGACGTGGTGGCCTCGTCGTGTAGGAGGATGATTCGGGTGCCACTGCGAGGGAACGTCATATTAAAAATGTTACTACTAGTACTACTTTTCTTTCAAATGAAATTTGGCAAGTGTAGCATGGATTTGACTGAAAAAGAAATGCAGTTATTCAATCTTGAATGGAATTTGGCAAGTGTAGCATGCATCCTTGCTGCAATGTTTGGTACTCCTAATTTAAACTCCTGGAGTATAGTAAAGCATGCATGCGATTTTTAGGGAATGCAGCTCAGCTAGCAGCTATAGCATGTGAGCTTCAGCAGAGCGCATGAAAGAAAGCAAGAACTTAAGAACAGAAAAGTTTCAGTTTGGTCTCAAGTTTCGCGAGGTGCAAAGCGGTTGACGCAAGTGAGTAGTGACGCTAAAAATTGTGAAATGCAGAAGCAAATGGTACCCCATTTCTTGTAGCTAATTAATTAAGAAACGATGAGAAAGAATGTGAAAGGAAGAAGATGAGCGGGTTACCGAGGAATCAGCCGCGGCGGCAGCTCGAGCTCGGGGCAGCAAAGACGGCAAGACAACCAAGACGGCGAGGTGAAAGTGAAACAGCAGGGTGAGGCCACCGCCATGATTCCTCCTCTTCTCCATCTCTGGCTCTTGCTCCTGTGACTGTGACCGTGAGTCTGAGTAAATAATTAAACAGCTCTGTCTCTTGGAGGAGACGAGGGTAGCTGCTGATCTTTAATTCTTGGTCAGTTGCACTTAACTAGTGAGTGATGAGTGATTCAGAGTGTTGTGCAGAATAGAGAGCTTTGTAGCCACAGGAGGCCAAGGAGAGGAGAGGGAATGGTGATGATAATGACGCTACAGTGGCTACGGACGCAGCTACCATGCAATCTACACACTACAGTGACTCTACTATCGTGCAAATGTACAAATTGCACAGTACACAATACAGTGAGCCCCAATACCAAAAGCTATACCAATAGTATAGTAAAGCAAAGCTTTCTCTCTTCATCTCTCTCTCTCCCTCTCTATGGGCTGCAGCAACGAGGCCTTGGAATCTCTGTGCAAGTTTCTGCTTGCTTTGTTTGCTTTGCTTTTGGAGCAGGGATGAGTTTACAATCTTTTTTTTTCAGCAATCTTTTTTTCTGGCATCTTTGCCTTCGTAGGAGTATATCATTCAGGTTTGAACTCATCCGGAAGGAAATGACTGGAGCACTGCACTGCCACCACTCACTGCACTTTCATCCAGTCATAGTGCCAGACTACCAGTACATGACATCAATTGACTGAGGATTTTTACATCAATGCAGTTTTGTGCAGTTTCAGGCAGGCAGCAAATGCATCTTTTCTTCAGTTAATTAAGCTCATCCATGTCTCTCCTCCAACAGTCTGCATCTCGACAAGTAGAAGAAACAAACAGTTAGTAACAGCAAGAGTGCTGTTTTGGAAGATGAGTTTTGACTAGTTAAAGCACCGGCTCTTGTTAAATTACTCATAAAGGTGTGCTAAAGGTAAGTAATGAGATGCTAATTACGGCGGGAGGTTCTTTTAGTTTTACCGGACTGCGTGCCTGTCCTGAACTGTCTCAACACCGTCAAACCGAATGGGGAGTAACAGGCACGTAGCACTCGCCTAGTTTTGTCTTCCAGAGAAATGGCTCCACATTGCTTAGGATTCGAAGTAGTCTTCTTGTTTTTAATCAAAGCCGTGATCTGCAACTTTGTAATAATTGATTATATTTTTTTAAAAAAGGCAGAATAAATTGTACTATTATCTAAAAATTTGAGTTGCCTTGCTTGGATAGACATTACTATTTGGTGATGTCTGGATTGGAATTTGGAAGTGGCTGTAGAGCAGGTACAATAGCAGGCTATAAGCCAGCTATAAATATATTTTAAACAGATAAAGGAAAAAAGAGAAAAGCAACAGGCTACATATCTGTAATTAGCTGCAGCACGGACTCCAAGACGTAATATGTGTATAATAGGTGGGACCAGATATTATATTGGCTATGGATGATTTGGAGCCAGTAATTAGCTATACTATTAAACTTGCTCGTATAAAGACCATCCTCTGTAAGGGCCCCTTTGAATCGTAAGAATAAAAAAACAGAGGAATAGGAAAAATATAGGATTCTAACAGGAATGTAAGTGTAAAACAAAGGATTGCAAAATACAAGAAAAACATATGAATGATCGTTTGATTGGATCATAAGAAAAACACAGGAATCGGATGAGAGAGATAGACTCAAAAGATTTTTACCAAGAGGTTGGACCTCTTGCTAAGTTTTCTCCAAAACTTACATGCAATAAACCATTCCATAGGAATTTTGTAGGATTTGAAAAACTTCAATCCTTTGAATCAAAGGGCTACATAGAAAAATTTCCTATAGGATTTCTATCCTATGAAATTCCTTCATAATTTCTTTAATTCAAAGGGGCCCTAATTTTTTTTCTTCGAAAACAGAGTCCTCTATAAGTTAGAGTAGTACACCGTTCTTTATTTCAGTACATTCATTTTTGAACGGAATTTCAGTACATTCATCGATCCGATGATACAGGATTTCATGTACGTACAAACATACATATGCTTGATATGCAGCACATCTTATTGAACGGAGCATACAGTTACTGTATAAATATTTATTCAGTAGCGGCGTACATACATGATATACGGGGTGTGTTGATTAATCAAATAAGTTGCCGTAGTAGTAGTAGCTAGCCGTGCTGCGGCTGCGGCATCCTGGCGCAGGGGCGTACTGCTCCTTCGCTTTGTGCCCCTCGTACTGATCTAACATACATGGAGTATACATGAACAGATTCAGTTAATGTACGTATACACGCACGATCCAATCAAGATGAGACGACATAGGTCACGTTAGCTCGAATGGGATATATAATAGGGTTTGTTGGAACCATGCCACCCTAATTTTATAAAATTTAAGATATGTCACTCGTATCTTAATGACATGTAGGACCCACATGAGTCAATGACATGTGGGTCAAGGTTGCATATCACAAATTTTGTAAAATTTGTGTGGCATGGTTCAAATTTTCCCTATATAATAATGCATGGTGTCCATAGCTTAGAGATGATGAATCAGTATTGTAGACATTACCTGAGCTAAATTAAGGTGTTAGTACTTAAAAAAGAACTGTTCGATATTAAATAACAGGAAAAAAATATTTTAATAGCATCGAAAGTTCACGATTTTAAAAATATAGCACTCAAAGGTTCCGATTCATTTTAATAACATCGATAGTTACTCTCTCCGACACTTTATTTACCATATCGGTAACATTTACTTTTTTGTCGTATCTCAATTTATGTCATCAAGTTTCATAAAACTACACTATTAATTATTTTAATTTTGATCTATCACACTTTTAAGTTCTACAAATCTTTTGAGTCGTTTTATCTATCGTATTTAAATGTTATGTCCATGTAACTATAGTTTTTAAAATTTTGATATATACAAGTATGTCAAATTAGTTTACGGTGTGGTTTTATGAAATATTAAGAGTATAATACATGGGTTATACGTACTTATGATCTTGTATAACTTGGAACATAGTAAATAAAGTTTTATGAAATTTAATCCTAATACTGATATCCAGAAGTCTATCTTCTTTTTTACTGGAAATCATTGACCAGAAGTCAATAACGGTTGAGAAATAACCACTGTATTAATGTATTAATGGTGGGTCAAGTATAGGTTACTGGCTACCAACCACTAGGGAGAGCCCTTTCTGAATAATTGCGGCCATGCGCTCCTGCTGCTTGTGGGAGTACTCCTGATCGCCGGCGCCGCCCTGCTGCGAGGTCTTCTTGCTGCTGCTGCCATGGTCCTCGCCGTCGTTGCCGCCGTGGCCGTGCCTGCCAGTTTCGTAGTACTCCGCCATTCTCTCGTACGTGCAGCTAATTAACTCTCAGGTGGTGGTGGCGAAAGTATTAATGGATATGACGTTTGGATGATCTCGCCTTTGTTAATACAGAGGAACTATTAATCCTGTAACTTTTGGATGGTTAATTATTATTATGAGCTAGCTTATAATTTGGATTTGTATATATATGTACAAAGTACAACCCAGCTGCATCTAAGAAAACAGCAATCTTAAGGAAAAGATGCATGACAAAAGGTTATCATGCAGCCATCAGAATTTCTGGTACTAACATTTTACCTCCTACTATGGCAGATTCTTACTATCCTTCACCTTAGCTAACATCGCAAGAGTCATCTATATATGCTGACATACTGATGTGCAGTGCATTTATGCATGCATAGTTCTTAAGATTCTTGTGCTCGTTGTTTTCTCGATCTCTTTTCGTAAAAGGGTAGTATGCGCTCGGTAATAATTCACCAATTGGGGCATATCAGCACTTATTTCTTTTTCTATGCTCCACTCGGTAAAAGTTATTCTCAAGTCATTAATGACAGCACAATTTTCATTTCACCTTTTCTTCTTTTAGCAGCAGAATTTTACGTCTTCAGTGTTAAAGAAAACATCCACGTCGTCTCTACCACACGTCCTTATTATGACACAAATTCTTCATGCTGGGTCATATATAGTCCACACATGTCAACAATTTTCCGTAGGTTTAGAGGAGTTGAACAAAATGAAAAACTTGGCTTAAACAAAGTAAATGCATAATACTACTGTTTTTTTAATTATTAATGATGTAGTCATAGGTGAACCTAGAAAAAAAATCCTAGCCCTACATATGTGAAAAGAAACTTTTGAAAGAAAAATAACTCCTTATTAGTATATTATGATAGACATTTGATCAATTTATACTTCTATATCATGATGTGCATTTGATTAATTTATACTTCTAATCTTATTATATTTACGATATTTAAGATATAGAAATTGGATCACCCATATAAAAATTCTGATACACTACTGGACGTAGTTGATTTTTTCCCTAACTTTGACTAACAGTATTTATTCAATTACCTTTTTATAAGTAAGTTAAAAGAAGTACCATTAGATATACCATCAAATTAAAATTGAGTATCTTAAACATCCCAAAATACAAACATTTATTACTATAAATCTGGATAATCGTGCATTTAGATTCATATTAAAAGTCGCTATATTTATTTTTTTGGATAACCGTCCAAAAAGGAAATGATGGTGACTGTACGAACTCATCTATTTACATTTTTTTTTCTAGCTACTGCTCCATAGGATAGTCGTACATATTGGTTTATCATTAGGAAAACACTGGTATACGTTATAAAAAGAATCACAATTAATTTGGCGCGAACAATTAAAAGCACGCGTATAATTCATCACGGCGCGGCCCAGCAAGGTCAGCCAGTGTTTGTCCGTCCCAATTTCTCATATTGGGCCATTTCCGGCGTGCGGCGATTAGGCCCGTGAGAACCAAGACTGTTGGATCCGCTGTTCTCCATGCGGCACAATAAAAGTTCGCCTGTTACGTACGGCCCATCGCTAGATGACGGAGGCGCCGCCGGCGATGGAGACGACGAACCATGTATAAAAACCTTTGACTTTTCGAACAATATTTTTAAATATAATTATATGTTAAGACTATTCTTTCATAAAATAAGTCATTACAAAATGAATAATATTTATATACTTTTTAAAAAGATGAATGGTCAAATTATCACGTTATTAAAGGTTAATGCGCGTCAAACATTGAAAATTGTTGGGAGTACTATTTCCGTCTTAAAATTTAAGAATTTAGGATCAGATGAGATGTTTGAAACGTTGATATCTTATAAACCGATTTAAGGGTCTGACCCCAGACCTCTCATTGGGCCACGTGGCATCGCGTGTTGCCCTCTGTCGTGATTCTCGGCTGGAGAAGGTGCCACGCATTCGCACCCCTCCACAGCCGTTAGATGAGATATCAACGGTGAAAAACCATCTGGCGGACCTTGATGTAAATTGTAAGTTTTGACAGGGGTTTTTTTCAAAACGTGTGATCTTAACCGGAAGAGTCTGGGTTATTAGAGAAAAATCCAAGGGAAAAAAACGCAAGAAAAATCTCCAACTCATTGTGCCGCCGCCTTGCGTCGAACCCTCGATCCACATCGTTGGCGCCTGCTTCGGGCGACGAGGAGGGGTGGCAGCGGCTTGATCTACACGGACTGCTCCACCTACGGGGGATGGTGAGGCAACACCGGCGGAGGGAGATGGAAGCCCCCTTGCGCCTCCTCGATGTGCTCGAGCCGGCCGCCTCTCCGCTTCAGGAGTTCAGAGGATGCGGAGGGCGAGAGAGTGGGGCGGGGGAGAGAGGAAGCTGAGCTCGACGATGAGGCTGATGGCCAGCGACGGATGGAGCAGTTGAGCCGCGGATTTGCCCATCATCGCCGCCATCCTGCGCCGCCAGTGGTCGTTCCCACTGGGCCATGTACCTGCTGCTCATGTGCTCCTGAAGGTCGCCGTCTCTGCAGCCATCCTCGCGTACTCGCGTGGTTGTGGGATTGGGAAACGAGTGGTTGTGGCTTCATGGGAAACGCTGCTCTTTCCTACATGCACAGTAGTAGTACCCTGGTCTGCGTTTCTCTTTTTTTTCTTTTTATTTACAACTATTCACTTCAAGGCTGCATTAAAACATACCCCTATAAAAAAATACAGTACTACCAATAAAAAAAGACAAATATTATATGCCCCTATATTACTTAGGTAGTTAGGGGTTGTTTAGATCAAAGAGTTTTGATGCGTCACATCGGGTATTATATAGGGTGTCACATGGGGTGTTCGGACACTAATAAAAAAATAATTATTGAATCCGTCAGTAAACCGCGAGACGAATTTATTAAGCCTAATTAATCCGCCATTAGCGAATGTTTACTGTAACACCACACTGTTAAATCATGGAGCAATTAGGCTTAAAATATTCATCTCGCAAGTGTGCATTTAGTTAATTTTTTAGCCTATATTTAATACTTCATACAAGTGTTCAAACGTTCGATATAACAGGGTAAAAAATTTTGGGATGGGATCCAAATAAGGCCTTAGAACTCAAAATTAAAGCTAAAATTAAACTTACTTCTAAAGTTGATTTAAAGGTATTTTTAATGTAGTTTCTACTTATTTGTTTTTAAGTCACTAACAATACATATTTTTATTTTAAATAAGCCGTTTTGGTTTATTAGAAAATATGGACAATCGATGAGAACATTAATCTATGTTTGACAGTGTGAGAAGGTGAAAAGAAAATCTCATTTTCCGCATGTATACCACCCGAACTGATAAATGATATTTTTTTCAAAAGAAAAATCTATAGGAAATTTATTTAAAAACCATATTAATCCATTTTCAATGTTTAAAATAATTAATCATCATTAATTATATGCTAATAACTTAATTTTGTGTATCATATCATCGTTCTTTTTTCTCATTTACTCAAACACACTTTGAGTGTTAATTATTTTGGGATAAATTTTAAACCCAAAAGAGCATTTTTTTTTAATGGATGGAGTGGATTAGAATGCAAAGTGGGCTAATAGGGTATTTGTGAAATTAATTTTCTCATCTATGGGTTCTACAGTAAAATAAAATGGTAAACCGGGTGTCACCCTTCGTCCAACTTTTTCACTTTTGACCGGGATACTTTTACCTTTGTGGCATTTTATACCGTCCTTAGCTATTTTATCGTATACAACTATATTGTCGTATGTCAAAGAAACGGTGTATATATAGCTGAGGGAGTTTATTGACCAATAAGACCAGAAGTATTGAGATCATTCATATGCATGAGAAGAGAGTATCAAAGGCAACATCATCCGATCCAAAGTGAAAACATTGATTAAAGGGTGATCAAAAGCGAAACATCGGTAATAAAAGATGACCCAAGTAAAAAATTACTCCAAAAAGAATTTTCTAGAAAAGTTATCTTAAAACATATTAATCCATTTTTTAGGTTTGAAATAATTAATATCCATTAATCATACGCTAATGGCGTATCTCATTTAGCGTATCTTATCATTCTTCTCTTTTCTTCTTCACTTAAACACATCCAAATGAGTAGTTATTTGGGGATGGAGACAGTAAATTAGAATGTGAAGTGGCCCATATGGTATCTATGTAATTAATTTTCTAATCTATGGTCCCCAAGGGTAAAAAGAAATCAAGAGAAATATTAATTAATAAAATAAGAGGATAAGGCTACGATAAGGCTATTGTGCATCGTGAAACACTTTCATTGTGAATAACTCGAAGTGCATGATCTTCACAAGAATTTGATGAAAATTTGAGCTAATTAATATAAAGTCTAGCAAAATATTAGCATTAATTACCCTCAGCAATTATACAAGGCATAGAGAGCAGCATGTCAACCAGCACCTTTATTTTCCCAAAGAGCTGGCTCTTGTCTTATTCAAGAATTGTTAATTATATCGAAGATTTGGTAAATAGTATTCACGTGAAGAGTTTACATGATTGGCCAAATAAAATATTCTGCATGCTAGCACATTAATATATTCTACTTATTGGCCCGTTATGCGGCAAAGCTGTGTTTGTTTTGAGATGTTATTTTGAGCTTAGATTTTTCTTTTTACCAGTTTTCATTTATCCAAGTGTAATATGTTTGTTGAGAAATAAACATTTCTAGAATTTTTTTCCCAAATAGAAATATTCCAAAAAGAAATATCACCAATTATTGTTGCTTGGTTCATTCTTATTCCATCTCATATATATATCTAAGAAATCAAACTAATTCTAAATAACTATACAACATTTATATATCCTAGAAAAAGTACAAGTATTCATGGGATATTTTTTTAGTTTGTGCGCCAAAGGCGCACCGATTTTCTAGTATTGTACTAGAGAAACATCATATCTAATACTCCCTCCATCCCAAAATGTTTGACGCCGTTGACTTTTTTTAAAAAAATTTGACCGTTTGTTTTATTCAAAAAATTTAAGTAATTATTAATTCTTTTCCTATCATTTGATTTACTGTTAACTATACTTTTATGTCTATATAGTTTTACACATTTCATAAAAGTTTTTGAACAAGACGAACGCTCAAACATATTTAAAAAAGTCAACGGCGTCAAATATTTAGGGATGGAGGGAGTACGAGGAAGCAGTTTCTATCATCACGGTAGAATTCATCGATCCGATGGCCACACGTTTACAGAAATCACAGTACATATATAGATGTACGTACACACATACACTGGTTTGGAATAAGGCGCGCGGCCGCGGCGGCGAAATTGTGGGTGAGCAACGTATATACGTGTACGTACGTACATCCTTGCTCATCTTATTGTACCGTATATATACGTACGTAGTAGCCAGTATTTATTTAGTGGTACGTACGTACGCATGGATTATTAATAATTTGGGGGTGATTAATAATTAATCAGTTGCAGTAGTAGCCCTGCTGCTGCGGCATCCTGGCGTAGCCGTACTGCTGCTCCTTGGCGCCGTAGCTGGCCTGCTTCTGCTCGCGGTGCTCGTGGTAGGCGTAGCCGCCGGCGCCCACCGCCGCCACCGCCGCCACGCCCTGCTCGATCCTGTGCCTCTGCGCGTTCGCCGGGTCCTTCTTCGCCTGGTGCCCCTCATACTGATCATCCAACACATCGTATATATTACCGATCGATATATATATATTCAGCTAATTTAATAAGCAGTTTTACAATCCTTGAGAATGTATTATGATGTACGTACCAAAAGTTTTAATGTAAACGTGTGGTATACATCTTAAAAACCATAAAATTGCTCTAATTTAATATAATGCTATCTCTGTTTTTCAATAGATGATGTCGTTGGTTTTCATCACAAATTTAACCATTCATTTTATTTAAAAAATTGTGTATTTATATTTTTATTTATTTATTTTATCACTTAACGTACTTTAAGCATGATTTACATCTTATATAGTTATATAAAATTTTTGAATAAATGAATTGTTAAATATGTGTTTAAAATTTGACGGTATCATCTATAAAAAAAAGGAGGGAATACATCAAGAATTATTCGAAGATGAGAAGATCTAAGACATACGAGAGCGAAGGCGCCGCTGGCGAGGGCGCCGATCTCGCCGACGCGCTCGCGCTGCTTGTGCTCGCGCTCCTCCCGCTTGTAGTACTCCTGCTGCTGGCCGCCGCCGTAGCCGTAGCCGCCATGGCCGCTCTGCTGCCTCATCAGGTACTCCTGCGAGTGCATGGAGTTGTTCCTCCTCCCACGGTCGATCTCGCCGCCCTCGCTGTAGTAGTCGTCGGTGTGGGACTCCACCCTCATGCCACCATGCCCGTGCCCGTGCCCGTGACCGTGGCCGTGCCCGTGGCCGTGCTGCCTGCCGGTGGTCTCGTAGCACTCGTCCACGGTGCTGGAGTAGTACTCCGTCATTGTTGGTCGGTTTCTCTCCTGCAGCTAGCTACTTCTCCGATCAGGTGGTGGTGCAAGGGAAGTTCTTTGCTTTGCTTGCTGAATATGTGGGGGTGGATTTGGGTGCTATTTATAGTGTGGCGAGTGACAGTGACGGGTGAAGATGGACGGCTTGGATTAATTCACAACGATTTGTTGATGATCGCCGCTCTGTTAATAATTGGCAGTTACTTATTTTGGTACTATCTCCATATTTTAATGTACGACGCCGTTAACTTTTTATCCAACGTTTGACCATTCGTCTTATTCAAAAAATGTATGTAATTGTCTTTTTTTTATTGTGACTAGATTCATCATCAAATGTTCTTTAAGCATGATATTAATATTTTCATATTTGCACAAAAATTTTGAATAAAACAAATAGTCAAACGTTGATCGAAAAGTCAACGGCGTCATACATTAAAATACGGAGGGAGTATTTGTTAGCTAGCTAGCTAAGCCTTGCCTGCCTAATTGACACCGGCCTGATGTAACTTAAGAGCAGGTACAATAGTAGGCTATAAACCAGCTGCAAACATATTTTAAGAAGACAAATAAGGAGAGAGAAGAGCAGCGGGCTACAGATTTATAGCCAGCTGTAGCACAAACTTTAAGATACAGTGTGTGTATGACAGGTGGGACCAGATATTAATAGTGTAGTATGTAATTATTGTATAAATGAGCTATTAGATTAGTTATAGATGAATTGAAGTTAGTAGTTGGCTATAAACTTGCTCTAAAGGCGCCACCACGGCAGGAATCGCTACCACCCCTTGGATGACACGATTGGATCAGTAGATGTAGAACCCAGCTACGTACTCTCCACTTTTTTTTAGTAACGTCATTGATTATATAAATGATGTTTGATCATTTATCTTATCCAAAATATTTATATAAATGTTATTTACTGTGAATTATTTTATCATCAAAAAGTACATATGTTACTTTTGAAAGTTTTTTAAGTTATAACTTTCAAATAAAATATAATTATACTGTAATTATATTGTAACTAGAATATTAACATTATAAGTCTTATATAACTAGTATGCAATTGTTGCAAAACCATCCTGGCGCAAGTAGCATTCGGATCGCGAGTCACGAGTTCGATATTTGCCGCACACACAGATGAAAGCACATGTCTTTTTTTTTCCTACTCTCCTGCAACATGAATTTTGATTCATATTCGGTGGTCTAAATTTTGAAAGTTTCTAGTAATACTTCTAAAATTCATGGCTTGTACTTTACATATTTACACTAATAATAAGATAGATTGTTAAACATTATGTCAAAATTCAACAACATCATCTATTAAAGAACGGAAATAGTACAAAACAACATTTGAAGGAAAAGATGTTCACACAAAGGTTTCCTACTACTAGTACTAACATTTTATACCACCTTCATTGGCCAATCAATGAAGAATCCTTCACCTACATTGTAAGAGTCATACGTTGATGATATACATATATAGTAGTTTCTTAAGATTCTTGTGCGCGTTGTTTTCTCTCTTTTTAAAAAAGGGTATGCGATTATTCACCAGTTGGGAGCATATCAGCATTTTTATCTTCTTTCCTCGCCGCACTCGGTAAAGTTATTCTCTATCGAGAAATGGCAACACCATTTGCATTTCATCTTGTTCTTCCTCTGACAAGAGAATTTCACATCTTCAGTGTTAAAAGGAAAGCATCCACACACGCGTCCTGACGACAGATTCTTCATCCATGTCCTGGATGATAATAATGCACGCATGCCGACAATTTTCAGAATGTTTAATGAATTGAACATATATATGAAGACCCCGGCTTAAACAAAGTAAACGCACAGCATAGCAAACAGTAATACAGTATGATGCCTTTAATTAAGGCACGGATCAAATTAATATGTTCCAACAGAGACTAAATAAACAGGAACCGAGGCTATATGTCCAAATTAATTATATAGTGGGAGCAAATAATTAGATAAATGGAGATAATTAAAACAAGTCTTTGGACAACTATAATGTTTCTAGCTAGATACGCATTTCATTATTTTTCAACTCATCAATAAACACTTTGATAAGTAAGCTTAATAATCCCAATTCCCAATCCCTAAGTCAATTATAGACGGACAAAACATCGTCCTCCTAGGTCGAGCACTGTATGAATATTTATGGCACACTACTTATTCTATACTCAACCAGATAGATATTCTTGTACAGATGCTGGAATCCACAATCACTCACCACATGACATCGCACAATAATAATGGAGCAATATAATATAATGCAGCAGGCAAATCACACCTTTAGCTATCGGAAACGCGGCCCAGTATCACGGCCCACCCAATAGGCAACAGCCGACCACTACGCGGGGCCCGCGAAGGTCGATTGTAATGGGCCATCTATTCTTCGCCCTGTGGGGATTAGTTTGGGCCAATAGACCACCACGCGGCCCGTCATCGGGAGTGGGCCCGAAGACACTCAGTCCGCGTCGCCTCGCATCTCCCCTGCAGCTAGTAGCTCTCAGTCCTTGCCGCCTGCTCGACGAAATGCCTCGCCGCCGGCACACCGTCTCTCCTTCAGCTTCCTCGTCGACGACGAGGAGGATGCACATGCCACTGAAGCGCCCGTGAAACAGCCAGACGTACGTGAAGAAATAAACTAGCTGGCCATATAGCCTTAGTCGGATTGAACACTCAAAGGTTGAGTTGAGCGCAGGTATAGATCGATCGACTAACTGATCGACAGCGAATGAAACCAAATCTTATTCTTCTTCTTCTGGAGGAACTCAGGCAATTCAGCGATTGAATTATCCTGGCTTTGTGAAGAAAGCCAAAGAAATTAACAGTCTTAATCCGAACCAAACCATATATACAGTATAGTATAACATTCATAGTCTATATTACAATAGGAGAATACTCCATATAACCATCGATCGGGTGGTACACACTGAACACACAGTAGCATACATACATACACTAGCTAAGCTAGCTATCTGCCTAGATGCGTCTATGCATCCATTAACTTCTTATTATATACTCACTCCATTCTAAAATATACGAATCTAAAAAACATCAATTCAGATTCATAGTATTAGATTGCGTATGATTCAACGTTAAGTTGCTATATTTTAAGATGGATGATCGAACGAACTATCTTGTACTAGTAGTGGTAGTATATGGGCCGTAGGTAGCTACTGGTAGCTGGCTGGTGGCCTCCTCCTGCTGTTGGTGGTGGTGCACTGCCGGCGGCGCCATACTGGTTCGGCGGCCGGATCATCCTGTGGACGATCTTCACCTTTCTGGTGGTGGTCGGTTTGGACATAATGCCATACTTTAGCATCTCCTTCTCCCTCTCGAGCTTCTCCACTTCGGGCTCGCGCGGCCACCTGCCCTTGCTGCCGTGGTACCCGCCGATGTCGCCGTACGCCCTCCTGCCGCCGCCGCCGCCGCCGTGCCCGTCTCTCCTCACTATGGGTTCGTCTTCGTAGTCGTCGTTGTCATCGCTGGTGCGCAGCCGCTCATCTCTTTCAACGACGTTCTGTTCGACGATCTCCGGCACCTGCACCTTCGTCTCCACCACGGATGGCGTCCGATTGTCCTTCATCCACACAGTCATATCATACAGATGAGATCGATAGATGAATTTTGGTTGAATTTGATCGTGAGATCGAATTGAATTACCTACCGACGCTACAATTTCGTCGTCCTCCTCCTCCTCCTTCATTCTCTCTATCATCTCAAGCTGGGCGGGGGTGGGCCACCTGGTCTTGGTGCGGGCAAGCTCGTCCTGCATCCTCATGGCGCCGTGACCGTGACCCTTCCTCCTGCAATCATCGTAGTCGGTGCGGACGTGGATCGCCTCGATCGACCTTCTCATCGATCTTTCTCTCTCGATCGTGCACCACTAACAAGGTGTGGTGTGCTCTTCAGCTTTGGTTGATGTGAGTGCCGGTGGAGGGGACTATATATTTGTAGCGTCTCGCGAGTGAGACTAAGGTCTTTTTCTTTCTTCTAATACAGTCTCAGTTTTTGTTAGCACGTATTTTAAATTGTGCATCATGCAAAAACTTTATATATATATATATATATATATATATATATATATATATATATATATATATATATATATATATAGGACACTCATATGGGGCACCATGGTGCCCGGGCACCATGGTATCTAATGCACAAAATCACTCAAATTTTTCAAAATTTTCAAATTGTGAGTATATACCTAGTTATAATAATTTGATTCATACCTATACTTATCAACAAAACAACTCAAATTTAACTTTATTTCACAATCCATGATTACATACCTAACTAATTATATGTATGGATGCTATATACCTAGAATCAAAATCTAACAAAAACAAGTTCAAATTCAGTTCAAACTTGCTTTAAACTAGTTAGTAAAGTAGTTAATGTTAATACCTAGGTAATTGAAAAAGTTTCATACTCATTTGAATTGGGTATATACTCAATTTCAACAATGGTGCCCGGGCACCATGGAGCACCAAACAAATATATATATATATATAAGTTACGCATTTTAAATGGTGCATCACGCGAAAACGTAACATCAGATAAATCCATTTCATGAGTATAAAATAATTAAAATTTAATTAATCAAACATCGCTGGCTAAGGGGAGCGCCCACAATGGAAAAGATAATTTTGTTTGGTGCAATGCAAAAGATAATTTTGGTAACTGGCTAAGGGGAGTGCCTAGACCCCAAAAAAATTGATTTTATTTGGTGCTAGTGCTCTATGTTGGTCAATTTGGCGTTGCCGTAATGATATAGTTTTTAATCATAAAAGAATGTCTAACATCATGCAGGTTATCTTCATGTGTTCCAATTGGCTTCACTCTTGTTGTATGATGCTTTCACAGGAACACCAAGACACTATGCGCAATGGTGCTACGCGTTTGGAATTGGTAGCCAAGAAACTTTTATTCCAGTTTGGATGGCGCAGTACCTACAGAATTTCATGATAGAATCTACGTGATTTTAAAAAAACTTTATCTTAGTAGATCATATTATCGGTAGAAGTTGGGGGTTTGTCCCATCTCATCTTTTTTAAGTTATTTTCTGTTCACTACTGAACTTTTTGGTTGTGTGCCTACAGGCAGAGGCCGGAGATGTAACCATTTTCATTATCTAAAAAAAATTTAATCAAACATCGATGACTCTCTCGTTTCGTGAACCTAAACTTAATCTTCATCTTGAAGTCTACCGAACGGGACCTAATGATAATCACGACAAACGGTGAGGATTTACTTCGTCATGATGACTGGTGTATGGTTATGTAGTACCCGTAGTGGTAGGATACTAAGGAAAAGCCATACAACATGCAACATGGACTAGTGGTTTAAGGGGTAATTTGGAACCATGCCATTATAATTTTTTAAAGTTTAAGATATGCCATCAGTATCTCAATGACATGTAGGACCCCATATGAGTCAATAACATGTAGGTCAGGATGACATATCTCAAATTTTGCACAATTATAATGGTATGGTTCCAATTTTCCCTTTAAGGGAATGCGGTGAAAGAAAATTTATTGAGAAAATATATTTTTAAAATATGAAGCAAATAATACATTTCAATAATCCAGTGAATAAACTGAAAATAATGGGGCCTTAAGATTCCCGTGCGCATTGTCTTATTTGCTTTGGAGAAAAGGGATGTGCGTTAATTTGCCAATTGGGACCATACCAACCTATTTTTAACTGCGCCACTCAGTAAAGTTATTCTGTGTTTAAGAAATAACGGCATCATTTGCTTTTTTTTTTTCATCTTGATCTTTTATCAAGAGAGTTTTTTCATATCTCCAGTAGGTAAAGAAAATGCGAGCATATCAACACGTCCTTATGACAAACACAGGCCGACAATCTTGAACAACTGCTTGAACAGAGTAAGGGCACAGTAGCAGACGATGTTTTCTTTACGTAGTTCTCACGATGATGCCTTCGCGTTCCAGACAGGGATTGCATAACTAACAAATAGAAAAGAAGATTACAGGACGACAATCTGAACGCAAAACATCCTCCTCAAAAACAGCACCAAATGCACACTTCATAATTTTCTCCACAAACAACAGATAACCTTGATGGAGTGTCTCTTAGATGCTAGAATCCACAATCGCTCAGCACTAAAATGGAGCAAAGAAGTGGTCAAGTGAGAATTATTTCATTCCCCAACATGCCTTAAAATACTATATACATGCTTCAACTTAACTAAAGGACGACCCGTATAAAATTATAAATCGCCTTTTCTGGATGCAAACCAGAATTACCACAGCCAATTTTAAGTAAATAGTCCGCATTTCAAAAGGTAAAATGATAAGGTAATTTCCCTCAGAATTGATAAATACAGTAAATGGTGCCCAGAGGTACAAAGTATAATCATCAGTTAGTTCACACAATTTTACAACAACATAAAAAAAAAACAGACCACAGAAGATCAGCAAGCTGCATCTTAGGTGTTTGCACCCATATCTTGTTTGCTGGGATTTGAGGTAATTTAAAAAAGACAGCATCAATTCACGGAGAATCAATTGTTCACCTATACTGTTGTCCACAAGAAAATTGGTAGCTTCCGCTGGTACGAATAATAGTATTCTGAAGTCAGTACAGAGCATCCGTTAGGATAACATATAAACACAATCCAGTAGGGATTCTTTAGTTAATGCATAGTTATGTAAAACAGTGTCTAACTTTGATACTTTGATTTTCCATAATTCATATTATTGAACACCTCATCTATAAGCTCATTATTGGCTTGATGTCCCAAAACAAGTAATTAGATTATATTACACAAGCATATACTAGCTAGTTTGTTATACTACACTTCTATAGTATGATTACTGTGGTTGTTTGCATACAGAATAAGAGAAACAAGAAAAATCAGATTCAGTTCATTCAGCAAACCATGTAACATTCAGTCTAGAATAGTCAGGAAAGAAAATCCAAATGGCATTTACTAATACCAGTAGTATCTCCCACCAATACTTATATTGTTAAAGAAGCCCGTTCAGTATTTCACACTACTTGTAAGTTTTAAGTTCTAACTAGGCGAATAACATGGAAAGTGGCCACAATATGCGATCATAGAAAGGAATAGGAGCTAACTAAAGTTGGATGCTAACAGATCTCAATTCACCAAGGCGCGGAAAAAAAATATGGTGAACCAGCATGACGAATAGAGAAGGTGTTTTCTAAAAAAAACTTTTGCATAACTAACTGTACTTATTACAAAACTATGTTATCGTGATATTTCAGACCTATATTTCAGAGAGTTCATTACAAGGTACAGAAGACAAGGTTTAGTCCATGACCTTGCCCAGTTATATAAATAAAAATATCAAATAACAGTGACTCATGTCACTTCAGTAATGTATCTGAGATGTAGATGCAGAAAGAACTATCGAATACCATTCATGCATAACTAACAAATAATGAATAATGTGCACCAATAATACTCAAACATGTAAATGCAGATGCGATGGGTAGCAATACAAATGTCAGGGACAATTTTCTGCCCAGCTCAGTGCTCACCACACATGCTACTTTGCAACCTCCAAAGCACTCTCAATCTGTTGGATTAGTTGATTAGCAGGCAGCGCTCCCTCCTGCATTGCCAAAACAAAAATGAAAAACAGCATAGACCACAAAAAAAGAGATAACCTCATTATTGTTAGCATTAACAAATCAATTAAAATTGAGAAAAGGTGGATCCTCAAAACTTACAAAGCGATGACAAGGTTTCCCATTCTTGAAGATAATAAAAGTTGGCAATGCTTCAATTTGGTAACGATTAGCAATGCTTGTGTACTTCTCTGTATCAATTTTTACGACTTGAATCTTATCGCCTAACTTTTCGCTTACTTCCTGAAGTATAGGAACCATGTATTGACATGGACCACACCTGACAAAAGGAAGATAAATAAATAAATGGAGAGATACACTCAAAATGCGTTTATCAATCTTCCTACTAACAAGCCAAGAACTGCTAAGCCATCATATTATCTGAATGGTGAGTAACCGTTATCAATGAGCAATCACTTTGTCAGTTTGGTGTTGGGAGTTGCCAAAGTGGTAGAGAGAATACGGCCAGACTATTATTCTCTCTTTTTTTTCTCCCATAAGGAAGAAATAGATTTGATCTAAGATTTTGATTAAAAACAAAAACAACACAACAGCACCTTGCAAGCCTACACGATGGACAATAAACATACACTTGTCTTCTCCCTTTATCCATGGAAACACTAAAGATTGGACAAAAAAAAATTGATCCCATTAATAATGTGTTTGCATTACTCAATGTGCAGGGAATTCCACATTCACTTTCACAAGGTCAGTGATGCATTCAGGTAGGAACAGGACATTACCTCCATCAAAACTAACTCCTTAAGGTCTAACACTGTGAGAATTGGAGTACATAAATCTAGTACAGAGCACTGATAGTGATATAACCCATCAAGACATTTGGAACACAGTTTACTCTTACCAGTAGCTTACCAAGTTGCATAGAAGTCGACTAGTACAGGCTTTTCAGACTTCTCCAGTAACTCGTCAAACGAAGAGAACGTCTGTTTCTTCGCTTGAACCTATTCAAATAAACATACAAACAATTTTTAGAAACGGAATATCAATATTATGTTAACAGTAACTATCAAATTAATTAGAAAGACATCCATGAATATAAGCACATTGAAGGATTGGAGAAAATACTGATTTGGATTGATGATGGTTAATAAACCTATGATGAATATCTGGTTACACAGCATTACATCTAATCATATATAGTTACATTCATGAAAGATTTCCAACCGATATGGGTCCGCAACAGGTGTGGTTAGCAAAAATAAAACTAAGTCTAAAAATATTCATGACATACAGCCATCAAATCAAGTAACTGATGCTGCACAGTGATATGTGAAGAAATGACAAATAGTAGGGACATCAAATTGTTGACTCAATTATTCCACGGGCAATAGAAGTACAGAAATGGTGGCTTTGGCTTACACTGGTCCCAGAAAGACTGAACTGGGACCAACAAATCTATTGGATAACTCATAGCCCCAAATTTCACTTCGTTGTCATCTAAAATCGATCCAGGCCAGATCACCACAGCAACAGCTAGTACTTGATGCAGCGAAATCACTACGAAATGCTGCATCAAAGCACGGCAAACCAACGAGCAACCCGAACGAAGCTGCAACAGCTAGTACTTGATGCAGCGAAATCACTACGAAATGCTGCATCAAAGCAAGGCAAACCAACGAGTAACCCGAACGAAGCTCGCGGGGGGCTCACCCGCAGCGTGGCGCCACGGCGGGACGGCGCGGCCGCTCGCCGAAGCCCCGCCGCCACCACCACCGGCGCGGCGGAGCGGAGCGGCGCCGCCGACGAGCGCGCGACGAGGGCCGCGGGGCGGCACGGCGTGGGCGACGCCGCCGCGGCGGTGGTGGTGGAGGTGAAGGCCGCCATGGAATCTCGCGCGCGCCTTCTAGGGTTTTGTGGCTGGCTTACCCTTATCCCGGCGATTCGGGAGGAAGAAGACCAGGTGCGCCAGCGTGGTGCACCCGGTCCACCACGTAGATGCGTGGACTGGTTTTCGTGGACCGAGTCCACGGTCCACGGGCCAGCAGCCACCAACCTGCCTGGCCCACGGCCCACTACCTCCTCTGCGCAACCGAAGCAAGGTGACGCATCCGATCTCCGCACCAAACTCCTCGTGGTGGTTTCGCAGCTCTCCTGCGAGCGAATTCTAGGGTTTGGGAGGAAATCCAATCCCTCCAAATCCGGATTCGTTTTGGAAGACGTTTTGGAGGAGGTAGCATGAGCTCGGCGCAGGATCCGTTCTACATCGTCCGGGAGGAGATCCAGGACTCGGTAATTCTTGCTCTTTCTCTCCTTTGTCCCTTTCTCCGCTTCCAGCAAATGCGAAATTAGTTGCCGTCGTCCTGTATGCATATGGATCAAAACCAAAAATTCGAGCGTTTGCGCGCAGACATACCCCTTAGTTGCTTGATTCTGACCGATTTTGTAGATTATGCCGATCGTCCTGTTTCTGTTCAGATGCTACCTGTGATTTGGGATGTCTTTTATGTCTAGCGATGCCACCAAAAGGATTAAGAGTACAGATTTGTCGGTACACTGTAAGAAATGTCTATCCAATTTAGAGTAGTTCCAACGTATGCTAGGATGACATGTTGTGTCCAATGGGCTTGAGGAATGGGACTGGGTGACAGGGCGTGGGAAATTGACAACAGTCTGGTGTTGCATTTTTAACATTTTTGATGTAATGATGGAAGAATTGTAATTATGTTCTTGAACAGACCTTGAACAGATTTGTGTTAAGTTGGTAGCTGATACACTTATATTATCACTGAATTGCCATGTTACAGACTCCATCACTAATTGGTCCTATTAAGCTCATAACTCATGACCCCTTAAGATTAAGAACTGTTGGAGTAGCTTTTCTGTTTAACTCATAGTTTCAGAAACATTCTGCACCATCATGCTGTTCACTGTGCTATTCTACCATTCCTGAATATACATCTTCCTTGCATCTCTATTGTTAACTCCCTCACACATTCAGAAACATATTTCATCCTCATGCATTTTACTATGCTAGATTTTGTTATCGCTGAAGATATAGCCCCTTCGTGTTATTGTGCTGCTTATTTCCTTCATAACTTCGAAAACATATCACACCATCAACACACATGCATCTATCTTATTCTTCTAATACTGAGGATAAAGATATTTCTGTGACAGATTGATAAGTTGCAAACTACTTTCCATCGATGGGAGAAAACACCGTCAAACACAGGAGAACATGTTCATTTGACAAAGGAGCTTCATACCAGCTGTGAAAGCATTGAGTGGCAGGTGAGAAAACAGGGAATATCAGTGCTGTCATTCTTTGATGTTTTTGGTACAGGAAGAAGCCGCTGTTGCATTTAATATATTAGAGTTACTTATCGGAATATCTGTTTTCTTCTTCCTGCACAGTTGTTCTGGTATAACTGGTGTTTTTTTATGTTGGAAGGTGGATGAGTTGGAAAAGACAATCTTAGTTGCATCAAGAGATCCAGCGTACTATGGACTGGACGAAGTTGAGCTTTCTAGACGACGGAACTGGATTGGTTCTGCTCGTAATCAGGTATTTCTTGATGTTTCATCTTGTTTCGCTTTTTATGTTATATAAACTGCTGGGTGACTTATTGGAACTTTACAAATTATACTTATACTACAGATTTCATGTGCCTTTTCGTTTGCGCCTATTTCATTTTCATAGGATTATCAATTAGGTATATCCTGATCATGTGTGAGCATCTTAGAAATACAATGACTGCTAAACATGATATACAGTGGCGTGGGAAAAAAAAAGACACGAGAATAATTTTGATGTTACTGTGTTCTGAACTCTATGTAGCCAATGCAAGTTTCATCTACGCTGGATTCCTGTTTACGGGTAAACATATCCAGGTTGCTGCAGTCAGGAGATCTGTTGAAAAGGGGAAGAGTAATTCAACTTTCTCGGCGCACCAAGACATGGGCACAAGCAGAAGTAACCACTACACTGCACAAGACAATGATGACTTCATTGCTTCAGAATCAGATAGACAGCTTCTACTTATGAGGTCAATTTTCATTCTGCTACATTTATTGCATTTTGCAATTTTGCAAATACTTTAGTTAGAAATATATATTGTCTGCCCTGCACATATAATATGAGCACTGCATTTATGTTTCTGTTAATGGTTAGCTGGTTGATGCATAATCTTCGAGTTACACTTGGAATTGCTAAGAAGGATATATTTTTGGTTCTAGCAGTGTAAAGTTCATATAGCCTGATGTTCTGCACTTATCTGATAACTGTACTTAATTTACCTTCAGGCAGCAGGATGAGGAACTTGATGAGCTTAGCGAAAGTGTTCAAAGGATTGGTGGTGTAGGGCTAACCATACACGAAGAGCTGTCTGGACAGGTATTGCCCTTGTCACACGGCAAATTGATGGAGATGTTGCCTAATGAGCCAAAAAATGTTCACTACAGGGCCATTCAGTCTCTTTTTTTTTTTTGGCTGGGAGTGTAGCACTCTAAAAAGAACATGTCAGCTGAAGTAACTGGGAACGTCTTGCTTTTTTACAGGAAAGGATCTTAAACGACCTAAGCTTGGAGATGGAAACTACTTCAAACAGACTTGACTTCGTGCAGGTTAGTTGCTTCATTATAAAGCATGACGCCGTCGTTGTTTCTTGTATTCAAGATAGTTTAAATTTCCACAAGTTATTTGTTGATGTGCACTAGATGCTTATATTTATGTTTCAGCTAGCAATTTTTATTGCTGAATCAGTTAACAAGCCTGTACCATGTCATACTTATTTGCTGCATTCAAGTTGTGTAGAAGTTCCTGGAAATTAGAGTAGTGCCCTGAAATTATTTTCCTCTCATTGCCTGGTGCAGAAAAGAGTGGCGATGGTCATGAAAAAGGCTGGCATAAAAGGGCAGATTATGCTGATCCTCTTCCTTGTGGTTCTGTTCATTATACTTTTCGTGTTGGTGTTCTTGACATAACGCACTAGTGTTCCAAGCCTCGTGTTTTGCGGCTGTACCTACCTACTGTAAGCTGTGGAGAACAGAAAACAAATACACGAGTTGCTCATATCTTTCAAATCCTACCTGATTATTGCTCCATCTCTATTATGATCTTTTTATTTCATACGCCCTATTTTTTTCTCCAACAAAAGTTGGATAAACTTTTAATACTCGTGGCACGCTTTTCAAACTGCTAAACGGTATGTTTCGTGCGGTAACTTTCTATATGAAAGTTGTTCTAAAATATCAGATTAATCCATTTTTCAAGTTTGTAATATTAAAAGGTCACATGTTATTAGCACCTTGTTTTCCGTGAAACATTTAATCTTTATCTTCATTTTCAGGAGATTCGAAACACTACCAGTCTACCTGTGATTAATATATCTTTCACATAAATAAACAAATGATCATGTCATGCAAAATCATGCGTATACCATCACTTGCCCTCATCACTGAATTTATTTCACTAAGATTGCATACAAGCAAGGCCATAAGTTGAAAGCATACAGCTGCTAATCCACTAATCCAGGCTAACTAGTAGTAGTCCCAGAGTATTATTTTATTATCTAGAAAACGAAGCTGTCTGCAACCTCGAGGACGGACCACGGGAGGTCGCCGGCGGCGACGGTGCCGGGGTTTCTGGCTGAGCAGTTCCGGCGAACCTGGCCCTGCGAGCCGGTGAGCACGCTGATCTGCCCCATCTTCACCATGGACACGGCGAACTGGTCGAAGAATGCCTTCTCGTCGGCGGCGAACTTTTCGACGATGGGCTTGGTGGCGGCGTCGGCGAAGAGGTCCTGGTCGGAGGTGAAGAGCCCCTCCCGGTTGACAAGGTTGACGTAGTACATGTTGTCGAACACGTTGGGCGTCCGGACGTCGTTCGGCGTCCGGCGGTCGGTGCCCGCCGCCGGGCAGGTTCGCCGGAGCCGGCCGGCGAAGGTGGCGTTCATGGCCGGGTCCCGGCGCGGGAAGAGGCGGCCCTCGAAGGAGCTGCAGTGCGCGAGGCCCACGGTGTGGCCGCCGGAGAGCGCCACCAGGTCGGTGGCGTCGAGCTTGATCTTGGCCAGGGCGTCCAGCAGCGCCGGCACGGCGGCGGTCGGCGGCGGCAGCCCGCTCAGCACGTCCTGCTGCGACGCGAACTCGGCGCTGTCTCGCCGCCCCAGTGGCACCTTGTACTCCGGCCCTCCTGACTACACGTCAAAAATAATAATAGTAAAAGTAAATTTCAGATACTTTAAATTATCATAAAACTATAAATTGTGAAATTTCATAAATATTGATTTAGTAAAAAACTTGGATATTTATAACTCAGGCATAACATAAATGCTAAGAATTTAAACCCTATAAGCTATAATTTTGTGCTAATTAATTATTAAATCTATAGTTTTTATGATAAATTTATTGTTAAATATATATTTCTAATACATTATCTTAAATCTGTATTTTTACAATAATTTGATCAAGTATATATAGTTCTATAAAATTTACTTAAAAAGTATAAATAATTTTCGATTATACACAACACGCCCTCACGATCATGCAAACTGTAAGACTCTAAATTTATACGTTTACCGCGACGACAGAGTCGCGGGCGGCGAGAGCGAGGATGTCGGAGCAGGAGACGACGGAGGCGCCGCACGCCTTCTCAAGGCGGTCGCGGATGTCGTTGACGGCCTTGAACGCTGACGGGCGCAGCGTGAGGTTGGGCGGCGCCTGCCGCTCGCCGGGGCCGGTGGCGGAGCCGTCGAGCAGCACGGAGGCGTCGCAGCCCTGCACGAAGCAGTCGTGGAAGTGGAGCCGGAGCAGGCCGGCGGCGAGGCCGATGTCCTTGCGGACGGCGTCCCTGACGAACTTCCTCACGACGGACTCCGCCTTGGGGCAGCTCTTCCTGTAGAAGTCGAACGACAGGCCACTCACCACCGGCGGCTGCCGCGTCGCGTCGGCGTTGCCGTCGCCGGCAGCCGCCGGAGCGCACAGGCAAGCGACGGCAGCTACCAGCATTACCAGCGTCGTCGCAGAAGCCATTTCCTCCCGTAATTGTATTTCTACTGCTCTAAGTGTAAGCTCGTACTGAACATACGCAGCTGTAGGCTTCAATTTATAGGGGAGTATATTTTGATATCTCCATAGGATTTCCTCTCGTTGTTTGCATGTTACTAGAAAAATTTTGAGAAGATGTATTAACATATGATATATGTTCAAATTCAATTTTTACATCTCACAGTCAAAAAACAAATTTGACTGTGAGTATATGTTCACTGGCTGTAATTTAATTTTTTTTACGAGATGTAGAATTTGAACTAGTATATTTGTAGAGTGATATATTATATATTAATATATCTTCTCTATAGTTTTTAATTTTTTTTCATGATCATTTAAGTGACATGTAAATAACGAGGGAATATTTATGGATGGATCAAAATAGTTTCATAATTGATAGGGATTTTGTTTTTGGACATTTAAAATATTATTAATCAAACTTGTCATGCATGCATGTTGACGTAGGTGAATGCAGGATGCTTTGTGAGATGCAAGATATGGGCGAGAAGAGAACAACCGATCCTATCTCCCTACGTCCTGGGTGTCGGTGTACTGTTGATTTTATCGGTTTCTCCAGGAGTTGGGAGTGCAGGGTAGCGCTCTTGGCCAAACACGTCGACCACTCTGCTGTTCCTGCCCATACCGTGTACACGTTTGCTATAAACGCAGCAAACTAAGAACCTCGGTGGCATGATCTGAAAGTGCTAAGAATTAAGTGAAAAATCTTGAAGATGATGTGAATTGAATGGCATATTCTGAAAATTCTCATCTACTTTAGCATCATATGATCGAGTAGGTTGTACGTGTTCGTTCAGATATATCGAATAATCTGAGTGTCATGCATGGTGCACAAATTGAAGTGTGGTTTTAGCCACTTTCATTGACCAAGCAGTGAGGCATTAGTCCGACAACAATCTTGTTGGTTCACATATCACTGTGCATAGAAACAATTCTAATCCCTCAAGGGGATATCTTCTTGTTCTTTGCATATCACTTAAATGGTTATAAAAAAATTGAGAATGTATATTAACATGTGATATAACACTCCACGAACATGCAAGTTCAAATTCAACTTCTACATCTCGTAACAAAAAAACAAATTAAACTACAGCTAGTTAACGTATATTTAAAGTCAAATCTGTTTTTTTGCGAGATATAGAAGTTGAATTTTTATTTGCATGTTTATGGAGTGATATATCACATGTTAATATATCTTTCTAATTTTTTTAATTTTCTTTATAACCATTTGAGTGACATGCAAATAACTCGAGGGAATCAAAATCCTCTTCCGCCTGTGCAGCACAAGAGCGTACACGTACTGAGTCGTGGCGGATGAGAGAGGTTGCACCTGGCGCTATGTTGCAGATCAGCCACTAGCAACTACTGTACCAGTCCAGCCACACTAGTAGTCACCGTGCCCATCATTCATCCGGCCGGCCGGTCTGTCCCCTGATACACTGCCGTTGCATTGTTTGTGTGCATTACAGAGTTTTTAAGATGGATTAAACGTTAAAAGGATGAGTAGTTAATAGTCTCATTTTACGTGTTTGTAATAAAAGATACATACCAGATTTCAGTTTATTTGACTTTATTTGAAAAGATGTAAGGCTACAAGAATACACGCACGCATGTACGTACTGGCAAATTAATGGAAGCAACAAACTTTTGCTGATCAAGAAACTAGGGAGAGGATTTGGTGATCCTTTATCACTCGAGTGGACATGTACACTCGTTTTATCCACTTCCTAGCTAGAGATATAATCCAAGGAAGGTGCATGCATGTCCTGTTTTCTTTATCGATCTGGGTTTGCTATCAAGGAAATTATTTTCCTCCTCAATTTCTCTAGAGGATTCCTTTCCAAACTCAAACAAGATCAGTATGGATATTCGAAACGCACCATGACCGAATCGAATAACTGACTTACCCTGCAACTTTTTTTATTTTTACAGAATTGACTTGCACTGCTTGCAATCCGCACAGACAAGAGAAACAAGAGGCATCGAATCGAATCAAATTATCGAAGCAAATACAGTAATATATTATGGCCGATGTACAAAGCGGCGGCGGCGGCGGCATCACCGTCACCGCCGTGGCGGAGCGGGACGGCGAGAGCGGCTACGGCGCGGCGGTGTTCTTCGCCTGCCTACCCGGCGCGCTGATCGCCATTGGCGTCCTCATGGTGCTCTACTACCGCTCCCACCATGGCCATGGAGCGCTGGCCGTCTTCCTCCTCGTGCTGTCCGTCTTCGTCTTCCTATCCGTGTGCTTCTGTTGCATAGGTCTCGTGCAACTCGCCATCCACGGCAGCCTTCCCCTGGAAGAAGACAGGGTTGCTGCTGCTGTTGATCATCCATTAGACGCCGTCTGATGATTTAATTTTGATTTGATTTTAAATTCAGTATTCATCTGAATTGTGATTCCGATCGAGCTCAAACATGAACATGATTATCTTGAATTCAAATCTTTATTGAAACGAATTTCAGATTGGGTTATTTGAGGGCTAAGTTTTTTGTTTGATAGGATAAGTTCCTAATTTAAAAAGACTGCATATATCTGGTTGGATGTAGAGGCCAGGTAAAAAAATATCCTTATAAAAAATGATTAGCCACCCACATTGTTTGTTAGATTGCTTAGTTTCTACTTAAGGTTAAGTTTGGCTTACTATACGCAAAATCAATAGCCAAGGTTCTCCTATACTAGGTGATTTCTTGAATTGTAATGGTTGATTTCCAAATCACCAAAGTTGCATGGATCCAATAAATCCTATATATTTGGGGAGTAGATTCTGATCCCTCGAGGGGATATCCCCTCGTACACCTTTTTTCTTTCAAATTTGATATAAATAGTTGTGAAAATTTCTGAAAAAAAAACAATGTAGAGGTTGAATTTGTCTTTTTATATCTCGACGTGTGAATCACATTTGGACTTAAGATTTTGTGGAGCTGTATAGATATGTTATATGAATATTGTCAAAATTTTCCAGAATTTTTCATAACCGTTTTGATGTTTTTAAGCAAACGAGGGGATATCCTCTCGAGGGATTTAAATAGTTTTCATATATTCAACTTTATTTGCAAATAAAAAATAAGCTACAAAATACACGCAAGTGTACATACTCATGACATTTGGAAGCAACAAAATATTTATCAAGGAAATAAGCTTAATTAAACTAGCCATCCTTGTTAGCACCCTACAGCACCAAGCTCTCGGCGGCCTCAGCGACGGTCTCCACGACGGACCAAGCACGGTCGCCGGCGGCGGCGGCGTTGGACACCGAACAGCGCTTGCGGATCTGCCCCTGCGAGCCGGTGAGCACCTCGATCATGCCCATCTTGACGACGGAGTAGACGTACTGGTCGAAGAAGGCCGACTGGTCGACGGCGAACTTGGTGACGATCGGCTTGGTGGTTGCGTTGAAGAAGAGGCCCTGGTCGGAGGTGAAGAGGCCCTGGCGGTTTTGCAGGTCGACGTAGTACTTGTTGTCGAAGGTGTTGGGCGTCCGGATGTCGTTGACGGTGGTGTCGTTGGTGTTCAGCACCGGGCAGGTGACCTTGAGGTGGCCGGCGAACCACTTGTCCATGGTGGGGTCGACTTGAGGGAAGAGGCGCTTGTCGAAGGAAGTGCAGTGCGCGATGCCGACGGTGTGCGCGCCGGAGAGGGCGACGAGGTCGTGGGCGTCGAGCTTGAGCTTGCCCAGCGCTTCGAGGAGCGTGGTGACGTTGGAGTCCGGCGACGGGAGCGCGCTCAGGACGGCGTCCTCAGACGCGAAACTGGAGCCGTCGTGGCGGCCGAGGGGAACATCGTACCACGGGCCACCGGCGAGGAGGACGGAGTCGCGGGCGGCGAGGGTGACGATGTCGGAGCAGGACACGACGGTGTCGCCGCATTCCCTGTCGAGCAGGTCGCGGAGATCGTCGATGGCGTCGAACGCCGACTTGCGGAGGGTCTTGTTCGGCGGCGCCAACTTCTCGCTCTTCTCGGTGGGTGTGCTGTCGAGCAGGATGGAGGCGTCGCAGCCCTGGACGAAGCAGTCGTGGAAGTGGAGCCGGATCAGCGCCGCGGCGAGGCCGACGTCCTTGGCGATGGCGTCCTGCAGGAACTCGAACACGACGGCCTCCGCCTGCGGGCAACTCGCGTCGTAGTAGCCCAACGACAACCCCTTCGCCAACGGCGGCATCCTCGCCGCCGCCGAGCTGCACACCAGCGCAGCCGCGGCGGCGAGCAGCAGCATGCCGGCAGTAGCACTAGTCCTGGACGCCATGGTCGATCGATATAGCTAAGTTTACTTAGCTCTCGTCGTACTCGTACTGATCGATCAACCGTGTGCCGTCCTCCGAGGATTTCCATCGCTTTTATAGCGGACGCGCACTACTTGCGAGTGTCGTGATGAAATTGATGGATTTGGTGCGTGCATCTGCGATTTTTCCACGAGGTCGTTGGAATCGTCGAAAAATCTATGATAGGTCTATTATATGAACGCATGCGCGAACAAATTGCAGCGGACTGAGACTGGCTGATGCGGCGAACGATCGAGCGAGCTTGTCGGGATTGAGCAAATTGGCAGCACAAGTGGATGGCTTTTTTTTTCTTTTTGGTTGAAACTTTACAAGTGGAGGTTGGTGCATAGTACAATGCACAAATGCTCATAGGCGGCTATATAAGGATTAGTAGCAAATTTAGTTATGTATAAAGAAAAACCCTTAACTTGGCGATTTTTCACATATGTGTAATCTCGCAAATTGAATTATAGCTAGGCTCGCCGTTTTTTTTTCCCCTTTTTTCCAACGAGCTAGCACGATTCTTTGGAGAGAAAGATCAATAATGTGTGATTCGCTTCAAATGGTTCAACCTTCTTCCGTTGAATTATTCGAAAGAAGTCTTACGAATGAGTGGTGCACACAGCTCCTCCATCGGAATCCATGCATGCATAAATTAGCTGTCGTTGTTTAAGGGTGGGCGACGGGCCGGCGGCTACGCTGATCAGTTTATCATCATTGAAAAATAAGAATAAGCTGATGAAGAAAGAAAAACACAAGCAAATTTAACTACTCACACAAATATAAATTGAATCCGATTCATATTCCTCAACCATAAAACTAGATAAATCGACCCCTCTAACTATCAAAACCGTTTAAAATGACTACATCAACTGTTTTTAAAAGCGGTTTTTCGTTGACTTGGTGTTCACGTGACATCCCAATCATTAAAAAAAATAGAGTGGGTTCCACCTATCATCCCCTCCATCTCCATTTCTGACCTCTCTCTCTCTCCCATATCGATTTTTTTCAGTCTCACATTGCCCACCACCATCAGAATTCAGAAAGATGTCCTGGAAAGTTGGAATATTCATGTCCCCTGCTATTGCTTTTTCCATCGCCCCCGCTCGAGTTGAACTGTTGAAGAAGAGGTGGTGGTGTTTCACGGGGTTCAGCCTCAGGCCGTCAGCCCCTTGTACAAGGCCAGGACCGGCCACCACTCAGGTAAAGCAGATTAAGTGCTATGCCGACGAGCTTAGACTGACTTCTTTCCTAGCTTTCTCAACTCATCTTCTTCGTTTTTTACACATACACTTTTCAAACCGCTAAACGGTGTGTTTTTTGCAAAAAAATTCTATACGAAAATTGCTTAAAAAATCATATTAATCTATTTTTCAAAAAAATGCTCCATCCAATTCAGGTTATAAGACGTTTTGACTTTGCTCAAAGTCAAATTATTTCAAGCTTGATTAAGTTTATAGACAAATATATTAATATTGATAATACTAAATTAGTTTCATCAAATCAATAATTGAATATATTTTCATAATAATTTTGTCTTGGGTTAAAAATGTTACTACTTTTTCTGTAAACTTGGTCAAACTTAAAGCAGTTTGACTTTCACTAAACTCAAAATGTCTTATAACCTGAAATGGAGGGAGTAGCTGCTAATGAGCCGCTCCATTTTATGTGCCAAGAGATTTGTTCCCAACCAGTAGTAACGAACACAGCCGTAATTGGTTATGCCTGACGAACTCTTGACCTTCACTTCACATACTCCATCCTCTGTGCACAGGGGCAGATCCAAGAACAAAAATTGGGAGGAGGGGGGCTCAATTACACAGTTTGTTCAACCTCCAGCCATTTAGAAGCCTTAAGTTTATCATTCATTTTAAAAAAATTAAAGGGGATGCTCTGGGAGGTATCCATGGGCCTTGTGGGTGTAGGGGGGACTCGAAACCCCCCGCACCCACGTTGGATCCACCCCTGTCTGTGCATATATCTATGTGATCCAATATGCGCATGCATCCAATATGTGCATGGTTAGGTTGTCACGTCAATGTCCTACACTTCTGTCTTCTGCATGGGCTAAAAAAAACGGCCCATCGAAGTTAGTAGGCCCAAAAAATTTTGAAGGCTGAACCGCCACTTTTTCGCAGGGTGCATAAGCAATCGATTCCCAAACAAATTTTATTTTATTCATTCCTTCAAATATCAAAGTTTGATCTCTGAACTAACATGCGGATTATAAAATGCAGCTAGCATTAACAGACTAGCAACCGATGAGCGTACATAAAGCGGGGAAACTATTTTGATGGATGCTAGCTGCCTAGCTGCATTTTATAATCCACCCAAACGGTTATTTTAAAAAAATATCATCCAAACAGTTATAAAAAAATTATATAAAATTTGATAATGTTCGTACAACATATCTATACAACTCCACAAAATTTTAGATCCAAACTCAACTCACACATCGACATATAGAAAAGACAAACTTATGAATAGTAGCATATTGTATACAAAATTTGTCTCTCTTTTTTTAATCTTAGTGGGTATGTCAAATTTTAGCTTGATTTTTGGTGGACCGATAGATATCACTATACTCTACATTGTCAAATCTATATCTATATCTATACCTAATTAAAAAATAAGTAAGGTTTTCGGTTGATTTTTTTCTTCCGTCATTAAAGGGTGGGCCCACGTGATTATTTCGCCGCTAATCCGTGAATCCGGATGCATTACGACGATCTCTGAGCTCCGCAAATAAAAGAGAATGGAAAAAAAAAAGAGAAACCTAGCGAGCAGCCCGGCAGCCAGCCTACAGAGCAGAGAAGCAGCAGCCCAGCACAACATAGTTCTGCGTGATATAGTAGTAACCGAGCACTGTAGCACGAATAATACCACCTAAATAGGAGGCTTGCCTGAGATTATTAACACTAAATAAAGTTTGTGTTTGGATCTGTGTCTACTAGGAATTGGATTTAAAAAAAGGAACAATTTCATTATTTTGGGAAAGTAAAAAAAAAATCACATGTCTTTCTTTTTTAAAAAAACATGTAACCACCAACAAAATGAATTATTTACTGACAAAATAAATTACTTTTAGAAAATAGAAAACAATCACGTGTCTTTGTTTTTTAAAAAAACATGTAGTCACCAACAAAATGAATCGTGTTTACATCCAGATTTTTTCCCTCATCCACATCAATTTTTTTTCATTCGTTGTATGTTTTTGTTCTAATTTTTTTAGAGTGAGATGATACACCACTTTTTTTTTTCTTTCCATTCATCGTACGATTTCCTTCTGATTTTTTGAGTGAAAGCGATTATGCAATTGGAGTACAGTGAGATTTATCTGATAGCTAGCGAAAAACATTTCTTGTACTATTACTACTCTTGCAGTATGTAAAAAAAAGTGTTTATCAATATCAAGTACAAAAATATAACCATGCATTGCAACCGACTCATAATAATACATGACAAAAATAAATACTTTTTGGGTTTCAAACTTTAGTATGTATAATACATAATTTCATTTTAAAGTGGTATTAATAGCTTTCTTATAATCCATGTGAATGGATTTAGAGCAACGAATAATTATGTCATGTTAGCGTCTTACTTGCACCGAAAAGATTCGATTTGACTATAAGGATCTCAATTAACCTGGTGGCATTATGCTCCCACACGCCCATTACTATTTATTTTTGTCTTCACCCAGTGCAACGCATGGGCATTTCGCTAGTTTTATTAGAATTTTTCATAATTATTTGTATCGAATTTAGAAGAAAAAGATACACGAGAGAATATTCTCTCGAGTGATTAAAAATTTAAAATCCACCCCGAGTAAAACGTGCTACATGCAAGCTCCGAGTTCTTCATCGGAGCAAAGAGTAATTGAGCTCCAGCTAGGTGCCACCGCCGGCGGCGTTGCGCACCGAGCAGTTGGTGCGGATCTCCCCCTGCACTCCCGTCATCACCTGGATCTGCGACATCTTCACCATGGAGAAGGCGAAGCGGCGGAAGAACTCCGGCTGGTCGACGGCGAACCTGCCGACGAGGCCCCTCGTCCTGCCGTCGCTGAACAGCACCTGATCGGAGGTCAGGAGCCCCTGCCGGCTGAGCAGGTCGACGTAGTACTTGTTGTCGAAGGCGTTGGGCGTCCGTACGTCGATGGCGGTGGTGTTGGTGGTGTTCTTGGCCGGGCAGGAGAGCCTGAGGTGGGCGGCGAACCGCGCGTCCATGGTGGCGTCCACCTGCGGGAAGAGGCGGTCGTCGAAGGAGATGCAGCGGGAGACGCCGAGCGTGTGCGCGCCGGAGAGCGCCACGAGGTCGGCGGCGTCGAGGCCGATCTTGGCCACGGCGGCGAGGAGCGCCGTCACGTTGGAGCTCGGCGGCGGGAACGCGGCGACGACGCGCTCCCTCGCCGCGATCGTCGCGCCGTCGCGCCGGCCCAGGGGGACCCTGTACTCCGGCCCGCCGACCAGGCGGACGGAGTCGCGCGCGGCGAGGGTGAGGATGTCAGCGCAGGAGACGACGGCCCCGCTGCACGCGTCGTCGAGCAGGGCGCGGAGTTGGGCGACGGCCATCAACGCCGACGGGCGGATGGTCTCGTTGGGTGGAGCGTCCAGCTCGCTCGCCTCCGTCGCCGTGCGCGCCAACAGCACCGACGCGTCGCAACCCTGCACGCACAGCGCAGCACAATTATTAGTGGCGGTTCGCGAATAATTACCCGTCACAGATGCGTGTTTAAATATAGTATCGATCGATCTGTTCAATCCAGAATTCAAAATTCAGAGCATGTTTGAGGCGTAATTTCATCATTTTGCACATGCATTATGCATGATTAGGTGTATAATCAATTAATTTTAATCAATTAGTTAATTGCCTGGACGAAGCAGTCATGGAAGTGGAGACGGATGAGGCCGGGGGCGAGGCCGACGTCGTTGCGGATGGCCTTCTTGAGGAAGCTCCTCACGATGGTCTCCGCCTTGGGACAGCTCCTCTGGTAGAAACCGTACGACAAGCCCTTCGCCGTCGGCGGGTAATCGCCGGCGGAGGCCGCCGGAGCACACAGAAGCAGCAAGCTGCAGCAGGAAACGACCAAAACCTGCAACGTGCTGCTCATTTTTCTCGCCATCTCGATCGGCTTAATTTTGTGTCTTGGAGTTGGGGTGAATGAGCTTGCATGCGAGTGTCTTCATCAATTTATAGGCGTTTGCTCGTTCGCACCTACAAAATCCATTTTCGCATATACAAAATGATGTCAAAATGTCAACGCAATCGACTACCTACAAAATCATCCATTTCGCGCAGCTGTATGAAGGTTGGCAAAAATTGCTACCTGTGTTGCGTTTTGTCTCAATAATGTGAGCTAGTAGCTTCCATCGATTGTTCTATTTTATCAGTTGCGTGTGATCGAGCGATCGAGTTCATCGATCACCCAAACCGGCCGGCCAGTACGTACGATCCGATGTACTACGTAGTACGTACAAACGTTGCAGATGCTACCTAGCTAGTCGTTAGTCGTTACGTTGCCTCCTTCGCAAACGAATGATCATTTGACTTGACAAGCTAGCTAGGCAAGGTCAAATTTCTCTCTTTAGGATTAATTTTTCATATATCAACTTCCATGCATGTTGATTAGTAGTCCGCACGGAGTTGAGGGGATCGAGAATGATTAACGTACCTTCAATTCAGCACTACATGAATGTACGTACATATGCAATGTAAACAAATTAATCAATCTATGGGCTAGCTCTTAATTCTTCTTTGGATGGAAGCTAGTTGCTAGCTACGTCAGTGATGAAAACAGGGCGCTGTTTGTCACGTATGATCACAAATTAAAACTTTAAATTTAAAATACACGTCTTTTTTTTTATCATATCGATTCTTGCAATCGTGTTGCTAGTTAGAAAATTTTGACGAAAGTTTCTTTTCCGAATTCAAACATGATCAGTATACTCGATCGATCCGTGAGTGTTCAATACATGCATTGTGGTCTGCTACGCCATCCACTGCACTTCCACCACGTACGGGTCCCATCACGGAGCGGATGCCGTCTTACTCCTCGTGCTCAGCTTCTTTTTCTTCTTCTTCTTGGCATTCGTCTGTTGCTTCCTCGTCGTGCAATTTGCCACCCTCCCTTCGAACAATGTTACAGGCTTCCTGTAGTAGATGATCCATTATTAATATATGATATACCATTCCACGAACATTATATAAGTAAAATTTGACTTATATATAAGTTCCTTCTAATATATATTGACGTGTAATCCTTTTGCACGTTTGCGAAAACTTAATTTGACTTATATAAGTTCCTTCTAATATATATTGACGTGTAATGCGGGTTTGCGAAAACTTCTACTAAGTTATAACCAAAAGGAACAAATATAGTTCTAGATGTATGTTTTAGCAAGTTTTAGTTTAATTTATTTTTTTTATTGTTACAAATAAGTCAAATTTAACTTCTATATTTTTTATGCGATATATCTGTTATAAAAGTACCTTGTTACAATTTGTAGTTTCATTATATATTTTTTAAGTCAATATCTCTTATTAATGTATATCAACCTTTTTTTGCAATTAAAAGGGTATATCTAGGGATGAAAAACCATCTTCTTTTGAATTAGATGAAAATGGTCAAACGTATTCCCAACGTCAACGATTTCATCTATTTAAAAACAGAGGTATAGGGTATTTTACTTATTTGATTGATTAATTGTTGCTAGAAATTATTTTCGCGAACGCGCAAAAGAATTGCATGTCAATATATTAGAAGAATAGAGTTTTGATACACGACTCACTCAGCCAGACCGGCCTATGCCAAGTAAGGAAGAAAACAAAGATAAAAAACAAAGAAAGGAAAGGAAAAAAAACTCGAAAAGCTCTACTCCAAACAGCGGAAGGGAGCAGAGCCACTCTACGCTCCCAACAATTCCCCAAAGTAAGTGACGGCCGCTAACGACCACAGCCGGCCCTCCAAAAGGATGACCTCTAGGACTACTGCGACCGAAGAGAGCACAGAGTCAAGGACCCTGGAGTTACGTTCCCTCCACAGTTGCCATGAGACTAGGAGGACCAGGGAGTCGAAGCTGGCACGGAGATGATCAGGTAAACAAGCCCTAGAAGATGGCCACCAATCATGCAGCCATGTGCCATAGAGGGGAGAGAGGGCAGCCCAGCCAGGAGACGATAACACCCGTGTTGGTAGAAATTATATTTCTCCTTTATTTAATTTGGTATATGGTTAAGCATATATGGTACCCGATCGATCCGTGACTGTTTTACTTAGAGTATGCATGCGTGACCGAATTGAACGAGATAATCCGAGCCTAATTCGAACCTAATTGCAATCCGCACAAACAAATAGTACCAATCAACAACCACACATACATCGATCGTGATCTCTAGCTAGTACATTAGCAGAGAGAGGCATATATCAGAATTAATTATTATCGAAGAACAATAAATAATGGGCGATCTAGAGAACCCTAACTACGATGGTTATGGCGGCGACGGCGGCGGCGACGGCGATGACGATTACTACTTCACCGCCATGGCGGAGCGGGATGTCGGGATCGACAACGACTACGGTCTGGTGGCCTTCTTGGCCTGCCTAGCTGTCACGACAATCGGCGTCGGCGTCCTCATGGTGAAGTACTACCGCTCCCACCATGGAGCCCTTGCCGTCTTCCTCCTCGCCCTCGCCATCTTCCTCTTCCTCATGGCATCCGGCTGCGGCACAAAAGCCATGCTGTATACCCTCCACGGCAACCCTCCTGCTCCTGATGAACAACGACTTCTCGTAGATGATCCATTGGACTGATAGATATGTATATATGATTCTTAGTTTAGATGTCGTCTGATTATTTAAGTGATATGCAAATAACGAGGAGATATCCCCTTCCCTCGAAAGATCAAGAAATAGTTTCCCCTCCACAGCTCGGGCTACCATGGCGGCTTCGTCTTGTGCGTCTTGGCATGCCGCTGTTGCACAAGCCTCATCCGTCATTCCATCTACAGGAACCATCCGTCATTCCATTATACTGTATGATCCATCAGCAGACAAGACGCCGGCGATCTGATTAATTATTGATTACTACCTCCGTTATAAAACATTTTGATTTTAGTTAAAGTTAAACTGCTTTAACTTTGATTAAGTTTATAAAAAAATAGTAGCATTTTCAACCCAAGACAAATTTATTATAAAAATATATTAAATTATTGATTTGATGAAACTAATTTACTATTATAAATATTATTGTCTATAAACTTAGTCAAATTTAAAATAATTTGACTTTGATCAAAATTACAATGTCTTATAATCTGAAACGGAAAGTACTGTACTTTACTTTATTTTGTTTGATATATTGGTGTTAATTCGGATACTTCTTCAGTTGAAGTAATCTGTGACCTGGAGGGTGACAAACTATATATAGCTTGCTTGCTGCCAGCAACAATCGACATGTGCTTGCTATCTGCTGATGATCGAGGATCGATCACTGATTGGTGTTGATCATTGCCTAATCAGGATCAAGTAATCATCGGGATGTTTTTGTCATGTATGCAGCAAACGTATGTCTTTAGAGTTTCAGACACTAGGTTGTTTCTCTCTCTTTCTGGTATATACGTACATACGTCTATTTATGCAGGTATCTTATGAATTAATTATTAATCTATTATCGTTGCCGACAAATATTGTACGCCTTAATACTCAACGCATGTGTCATGTGTGTCTACAGGTGCGTGACTTCTGCCTCCACTCCAACCTAATTAATTAAATCTTAAATTTGGCTTAAATTAATTAAAAGAAGTGATCTGCAATATACATTGGGAAAGTGGTTTTATCACTCAAGGGATATCTTCTCGATTCGTGCATTCCACCTAAAATAATCATAAAAAATTTTGGCAATATATATTAATATGAAATATATATCACTCCGTAAACATTTAAGTTTAAATTCAACTTCTATAATGTAACAAAAATAACAAATATAGCTGCGAATATATATATAACTATGTTCAATTTAATTTGTTCTTTTTGTTGCAATTTGTAGAAGTTGAATTCGGTCTTGTATGTTTATGGAGTGATATATTTCATAATAATCTATGTTATTATATATAATTTTTTAAATTTTTAATAACTATTTAGATAACATACAAACAATAAAAGATGTTTCCTGCAAGATGAAAATCCACATCCATATATATTGATCATAAAGGAGGTTGTCATGACGTCATGCATTTATTCGACATGGCAGTAACCAACATATATCCACAGTCGTCGTCGTCTCTTTCCACATTCAACGTACGGTACACGTACTGACGTACGCGTCCATGGCGCGCACAATTGTGTGTCTAGAGCACGATGCTCTCGGCCGCCTCGACGACGGTCTCCACGGCGGCGGACCACGGGAGCTCCTCGTCGGCGGAGGCGGCGCCGGGGTTGCGGACGGAGCAGTTTGCCCGGATCTGTCCCTGCGAGCCGGTGAGCACCTGGATCTGGCCCATCTTGACGACGGAGAAGACGAACTGGTGGAAGAACGCCGACTGGTCGACGGCGAACTCGGCGACGAGCGGCCTGGTGGTGGCGTTGACGAAGAGGTCCTGGTCGGAGGTGAAGAGGCCCTGGCGGTTTTGCAGGTCGACGTAGTACTTGTTGTCGAAGGCGTTGGGCGTCCGGATGTCGTTGACGGTGGTGTTGGCCGTGTCGTTCTTCGGGCACGTCAGCTTGAGCTGGCCGGCGAACCACTTGTCCATGGTGCCGTCCTGCTTCGGGTACAGCCGCCCGGTGAAGGAGGTGCAGTGGGCGATGCCGACGGTGTGGGCGCCGGAGAGCGCGATGAGGTCGGCGGCGTCGAGGTTGAGCTTGGCCAGCGCGGCGATGAGCTCGGGGACGTGGGAGGTCGGCGGCGGGAGCGCGCCCAGCACCTGTGACGGCGTCGCCGATGTGAGGCCGTCACGGCGGCCGAGCGGCACCTTGTACGACGGCCCACCGGCCTGCACCCAATTGCAATGTTCAACATTTTGGTTTTTATATTTATTTTTCTTGAAAAGAGGGTAAAAGCTTTGCTTGTATATTGATAGAGTAGGGGTTACATCAAAGAATTGGGCATCAAAGAATGACTTACATTATGAAACGGAGGGAGTATGTTCTAACATTCACTGATTAATATTTATCTTTGCACAGACGTAAACATTTCTAACGTTTAATTAAATTTGTCCAGAACAAACATTTATGTAATACTCCGTACCACTTTTCCAGTCCAACTACTCCTTTAAGATTTATTGATTTACACGGGCACATCCGTAACCATGCACAAACCAAACATACACAACACCACGCTAATAACAGTCTAATACATACTCAAAGTCCAAAGATATGGGGACCATATCATATCTTTAATCTCATTATTTTTTTTAGAAAACGTATTTTTAACATTATTAGTAAAATTTCTAGTCATCAAAACAATTTCATCTAAATCTTAATCCATGCTTTGACTCCTTAAAAATGTTTATATTCGTGAACAGAGCAAGTAAATGATATGTAATGACTAATTGATTAATAAATAATTAATTAGTTAATGAACATCGATGGTACACTCCTAGTCAGCAAATGGTCTTATTAATATCTGTTACACGTATTAGTCGTCCTAATTATTTAAGATGTCGATGTTCTGATAATTTTGGCCATTGGGCATGATACAGTGATTCCACACGTGGTTGAGACAGCAACACAATTTCCTGTTTCCTTCATCTCTATCTTGTTCTTCTTGTGCCATTTCTCGCAAGCCAATAAATTCTACAGAAGTACTGATCGTGACAGTCCAATTATCCCGCGTTATAGTTTCCTATGGCTCTTCAAGGGAATTGTTACTCAGTTACATGGCTTAATTAATTAGATTAATTTACGTGCAAATTGATCTCCAAATATCTTTCACTCTAAAGAAGGCTAGCTTAAAGGGAATTGTCTTTTCTAACATGCAGAACTCTGCGTAGATTCTTTTCCCTTTGTTTTTCGATGCGTGCATAATTAATTGTTGGGTATTTAATTAATTAAGAGAATTTTAAAGGGATGATCATTATATTGTAAGATGTTCTTTGGTCATTTCTGTTGATTAATTTAGGACCGGACAACGAAAGTCTCTTGTCCGCTGCCAGATCGAGATATACTAGAAAATTGGAGAAACAAGATGCATGGATCATGGATGGATGAAACACAGTTCGTGCATCGGCAGCATCGTGCAGTGCGCCAGTGCCCACATCAGGGTTCAGACTTTTTGTTTCCGGTATCTGTATCGGGTGCCGATATGATGATATTTTCGAAATTTCGGTTCAAATTTTTTGAAATTTTAAAAATATGTTATTCAAATTTAAATAAATATTACCAAAATTCATGAAAAAAATTAAAAATTAAAAATTTAGCTAAAATAGTATGGTATCGGATGGTCTAATATGACCAAAATTTCATTCGGAAATTTTGAATCCTAACCCACATTACTTAAGTTAATTTTCCTATCCTCTATTCATGAACTCCACTTTTTAGATAGCAGTAGTGTTTAATCCATCTCCTCTTCCATGAAAAACTTTTCCAGTGGCAGTAAGTAAGTGAAAAAAATATTAATTAATCAATTAACTTAGTTAGTTACCAGTTTGACGGAATCGCGGGCGGCGAGGGTGACGATGTCGGAGCAGGAGACGACGCGGCCGCACGCCCTGTCGAGCAGGGCGCGGATGTCGTTGACGGCCTTGAACGCCGCCGGCCGCAGCGACTCGTTGGGTATCGCCTGCTGCTCGCCGTCGGGCCCGCCGGGCGTCTTGGTGAGGAGGATGGAGGCGTCGCAGCCCTGGACGAAGCAGTCGTGGAAGTGGAGCCGGATCAGCGCCGCGGCGAGGCCGACGTCCTTGCCGATGGCGTCGCGCAGGAAGCTGAACACGATGGCCTCCGCCTGCGGGCAACTCTTCTTGTAGTGGTCGAACGATAGCCCCTTCGCCACCGGCGGGTACGACGGCTTCTTCGCCACCGCCGCCGCCGTCGCCGCCGCCGGAGCACTGCACACCAGCAAGTATACAGATACAGCTACTACCGCAGCTGCTGCTGCCATGGCCGGACTAGCTGCTGCACTTCTACGAGAAGCCATGTACACTACTGTTCTTAGCTTAATATGGTACTAGAAATTATTAAGGTGCCTTGATTTCAATGGAGATCGATCGAGGTGGCTTGTGGAGAACTTGCGCCAGCCGGTGTCCTCATTTATAGCCATCGTTGTTCGGCACTGTACAGTGAGAATGTGAGATGATCGATCAGTGAGTGACACTGCAACTTGCGCGGAAACAAACAAGCGGGTTTAATTAAGCTACCAAAGAATATGCCCTTAATGATGATCAAATGTTTATGTAATATTTCAGTCACCAACTCTATCGATATACTAACAAATTAAATTAAAGTAGGACACCACACTTCCACTCTCGTAGCAGTTCCTTTTCCTACATGTAGAAACTACCGGTGTTTTATTTTGGACTTTTCACTAGCTTTGCTATTTATTGATTTAATCACGTTCTCTGTCTCTCTAGTTCAGTCTCTTCAGTTCATCCTTGTGTTGTCACTGATGATTTTTATCCATGTCGTCTCCCTGTGAAAGCGGCACGTATGTGGAAGTGAGCAATCCTCTTTCTAGCTTAATTTTCTTTTCCTGAAACACCACAGAATAAAAGATCCAAAGACATTGGTTCGGTCACAGAGCTTTCAGGACAATTTCTAAGTAACTTCGCTTGCGACAGAAGAGCACGGTGCTATTCTATATAGGGCTGTGTTTAGTTGGATCCAAAGTTCGGATTTTAGTTGAAATTGGAGATGATATGACTGAAAAGTTGTGTGTGTATGACAGGTTGATGTGATGGAAAAGGACTGAAGTTTGAATCCAAACTTTGGATCTAAACACAGCCTAGTGAGTATATATCACACATGGCACTATGCATCCACTGAGAAAAAAAAAGGTCACACTAAGCAGTCAGATTCCAGGATTAATCAAAGAACAGATATCCCTGAGCAATTAAGCAGTCACCCATTGACTAATTAACCAGTCTTTGGCTTGGCTATAGCTGTGTAGTCACCATCTATGTACCTTCTTTTTAACCAACTTGATAGTACTGCTTTTTTTTTTCCCCAGCCATTATTCCATCCTTTTCGTCACCGGCCTCACCTTTTCTTCCCACGATTAGAGATAGCACCCCAGCAAATTCAGCTTACCTGTTACTCTGAGTCTCTGGGAGGTTGGCAAATTGCAACTTTCTTGACAGTGAGATTCATGTTTAGATATCAAAGCCGCCGGAAAGAGAGGGCCCGGCCGGCTAAATCATGTGTAAAATTAAAGTATTAGCATCCCAACCAACTCAAATTAGCCTCTTTTTAAACTGTTCTGCTGCGACTATTGTCGACATCTTAAGATAAGGTCTTAAAAAAAGCAAATTTAAACACTGGATTGCGTCACGCTATGTATATGTTAATTGCTGGGCTTGCACCGCCTCAAATTTTCCTTTTCCCCACTGTTTTTGTCAGAGTGAACTTTATCATTATTCACTCACAAATTTAGTTGGACTGCGTACCCTATAAAGATCTCTATCTCTACTATAAATGCGTAAGAAAATGAAGGGTTCCTGCTCCTTGGAAAATAATGAAACAATATGGGCTCCGTACGCTGGGGCCTTTGAGTTTCAGCAGTTTTCAATTATCTTGACATCATATATGAGTTTTTCTCTTTTTTGTTTTTGAAAAAAAGGACATCGGATCACATGCGTACTCAACCAAGAGAGACTAGTCCGTTATCAAAATGTACCACAGAACTTTGCAAATTGGTTTTTTTCTTAAAAAAAAGCATATGACAAACATACGTTCACAACACGCGCACGGTCGTCCCTATAAATATACACACACACACCTTACCCCTATGAGCATCTCTAAAAACTGTACTAGCAAATCTTAAGATTGACGAAGTCAGCACGGATGTTTCGTTGTCGACGTATACATCGGCTACCACTAAAAGAAAGCTGTAAATGTTGAGCACGTGTACCAAGTTTAGAACTTGATCGAGGTGGGCGGATTCTACTACAAGAAACTAACTAGTGGAGCTGTGCTCACTTCGTAAAATGGAAAATATTCTGATTAGCTGCAGAGTGTTTCATTGGAAAATCTACCTAGGCGACTGAAATCTTTTTCAGAAAGGAGAAACTTTTGCAGAAAGAGAAAAAAAGGAAAAGAAAAAAAAAGAGGCCCGTGTAGTCAATTGAGGCCCAGAACACATGGAAGGCGAAACAGAGCCCACAATGGAGGCCCATGTGGTGGCCTCTATATATCAACCCATCACAAAGCTAGGGTTTTTCTCCCCGCCTCGCTGCTTCGCCTCTCGTTCCCCAAGGCCCCGAAGCCGCCGGCGCCGCCGCCCTCCTCCGGTTCGAGCTCTCCGCCACCATGGTGAGTAGCGACCTCCGAAACCGAGCCACATTCGTTTGCTCCGCTATGCTCTACCCGTTCCGTTGTCTGACGCGATGCCGCGCTTTGTTTTTTTTTTGTGTCGCAGATCATCTCCAAGAAGAACCGCCGCGAGATCTGCAAGTACCTCTTCCATGGTGAGATTCTCCCCCTTTCTTCTCCTCTATACGCCGACTCTGTACATTGTGTATGTGCTGATCGTGATTGCAAGCTTCGACTTGATGTGGTGTTGCAGTAGGGTTTAGGTGGTTGCATTCGCTTGATTCCAATAGGGCAGATTTTGATTGCATTGTCTGCAATTGTTCATTCACTATGGCTGTCTGAGGTTTATAGGTTTGACGAATTCAGTTACATTGCTCCCAGATTTACTCCAAATATTATGTTGAAACATGTTTTATTTGATTGGTCATGTATTTGCTGAAGGCCTGAATGATGGTACCTTTATTTGTTATGAGTTGAAGTGCTAATTTAATTCAACTATATGCAGAGGGAGTCTTGTATGCCAAGAAGGACTACAACCTGGCCAAGCACCCAAAGGTTGATGTGCCCAACTTGGAGGTGATTAAGCTCATGCAGAGCTTCAAGTCAAAGGAGTATGTGAGGGAGACCTTCTCGTGGCAGCACTACTACTGGTACCTGACCAATGATGGCATTGAGCACCTCCGCAGCTACCTCAACCTGCCATCTGAGGTTGTGCCTAACACCCTCAAGAAGTCTGCCAAGCCCCCGTCTCGCCCATTCGGCTCTGGCCCTCCTGGTGACCGCCCCAGGTGAGCATTTATTCCTTTTGGGTTTATCATCTGCATATGCGAATACGGAAATTGGATGCTATTGCTGTGATGGATATTCTTTAGGTGGTGGTCCTGTTTTCAAATATGCAAATTGTGTAGCGACCATGTAAAAATTGTTGAATGGACATCAGATTAGTTTATAGGAACCTTGCAATAGTCATTTATTAGTTTGTTGATAAAAAATGTTATTGACTCTGAATTGTTGAGTGGGGCTGATTTGTGGCAACAAATTTAGATTCATTGATGTAATTAGTTGAAACCATTTAACTGTGTTGCAAGTCTTCTCCTCGAACTGAACAGAGACCTGTTCTTTTGGTTGGGATTTCAATTTTTTACACATACCGTATCTAATCTTCCTAACATGTACTCAAATGATATAATCTGGCTGCTTTTGTTTATGAATGTATTGCCTGAAAACTCTAGTGGAGACACTGATATTATCCTTTTCTGTTCGTGTGGCAGAGGCCCGCCTCGCTTTGAGGGTGACAGGCCCAGGTTTGGTGACAGGGATGGTTACAGGGGTGGCCCACGTGGTGCTCCAGGTGATTTTGGTGGCGAGAAGGGTGGTGCTCCAGCTGAGTTCCAGCCATCTTTTAGGGTAAGAGCTCTAATGACCATCTGCATACCTATATGCCATTGCTAGGTTCATCCAGACTGCTCATAGATAATTTATTGGCTTAATAATTTGGAACATTTGAATGGGTTTAGACCATGCATTTTCTTCTGTTTGCCTTGAACTTTAGCACGTCATGTTTCCATCCTTGTATTTGTTCAAACTGTTGTGTCCTTGCTTGTATAGGTTGAGTATCCATCTTAGGCTGTGTTAATAGATTTTATGTTAGGACATGTAAACATATAGCATGTTCAGGAACCCTTGTGTTGACAGCAGTGATATTCATAAAAGTAGCTGCTTGTAGACTAACTTGATACCCCTTGTAAATCTTGGATGTTCAGGGTAGCAGACCTGGCTTTGGTCGTGGCGGTGGTGGCGCATTCGGTGGTGGCGCATCTTCCATGGAGTAAAGCTTGATCGGGACGGAGCATATTGTTTTGCCCAATGGCTTATGAGATGCAATGCGCGGGGGTCGTCTTCACTGTTGGTCTTTGAATTGTGGGAACAATGAGAATTTTTGTTTATGAAATTGTAGCTGAGGTTGTTCTAGACATGGCTGTGTTATGCCTTTTGTTCTGTTAGATATCACTCTCGAAATGAATCTGTTGGTTTGACCGAGAATCTTTTAGAATGTTATGAGCAAGCTGCCATTTAATCAAAAATTCATCTCATTTTCATGCCTGATGATTATCACAGTTGTGCTGTGTAGAATTACTGGATGATTTGTTTTGGTTCCTCGTGAAACTCGATCCAGTGCTTGTCCGACCTCGACCTGTGTTAAGTGCAAGTCTTGGTTTTTTGCACAGCCGAAGCCGAATAAAGAGGGATGGGAGTTTTTGACAATTTATTCATGTGGTCTTAAACGACTGAACAAGTGAATGAAATATTAGAAAATTGAATTTAAAAGTTTTTGCGAAAATCCGATGTGACGCGAGATTTCAGATCAAATTGGCAAGTAAAAAAAAATCCACGAAATACTCCCCTCTTCTTTCCCCGCCGCGTCGCGCCGTTCGCCGCACTCCGCCACCCGCTCGCCTTAATAAGGCAACGGTCGCCGGCGCCGCCCGCAGCAAAACCCCTCATATTAATCCATCCATAAACCCTAGAAATCGCGGCGCCGCAAACCCCCTCTCGACTTGAGCGAGCGAGAGATGGAGGAGGATCAAGGAGGGAAGCCACCCGCTCCGGATGCCGGCGGCGGCGGCGGGGGAGGGGAGAGCAAGAAGGGGAGCCCGTGCGAGGAGTGCGGCGAGCAGCCATGGAAGTACCGGTGCCCGGGCTGCTCCCGCCTCACCTGCAGCCTCCCCTGCGTCCAATCCCACAAGCGCCGCACCGCCTGCACCGGCAAGCGCCCCCGCACCGACCCCGTCCCGCTCGCCAACTTCGACGACCACCAGCTCCTCTCCGGTAGTAACTCTTACTTGTTCAATCCCCTTCTCTCCTCTTTTTGATGGATTTTCGCTCAACGATTGGCCAAGACCAACAATGTAATGTTCGTTCGTTTTGTCTCGTGTTTAAGATTACAGCTTTCTGGAGGAGACGAAGCAGGTGGCGGAGTCCGCGCATCGCCTCATCGGCGCCTTCGGCCGCAACTACGGTGGATTCGGCGGTGCGCAGCTTCCGAAGTGGCTCTTTTACCTCCGCAAGGCGGCGCAGCGGCGTGGTATCTGGCTCCAGTTCCTTCCCAGGGGCATGGCCAGGAGGGAGCAGAACCGTTCAAGGCACAACCACAGGTATCATTTCTTACTATTTCCTTATTTCATACTGACATATGATGCCATCAGATGGATTTTTGCAAATGCTCTTAAATTTATATATAAGTAACACTGGAGGCGTTTGAATTTTTTTATTGAAAGAAAAATGATTTGTGCTGGACAAATGTATTTGGTCTCCTCGTTCACATCAGTACAATGATTTGTGCTTGTACTCTGTTAACGAAATGTATATTTGCTAAGATGAAACCATCCTGAACGCTTTTGGCCAAATGGATTCATTAGTTAATGCTGTATTGGGTCGGGATCTTTATCTGTTGCAAGGAATTTTTCAATACGTTTCACCTTTCTGAGCCATTCTGTCCTAAATTAATCCCAGTGAACTGTGTTGGCAGTGTCAAGCTCCATATTTTCCTTTCCTACCTTGTACGTACCATATAATGCTGATTTGCATATGAATATCGTTTTGCAGAAAGGATTGCATATACTGGACGCTTGAATGGAAATTTAATTCAACAGATGTTGTCCTGACTGACCACAAGTAAGTTTGTGATTATCAATCAGTACAGATTACGGACCATTTACGCCTGTTTTTTCCTGTTCCAATAGTATGTGTTTGGAACTGATTCAAGATGACATTATGACACCACATGTACATTAACTGTTAGAATTTCTGAAATGGTTTCTGCATTTTTTTTCAACTTTTATTATAGTATATATACAACGTTATCACACTTCTTGTTAGCACATATTTTTTAATGTGCTTAATTGGTTCTACAAAGAACTGGAAGCAGAGTAGAAAGTTGTCAAAGTTATTACATTTTGCAAGAGTTACCTCTGTGACCTTCATGTAAATGAATCACGACACCAGAAGCTGTGTGCACCACACACACTCTTTTCTGTGCTGATTTTATGCCCTCTTTCGCAGCATAGATGAGCATACCAGCTTGCTATCATCATTGGAAAAACATCTGAGTCCTGGACCTTGGAAAAATCAGCTCACACCATATCGCAATACAGATTTGCGTGATCTCAAACTGTTCATTCAAAAGTCTGCCAAGGTATAGTACTGCAGCCAATTTACCTTGCATCCGTTGTAGTTATTGATATGTCCTCTGTTTCTTTAAAGAGCTTCTTATAACTTGCTGCAGGAATCAACTTCACCATATCGCCAACTCAACATAGAAGAACCATTGGGTCCACAACTGAGGAGCATTAAAATTGTCGAGTACCCAACTATTAATGTCTTTCTTCCATCAGACAGTTGTGATTTCGAAGTAGAAAAGTTTGTCAACAAGCTTCCTGCAAGTGAGAAGCCCCCTGGCAGCTCGACCGATAGCCCAGATCTAGAAGGCACTGAGTTTCATGAGGAAGAAATAGAAGAAGGAGAATTGGCACCAGAAACACAAGTTATAGACCTCAAGGAATGTGGAGCTTCACATGCCTCTAACCTAGCTTCAGCGAAGGATACAAGTGGATCTAAGGTAGACACCAAGAGAGATTCTTCTGTGCTGTCATATATACGCAGTCTTGGATTAGATGGTCAACAAAAAGCACTAACTGAACGAAGCAAGATGGCACCAAATACAACATCTGGGGCTTCCAAGACTAAAAATTGCATGAAAGTCTATCCGATGGACATGGAGGAAAGTGGGGATGCTGGGGTGATCTCGGAGAGGCAGGGCATAGAATGTAAGAACCAGGCAGCTTCGCATCCTGGTAATCTTACACCTGTGGAAGGTACAACCGTATCTAAGATAGATAGCAACACAGATTCTTTAGTGCCGTCTTCCATCAGTATTCTAGCATCTGATGGCTTCAGTTGTCCTCAGGTTGAACATAATCAACAAAGCAGGCTGACGCCAAATTCAACTCCTGAAGCTCTGAAAAGGAAGTCTTGCATGAAAGTTTACCCACTGGACACCGAGAAAAATCTGGGGTTATTTTCAGAGGTTCCCAACTTGGGCTTTGAGCAAGAAATCGGAAATGCTTATTCAGATTTGTTTGGGGACATAAATCCTGATGATTTCCTCAACTTTGATCTTGAAATGATGGATGAAGATGAATTGGCAGGGATAACGTCGCCACTTAAGCTGTGGGATGATTTGGAGGAAGGGGAGATTCCAACCGCTTGATCATTGTGACTGTGGGATGATCTTAAGCCAGTCTAGCAAATGAGCTTTGCAGGACAGGAGTTCTTTTTCTCTAGAGGCAATCAGATTCATCTGTTAGCCTTTTTCTTGATGTATTATTCGTCAGAAGTTTTGTCCAAGTTTCTTTGTTCTTTTGCGCCTTGCACTGCAGCATAGGGTGCCTGGTGTTCTTCAAGCCAAAGGTGCCTTTTTTGATAGCTGCAGTAATTTTGGGGGTGTAACCTTGTTGTTGCTATCTTTCGGAATGGAATCAATGAACAATGTTAATGGATGTGAAAACATGTCAGTTTGTTGCTGATGGGAGACGTGTTTTTGGAACCTGAATATCAGAGCCCAACCATCCTGACCCTGCATCCTGATTGTTCACAATTGTGCTAGTTCAAACAAGGCAAACAACTGCTGTGAAATCCTGATACACAGCCAAAAATATCTCATAGGAGTAGACATGCAGATAACCATACTACATGATCAAAAATTTTAGGAAAAAATATAAGTAATATAAAAATAATAATAAGAAGGGAAAAAAAAATCCAGACGGCACGGCACACAGTTGCTGGCTCGTAAAAAGCGGCCCGGAGAAAACACGCAACGCAAACTCGCGAATCCTCTTTTCCCAGAAGAAGAAAAAAGAAGGGCTGCGACTCATTCGAACCGCGCATCTCGTCTCGTCGAAGCGAGCGAAACCACACGCGGCGCGTCGATCCCAACACCACCAACGCAACCCCTACCCATGGCGGCGGCGGGCGGCGGCGGCGCGGGGGCGGCCGGAGGCGGGAAGGTGTCGTTCAAGATCATCCTCACCTCCGACCCCAAGCTCCCCTTCAAAGTGTGAGTAGCAGCACCCCCGCGATCTCAGATCAGATCTCTCTCTCGCTCTCGATTGATAGGGGTGTTTGCGGTGGCCGTCTCTGCTTGTTCTGATCTGCGGGGTTGGTTTGCCCTGTCTCCTGCAGGTTTAGCGTGCCCGAGGCGGCGCCGTTCACCGCGGTGCTCAAGTTCGCCGCCGAGGAGTTCAAGGTCCCGCCCCAGACCAGCGCCATCATCACCAACGGTGAGTCCGTGTTCGCGTGTTCCCCCTCCGTTCCGTGCTGCGGCCTCTGTCATGAGTTTTCTCTCGTTTCGCCGAACCATAATTTTTGTTTCCGCTACCGCGATTGGGAAGAGGATCTATGTCTCGATGTTATGTTCTGTTGCCTGGTGATTTGATGCGTCGCGCAATGATAATTCATAGCTTTTCTGGGCTGCTTCTCATGAATCGAGTCTGCTAAGTATATGGTCTAGTGATTGGAAGGGAAAATTGGTGTGGAATTCAGTTCGAAATTTAGGTTCGTTCAAACCTGCATTCAATATTCATTACTACATGATATTTGATTTAAACATACAGTATGCCATGTTGAACTTCAATGCCAAGGATTGCATCTCTAGTAAAAAGGTGTACTGATTTATTGGTGCTGTGTCAATCTGATTTGGGGGTTCCAAGAGTGACTTGATGATTTGTGTGGAAGGCTTGCACCATTAGTGATGTATGGACGGCTGCCAATGGCAATGTTGCAGCTTGTAATTTTCTCATTGCCCTAATAGATTTCTCTTGTTGGTTGCATTTACTTTGCAAGTTGTAATTTAGACGATACATTTATGCTGTGTTATACTACAGTGATTGATGGATTATCCTTGAACTTATTAGGCTAGCCATCCTCATAACATATTATTGACCTGAGTGATGGATGGCTGATCCTTAAGCCTTATGGTTTTCTCATAGTGAAGCAGTGATTCTGAATGCCATATATTGAAAATAATGTTGTGTCCCTTCTTTTGCAGATGGAGTTGGCATCAACCCACAGCAAAGTGCAGGTACAGTTTCCGGATTCTGTTTTCTACTACTATGTATAAGGCTATCAATTCTTTAAATTTGAAACATTATTTTGTTTTAGAGAACAACCTGCTTCGCTGTCCCAGGCTCCCAGCATAGTTTAGTAGACTGTAGAAGATTACATTGCTTATTGATGCACTTGAATTGTCCATTTGATTTGTGCTGACATTGTAGTAACTAGAATTTTACAGTTGTATCAGCGCAATTGTAAAAGAACTACTTGAGTTTGATATGGGCTGTGGCACAAAGCAAACACAATTGCAGATACTTTACCCAAACATGCATGTCCTTTTTGCTGGGTTATGGATGAGCCTAAAATGCAGTCGTGCAGTAATCTTATTTCTCAAATTAGGTTTCAGTAACATAAGAAAGATCTATCTTAAGCATATGCAGTACCATGAATTTTTTAAACTTAAGTTTTACACATTCTCTTTTCTACTCGCTGATGTGAGCTGCTTTCTTTCGTTCAGGCAATGTGTTTCTAAAGCATGGCTCAGAGTTGCGCCTCATTCCCCGCGATAGAGTTGGAGCATTGGCTGCGCCTTTCTAGATTCTATAGTTATAATTGAGAAACTTAACAGAATAAAGTCGATGTTGGGTGCTTGCTTGCTTGTATAATGTGACAAGTTGATGATAATTTATCGACAGTTTACCTGGTATTTTCAACATGTTTGCCGGCTGTTATATGGTTAATGGTTGCTTGAATAGTCGAATGTTTTACACCGAGTGGCACAAGCTTTGACAAATAGGAGTTGGGTTGCTGACATCCAAGGGGCTTTCGGTCCTGGTTCTTGTTGAATACCTGGATCCATTTAGGATTTAGTAGAAGAGGTGGTGTTGATTCAAGATGTCCAAGATCAGCATGTGTGGAAACTCGTTGCAAATGGTATTTACACTTCTCTTATAAGAAACTAATTCGAGAAAATTCATATTAACTCGCTTCTCTTTGTTTATCTGTTCTATCGTCGCTGCGTATAATCACAACACAAAAACTAGAATGTTTTGTAGAGTTGATTGGGATAATTAATCTAAGTAAATAAAATACTGTAGACTGCAGAGTACAATATGATCATGCATCCATGATATGAGCGTTGTACATTGCAATACAACTAATTAATGTATCTGTAGTTTCTGTACCGATAGTAAAAAAATTAATACTTCCTCTGTTTTAGGTTATACAACTTTCTAATATTGTCCATATTCATATAAATGTTAATAAATCTAGAGATATATATGTCTAAATTCATTAACATATACGTATATAAATATGAGTAATGCTAGAAAGTTTTATAATTTGAAACAGAGGTAGTAGCACTTATACTGTAAAAATAAATAAAATTAGAGATGCGATGTAATGGATTAGTGGGCGCGCGACTGGCCGGCGCGGGAGGAGAGGATGATGCCGACGATGAGGCCGTAGAGGCCAAGCGCCTCGGCGAAGATGAGGATGAGGATCATGCCGACGAACAGCTTGGGCTGCTGCGCGTTGGCCCTGACGCCGGCGTCGCCGACGACGCCGATGGCGAGGCCGGCGGCGAGGGCGCAGAGCCCCGTGGCGAGCCCCGCGGCGAGGTGGACGGAGCCGTCGAAGTGGTAGTACGGCATCGCCGTCGGGTTGATGCCGGTGGTGATGATGACAGCGATGATGAGGCCGTAGATCCCCAGCACTCCGGCCATCACCACCGGCACGATCGACTTCATCACCAGCTCCGGCCGCATCACCCCCATGTGCGCCACCCCGACGCCGCTCCGAGCCGTCCCGTACGCCGCCCCCATGCCTGCAAAATTATAACCAAATTTCATCCATCAATTCGTAATTCGTAATGCAGAAACTTGCAGATCGATCGTTTGATCGAGCTTTTTACGATCTTTTTTTCTCTAACGTGTAAAAAGATTGCACATCAATACATCAGAAAAAAAGTATTTGTTACACGACACAATCAGCCAGACCAACTTATGTCAAGAAAGAAAAAAACTAAAAGAAAATATTACTGTGACTCTTGGCATAAGAAAAACAAAAGAAAAGATTACTGTGACTCCTGCATAAGAAAAACAAAAGACGGCTCAACTCAACTCTAAATAGCGGAAAGGAACAGAGCAACTACACCCTCCTAAGAAAACTCTAAAATTAGCAATGCCAATTGCCAGCTACGATCGATTGATCGAGCTGGCTAGTGTTCGTATTTTTGTGGATGGATGCTTACATGAGAAGACGAGGGCGAGGGCGGCGCCGATGAAGCCCAAGAACGGGGCGAACTCGTCGCCGTTGAACGTGGAAGACATGTCTTCTCGCCGGAGATGATCGATGATACTAATAGCTAAGGTAGCTCTTCGCCGGCGATGGATCGATCGATGAGGGAGGGAGAGATATTTGCGTCAAGGAGGTGCATCTGCAGCGTCCATATGATCTTGGTTAAATATCAGAGTTCATTACGAATTATGATCGATCACGATGCCTCTGTGGGCTCTCACACCCGGATCGGCATTGAATCCAATATATCCAGTGACAATGTATGAATTGCATTTGGAGTTTTGTTGATTTACGACTCTCGTTATTAGGCACTACTAGTTTTGAGTACTACCGTCATCAGGATTTATGATTAGTTTCGGAGACGTCCCCGTTGGACAGAAGGACCCGTTTTGTTCTAAGTTGAAACTTTTACAGATACTGCTAATACTAATAAGCATCATATCTTCTGTAGAGGGAAATTAAAACTAGACCAAAATTCCAGAAGTATATAACATTCCAGTGAGAAATAATATTGAGCGTCAGCACAACAGAATATTCCAGAAGTATATAACATTCCAGTGAGAAATAGTATTGAGCGTCAGCACAACAGAATGCAGATACACCAGTGTCTGAAACCTTTTCTTTTGACGCAACAGTTTCTGAAACTGATGCGTCAGCTCCATCATATCACGAAGAGCCACAACAAAATGGCATAAATTAGTAGGCTACACATGTTCTTCCTTTGTTTATCTAGTTGCAGATTCGCAGTCTTCAGTACCCGTTTAACCGTTCACAAAGCTTCAGCCGCTGACTGTCTGACATGAGAGCTTAATTTATCTGAAACTGTCATGAACTGCAAATGCAATGAAACCTGCTCGCTGATCTCTCATGATTATCCCAATGCCATAATCTTCCAGGGTCACTAGCCCATGAAATGAACTCGAGCACTTGATCAGATAACGAAATCTGATCAACTCTGCTAATGAACGAAAAAGAAATCAATAAAATAAACCTGCTGGATCAACTGTGCAGAGCCATATACGTGTATGGCCACGTGCACCTCATGCAGGGACGACATGGACACGTCACCACTTGAGCTCGAGACGTAGCCATGGAGGAGGAGGAGGAGGAGGAGGATTGCTTCGTCTTCGTCTTCTCGCTTCGAACTCAAGGAGGAAGAAGAGTTTGCGATGAAGAGTCAAGGCGAGCAGGGTGAAGGCGTGAAGCGAACACCCAACTCGGAAAAAGTCAAAAACAAACAACCCCAATGACAAAGCGTACGCCGGGTTTACGCCTTCGCCCCGATTCCAATTCCAATTCCACCACCGATCCATCGCGACAGGGAGGAGGCGACGAGGAGAAGCGGCGGCGGCGGCGGCGGCAGCGGGCGGCGATGGATGTGAGCAGGAGGAAGAAGTGGGTGGCGTGGGTGGCGGCGGTCACCATCTTCGTCGTGCTCATGCTCGTCACCCCGGCCATCCCGCAGAACGAGGAGTACCACGACTTCGCCGACCAGCGCCGCCTCTTCCTCGGTATGCCACAAACCAACCCTCCCTCCCCGCCGCAAACCTAGGGCGGACCTTCCCTTGCGGCCGCCATAGCTCGCCGTCCGCGGTATTGAGCTCCCGTCTCTCCGAGCTATTGAGCTCTCGGGGTAGCCTCCACCCGGCGCCGGCAAGACGATCCGCGAGCAGGAGAGCAGCGATTGTGCCAGTGCTTGTCCCTGACGGCGCAATGGCCAACGTTGAGTGACGAGTTGACTCGAAATCGCGAATTCGAGGTCGCTTGCATCGCCTAAATCGATCCCCTTTGTATTCACTACAAAAATTGATTGCCCTTTGTTTGCGCTGGGTTCAGCAAGATTAGCTTGTTAGGAAGGATTTTGCAGGCTATACCAGTTTCCTGTTTATTTCACGAACCCAAAATAAACATGAATATAGTATAATTGAGGGGGAATTTGAGGCGCAAACGAATAGAGTTTAAATTTTGCTTATATGTTCAATAAGAGGGTTGCAATGCTTGTAATCACTACTTGATGCACTAAGTTTGCAAAATCATGTGGATTTTTTTTTTGTTTTGCAGGGATCCCCAATACGCTGAATGTGATTTCAAACATCCCCTTCTTTTTTGTGGGTGTCGTTGGGCTCGTCTTGTGCCATTACAAAAACTACTTCAGGCTAAAGTTAGACCATTACTGGTTCATCTTCTAATTCTAGTTAAGATTTTGATGCACTCTGTTGTTAACCTTCCCCTTCCTGGCAGCTCGCAAGGGGAGCTCTGGAGTTGGACACTGTTCTTTGCTGGTGTGACTGCTGTTGCTTTTGGTTCATCCTATTATCATCTCAAACCGAATGATGCCACACTAGTTTGGGACAGATTGCCGGTGAGTTGTTTCTAGACTTACATTGCCTTGCTCTAGGATTTGTACACACCCCATTATGTTGAAGCTGTCTCAGAATGTCAATGCATACATTTTTTTTGGTGGGATAGAATTCAACTCAGATCCTTGTGTAGTATAATCTGAATATGCTATGGCCCTGTTTAGATAGTGTTGTTCTGTTGGGTGTGATCTGCTTGAATCAAAACAGGGTAACTAATCCACTTGGATCTTTTGCCTGATACGCTCTAGTATATTTGGCTTGTTTTCTTCAGAATTGCCTGTCAGAGACATAAAGCATGTCATCAGTTCATAATTTTCACCCTTGCTTTTATCAATATTTAATATGTTAAAGGATGGCATATTTGCTTGTTCTATGTAGATGACAATTGCTTTCACATCTGTCATGGCCATTTTCATTATTGAGAGGGTTGATGATAGGGCAGGAACAAAGTCCCTAGCACCTCTTGTTATTGCTGGTGCACTAAGCATCATGTATTGGAGGCAAGCTTCTCCAATTGTTTAACCATCCTTCCTCAGAAATATTTTCTGTACTTCTTTCACACCTTCCATTTTGCTGCCTTAACTCTTATGTAGGTTCTTTGACGATCTTCGCCCATATGCAGTAATTCAGTTTGTTCCATGCATTGCAATACCTGTGATGGCTATTGTAATTCCACCAATGTATACACATTCGAGCTATTGGCTGTGGGCAGCAGGTTAGTGTTATTCTTGATCAATAGTATTTGATCTATGTACCTTCATTAGCATTTAGGTTGAAAAATGTGGTATTTGTGGTTCACCTATATATTATGAATCATTCAATTGATCATTTCTCTGCACCTAATAACTGTTGATGATACTTAAATGGTTTTCATTTTAATCTATTTCTACATATCATAAATTGATTCGCAGTGACCAAGTTAATTGATTGGTTTTCTGGAAATTCATACACAATCAGCACCTCACCATATTTTTCTGTTTTCTGATTTCTCAAAACAATTCCAGGATTTTACCTCCTTGCTAAGGTAGAAGAGGCCGCAGATAAACCTATATATAAATGGACCCATCAAATTGTTAGCGGTCATACTCTTAAGCATCTAGCTGCTGCAATGGTGCCTGTGTTCTTGGCACTCATGCTGGCCAAAAGGACTGTTGAACCAGAAAGGTATGCTTTATATACTGGCGTTTTAAGAACCACGTCTTTACTTCGATAAGTGCATCATTGGGTTCAACTCTTGAACTGTTCTTCTATTTAAGCTGTTGAATGGACCTTGGTCAGAATTCAGAAGATATACTTGCGTTGGCATTGTTACTTTGTCTTAAGGAATTATTCCATCATAAATTATTGAGCTATCTGTTCTATTAATTTTGCAAATGCAATCACTATTTGTTTTTGGGAAAAGAATGAAGTTTGTTTTCCTTCGGTTAGAATAAATTCATAAATGCCGTTGTAACTTTTGAATTAGTGTGTTGTTTGTTTCGCCAGTAATTCCATGGTGGTTCTCCCATAGTCCCATATCTTTGCTTCTTAGGATGAGCATATTTCAAATAATTTTATCCCCTCCATTGCAAACGATATCTGTTGTCTGTTGATTGATTTGTCAGCCTTTTTTTTAGCTCTGTTAATATCATGATTAAATTTATGAAGTCTTGCATAACTCTACCCCGTGTCTCATGATATTTTTTTTTCTGGAATGCAGGGTAAGTTTATTCCAGCGGTGGAAGGTCAAGTTGGTTGCAGTGAGAGAGACTCGATTCAACAAGGACAGGAATACAGTCGACTACAACTATATTGCAGTTTCCACTACACCTGAACCATAGATGTATTGTTATTATTTTTCATGACTTTAATTTCTGTACACATGTAAGAGAAATGGCACCGGCCAGCATAGAAACTAGATCGATCAGTGTACATTACAATACGAGACGCGTCATCGCTGCTAATCAGAACGTGATGGTGTCATGGTGATGTTGTATGATAACCCTTCATAAATAAATCTTGTGCATATTATTCTTGCTCAAAACGATATCCACGCGTAGTTTCGCCTCTAATGGTCTCATTCAATACATATCTTTGGCTGGCCAGGTGTTCTCGATCATACTCCCTCCGTACCGTAATAATATGAGAGATGTGACACATTTGTTACTACGAAACTACGAATCTGTACAGAAGCTTCAAAATTCCTTATATTATGGGCTTTATATTGCGTTATATTACGTAACGGAGGGATTTGTGCATTGCGAAAGTATCACACGAGACAAGTCTAAGGGCTTGTTAATCCGTATGATTAACCAGGCATCTCTTGGTAGGAGAAAAAAAAACAAATACAAAGTGTATTTTAGTCAGTATATTCTACTAGTAGTAGCATACGGGAACAGGAGACGTGTACAATACAAGGGGTATAGCTAGCTTGAGAGTGGCGCAGTGGCAGTGAACCAGGCGACGGCCGGGGCGACGAGGCGGGCGGCGCGCGGGAAGACGGCGTGGGCGGCGCCGGGGAGCATGGGGGAGGTGAGAACGCCGAGGAGGAACCAGTTGAGGCTGAGTAGAACGACGGCGTCGGAGGAGGAGGAGGCCGGCCTGCCGCTGCCACCCCGGAGCGCGGCGGCGGCCTCCTCGCGGAGGAGGAAGAAGCGCGCGACGCTGCACATGGACACGCCCACCGTGGCGAGCAGCCCCGCCAGCAGCGGCAGGCACGGCGCGTCCGCCGCCCACACCACCGCCCCCACCGCCGCCGCCATGCCCACGCTGACCAGGCTCCGCCGCCGCGCCACCGCCTTGCCCCGCCGCATCTGCACGGACATCTCGGAATCCTCCTCCGTCGCGACGCCGCCGCCGCCCTCCTCCTCCTGAGCGGCGGCGGCTTCCTCTGCTTCGTCTTCTCGGTCCTTCCTCTTCCTCGTGTTCGACGGGCGGCTCGTGGACGCCGGTAAGCTCTCGCCGCCGTGCACCGCCGTCGCCGGCGGCTTCTTGTCCCACATGGATTTCCCCCTGTGCTCGATGAGCCGCATGTTCTCCAGCTTGAGGGCCTTCAGCTATGGCGCCGCACAATGCTCATCAGTTCGCCGCCATTATGAACTCACTCTAAGCAGCTTAACACTAATACTATTAAAATTTATTACCTGGGTCTCGAGGAGAGTGATCCTGGCAAAGGCGTCGTCGTGCTCCTCCTCCATCTCGTCAAGAATCTCCTCCATGGCCCTGCTCTCCTTGAGCGCCATGCCCAGTTTCTCCTCCAGCTCCCTGTTCTCCCACACCAACCTCTCCATCTGCCTCTGCATCTCCCCCACCAGCCGATCCAGCTAAAACAAATCAAGAAAGGATTCAGGAACCACAAAAGCAGCAACTAAAAATCTCCAAGAAGACCAGTGCGAGTTTTGCCTTGCGCTCTCTGTCGACGGCGGCGAGGAGGCGGAGCGGGAAGGTGAGGAAGGCGACGGTGGAGAGCATGGCGTCGCAGCAGAGCAGCGCCGGGAGCTTGACGGCGGCGACGGCGAGGTGCCAGCAAGAACGCGCCAAGATGGCGATCAAGCAGCCAACCATCACCATCGGTTGATCTCTAGCCACCCTTATGTACGACTAGATCGACCAGGTTGGACTCATAGCTTAGCTGCTGCTGCTGCTGCTGCTGCGGCGGCGGCGGCGGCGGCGGCGGCGACGGCAGTGAGGTGGATGCAGCAGCTGGAAATGGAAATGGGCGTGATTGGAGAGAGGATATGTTCCAGATTGGGGAAGCTTAGTGACCGTACGGTTAGCGAGGTGGCGTGTTGATCAGGTGACACGTTGAGCCGCAGCGTAGAGGGCGTCTCAGGCCGCCGCGTCACCGTTTCCCGTCGACTCGTCAGTCGTTGTTGGTATTGCTATTGCTGCGATCCTATCCTCCTATCCATTGCGACCGATGATGCACTTTCTTTATGGCTTCTTCTCTATCCTGCCCTGCATCCGATGTGGACAAGATCCTCCTTTTTTTTCTTTCTTTCTTGCAAATCTGTCGACTCACAGTGACACGGCCCATTCTGTCTTCTCAACGTCTGAACCACCTCACAGTTGGTACAATGTACGATCTCCGTCCAAAGGTTTAGAACTGTTTAAATTTCAACTTTTTTTCTTTAAATTTTAAGAGCTCCTTTGAATCGTATGAATGAGAAAACAATGGAATAGAAAAAAAGATAGGAATAGAAAAAAGATAGGATTTTGATAGGAATGTAAGTGTAAAACAGAGATTGCAAAACACAGGAAAAACACATGAATGGCCGTTTGATTGGACCGCAGGAAAAACATAAAAATTAGAGGAGAGATAAAGATTCAAAGGAAAGTTTTCATGAGGTTGTACCTCATGTTAGAATTCCTCCAAAACTTGCATGGCATTAGGCATTCCATATGAATTTCATAGGATTCCATAAGATCAATTTCTTTGATTCAAAGGACTATATAGGAAAAATTCCTATAGGAATGAAATCCTCTAAAATTCCTATGAATTTCCTTTGAATCAAAGGGGTCTAAACTTTTTCGTTACATTGAACTTTCCTACATATCCCCTCCATCACATAAAAAACCTAATCCTACCAACGAACCTAGACACATTCATAGCCAGGATTGGCTTTTTTATGGGACATAGTAGTACACAAACTTCCAACTTTTCCATCAAATCGTTCCAATTTCTTTAAACTTTCAATTTTAGCGTGGAACTAAACACAACCTTACTATCTACTAATAGAGGATGTGATATTTTTTACTTGTCCAAAATCTACAGTACTAAAAAAATATTTCAGTATGTATTCTAGCAACATTTTAGATCGAAGTTGATAGTAATGCTAAGTGAAAACGGACGGGTACATCGGATTATGGCATTTTTATATCCTAACATATATTTTTTTTTAAATTTGAAGTTGGATACGGGTAATGTCGGATAATATATCACTCATCATGTATCCTGTCAAATTATTTCCTATGAATCAGATTCAGTAATGGATATCTATTTGCATCTCTAATTCATATATATTAAATATAAGAGGCAATTAAAGTGTTAAAGAGATACATCGAGAAAAAAATTATACAATATTACATATGAACTCGTAAAATAGTGATTAACTAATCTTTTATCATATTTATAGGTGAATTTTTAATAGATTTTATATGTTTTATATTATGGGACATATGGACGGATATAAGTCTTTCTGTATCTTAACATATATTTTTTTTTACGGATTCGAATTCGAACTAGATAGTATCATGTATCAATATTTTTCTCTTTCATATTCTTCATACGAGCCTCGGGTTGTACGGACAGGTGGCTGGGGATTCGTCCTGCGAAATCATGAAGGAGAGGGGCTGTTAGCAGGAGCAGGGAGTTTATGTTCAGTTCATGATGCTCTTTGCGCTGAAGCGAAAGCTTGCCTGTTCGCTCTGAAAGCAGTAGCTGAGTTTGGGGTGCCTAAGGTGGAAGTGGAGACTGATTCAAAAATTCTGGTGAGTGCTGTCCAGTCGAACTCTCACGATCAAGCGACGGGAGGTATTTTGTTCAAGGAGATAAAGGAGGTAGTGTTAACGACCAAATTTGGTAATATGAGTATCGGGGATAAAGATTAGATCGAAGCGGAATCGAAGATGAAGATCGTTTCGGAAACAGAGTAAGAATCGGCTGGAGTCCAAATCGGCTATGACCAGGGTTGGTTGAGTTCAAGTCAGACTGGATAAGCCGATACAGCCGATTCCGACAATACAACTCGGTGTACATCATCGGGTTGAGTTAATGTGCTTCACGTGAATTGCCACACGCGGATTGAATCCTAAGAAGGCAATTGTATCTATTAATTAGGATATTTTATGTAATTTCCTTAGAGATATATTTGGGCAAAAGTCTGCCGCAAAGACTTATGGTATCTTAGAGTTTGTTAGAGATAAGAGTCGTGTCCGAGATGGACATATCTTGTAATTCTCGGGTATAAATAGACTTGAGCCTCATGTAATCAAACTAACACACGTTCAATACAATCTCGGCGCATCGCCACCCTTTTTGCTTTTGTTTTATTTCGACGAGTTCTTGCTTTCGGGTTGAGCTGCATCGGTTTCGATCTTCAACAAGAGATAAAACTTGTTATGGCGGCTTGCGTTATCGGGATTAGTGCTTCCATCTTTATGATACTCTAATCTCGTTTATGTAATTCGTCAAGTTATCATATATCTTACATAATCTTCGGCAATATCGTTATCTAACCTACAGTCGGCTAACATCTGCCAATAGAGGACAGCCGATTAGGTTAAATACCGATGTTGGCTTAGATTATATAAGGTATCTACCATTCTATGACACTTTCAATGGTTTGATTGTCTAGATATTGTCCTTCTTTTCATACTTATAGCTGTATCAGTTGAGTTTGATCTTATGAGTCGTAATTAGAATCTCAATCTCTAGCCTGCTTCTTGGTTGTCGATTAGGGTAGTATCGGGGTTTCAGCCGATCTTACCTGATTTAACCATATTTTCTTCATATGCTTTATTGACATGTTAAATCTGTCATTTATGTTAAGATCTTGTTGCATTTAAATATATTAGGCTTTTGTTTGGTATATTTTACTAGCTTTAATATATTAACATAGAGTGGTATCGGAGTATTAGCCGATATATGCTAGATCTATCTGATCGGCTATGCTATGAACATATATAATCTTCTCGTTAGTATATATTTCGATCTAAGTGATTTATACTGTCTCGGCATGGCGACCGATCTATCCCAATCACTTGATTCAAGTATATATCGATATAAAGATTGTATATCGTTAATATCTACAGCCGATCGAGTAGATTTGGTTCTTTCTTACTTATTAATGGCTGCCGATCGATGCATATATAACATCGGCTCAAAGATAAATGATATGTCATCGGCACCTAGCCGGTCGGTTATCGTTTATGGGTTTAACCGCGGTTTCTTTGTCTTTCTTTTTTGTTGATTGCAAGATCAAATCAACTGGCACGCTCATACACCCAAAGGCAAGTTTTGGACCTGCACTGGAGTTAAGCAGATTTTGTTAAAGTTGTTCTCTCTTATGTTCCTCGGAGATGTAATCGTTGTGCCCATGATCTTGCCCAGTAGGGTGAGTAGGGACCCGGGTCAGTCTGATGTTTGGATCGACCCCCTCCCAGTTTTTGTAAACCACCTGGTGACTCGTGACATTGCTGAGCCAAACGTCTAAATAAAAAGGTGGTGTTTGATGATAAAAAAAAAATGGAAAGAACCCATGAGACAAAGAAAACCTTTTCCACTTGTTTCAGTCTGTCTATGCCCAAGAAATGTGTGAACTTTCAGAATCCAGGATCGCTAGTTTCAAGCACTGGACGAGTTTGAATTTTGAACAAGCTCCAATCAGTCTCACATTTCAAAAATTAGTTTCAGGTAAACGCAAATTGAAGTAGTAGTAACAGTTTGGGCGCGCATGTCGGCGAGCCCGATCAGATCCGAATTAAAGGCAGGCTTGCAGCTGTGGATTTCCCTCCCCCCCTCTTCTTCCTCACTCATCAATTCATCATCAGTCTAGGGTTCGATCGAGTTCGACTCCGCTCGCCGGCAAACCTGAGATAATCCGAGGTGAGCCCCCGATCTGCAGACGACCTCCTTTCCTTTCCTTTCCTTCATGTCTAATTTGGACAAACGGGGTCAATTTTGCAACTGATAGTATCACTAACCGAACTTTTTTGTTTGTTTGTTTCGAGTGAAATCGAACATAACTTTACCACAGATTTACATTGCATCGTTTTTACAAGTACACAGCAATACATCATACAGGTAAACATCTCCCCAGAAGAACCTGAAACTAATCTGAATTATTAGGGCTTGACTTGATGGAAGAGATGTTGCAGAACAAGGTCTGACATGGTCGATGATGATGGAAATGCAGAAGGCGTGTGGACTGGACAGAAGAAGCACAAGATGATTAGATGAACAAAGAGGATGGCTCTACCTGCACCTCCTCATCGTTTTCTGACACTGAAGTTGATTTAGATTTATTAGTTTATCTGCTGTTGGAAATATGGATGTTATTCGACATATTTTAATCCAGAAGAATATTATACTAAACATGACATTTGCATAGTTGGAGGATCTAATACTAGTGATAAACATGAACATGCTAATAGCTAGAAAAGCATCATCAAAAACCATGTATAACACAAATATGAAGAACATCACATACCCGGAGAACGCTCTGGTACTGAATGAGGCTTTGTCGGTGTTGTTGCCTCCGTTGGTGTTGTCGTTCTCATCTCCTCTAGTCCATCCTCCGTTGATGCCTCCTCCGGTCGACATGCTGGAAATTGATGTAGAGGAAGAAGATGTCGCAGTGCAGAGCATTGTCGAAGAGGATGCAGTGGCGAGTGGCGTTGCAGGAAGTAGTTGTTGCAGCCAAGAGAAAGCGCGCAAAAGCACTACCCAAAAACTTGATCACCCCCCTACCCGTACAGGTACACAAGCGAGTGGAGTTTCAGAGGCTTGCTCATCCTGAGCACCCGTGTGCGCAGGTGATCAGAACAGGGGAAGCAGAAGCTAGCGCAGGAACAAAACAAAAAGGGAGGCCTTCTCGCCCCGAGCACCCGTACGCACAGATGATCAGAACCAGAGAGGCAGAAGCTAGCACAGGAACATAACGGAGAGGAACCAACGAGAGGAGGTACAGAGCAGAGCTTCAGATGTATGTTTCTGTCTTGTCCTGTAGGTGGGATTTTATGGCGCGCGAGGGAGTAACGTTTAGGAGCAATCAAATCGAAATCAATTTTGTAGTTAACGGATACAAGAGGGAGAGGGGCGACAAAAGCGGATGCAGAGGTGAGGAGGGTGAGGGCATGTTTAGCAGTCCACTCTGGGATCTTTTCTGGCTGGTCCTCAGGAATAACTAGGGCGGGGTCCGAGTTCTCTATCTGGAGATAGAACCATCTCGTCCGCCACTTGCTGCGAGAAGAGGGGCACTGGAAGGGGATGTAACGCGACTTCAGGCCATCCCGAAGTCGGAACCCGACGTATCCAGATACCCTGTTGGATTCCATCCAACGCAGCTCGTAATAAAAACGGAAGAGGTCAAGGAAGGGCACTACCCCAAATGTAGGCCTTGCAAAGACGAGGGAAGATGCCCAGAAAAGCGATGGAGTTGGGTTTCAAGTGAAGCAAAGAAAGGCCGTAGAAATTCAAGACAAGAAGAAGAAACTCGGAAGGCGGAGGAAGTAAACCGCAAGAAACATAATCTTCGACTACAACCATGCGGCCCAAGATGGGTTCAGGTTTTGTATCTCCAGCCTCCCTCTGCATGGTCCCGTGGCCGGGGAGGGCACCGTCGTCCTGCAGCTTCTTCATGGACACGGTGTTCGAGGAAGACTTCTCAAGGTCCATTGCCGCCGGAGGATCGCCGGAGAACAGGATGAAGGAAGTGAGCTAGGGTTTTCTTTGCGAGGAGCGGAGAAGACGAAGAGCGCTAGAAGGCAGGAGAGTTTTCTGGCAAACGGACTTCAAATGGATCCCCAAAATCCCTTTAAATAAACGCACTTCCAATGGTGCGTATTCCAAGGAAAGGAGAGAGATTGCCGCCAGAAAATTTTGGGTCCGTTGCATGTGGTAGTTTTTCAGACTTCAATTTAAATTCACTCATGACCGTTGAACTTCACGCGGTGTTGTCGATGGCTCTTTGTCTCTACGGTTTTCACACCGAGATCGACCGGATGAGAGCGATAACAATTCCGACATCAGAAGTCGCGATCGATAGCATGAGCTCATTTAAGCAGAAGTCGGGGGCTACTGTCAGGGTTACGGATAAGGTATACCCTCTATCCTTGGATGTACGTTGTATACTGATACGGTATACCCGCGCGTATACGGATAGTTTCCGTATACATTAAGGAAATCTATCACGTGATAGATATGATATCTACGGATGGAAGGAGTTCTACTCGGACAAGACTGGGTCTTTACCATATCGTGAGGGGTCCGATATCTCCGAGTTCTACTTGGAGATCAACGGACCCGCGGTATATAAGGGACCCTCTGGGCAAGACCTAAGGCACCAAATATCATCGCCAACACACCCACCATAGCCTACAGAGCCGGAGCATGCAGGAGCCAAGTCGCCGGGAGATCTAGTCGGACCAACTCGACTACGGTCTCGTCGGTATCATTGAGTTCTGTTATTCCCTTTGTAATATGTGGTTTCCATCATATAATCCCATACCAACTGGATTAGGGCTATTACCTACCAAGGGGCCTGAACCAGTATAATCCTTGTATTTTGTTTGCTTGATGTCGTCCTACGTAGATCCTCGTACCAACGGACCCCAATACTCCGGTCTACGGGTATCCCCCGTCGACAGCGACGTGTGTAGGCGGGATCGGCGGCGAGGCATGCACAAGCGGGGGAGACAACGGTTGGAGTGCGCACGATGTCGGCGACGACGTTGGCTAGGAACTGGGGTGGGCGGCGGCGGAGAAACCAGCGGCGCGCGGTGACGAAGTGCCGATGCAGTTGTTGGGAGCTTGGGAGAGTCGGGGAGAAGATGCGGTTTGGGGGAGGAGTAGGGCAGAGGGGAGCAAGGCGGGGCATGGGGAGGGCGGCTCAGCGGTGAGGTGAGGCGGGCGGCACGGCGGCGTGGGGAGGGCTATGGAGATGGCGGCGCCGGTGAGGTGAGGCGAGCGGTGTGGCTTAGGTCCGTCGGAATATTGACCCTAGCAATTAGAATATTGACCTTAGCAATTAGAATATTGCACACACCGCCATAGAACGCCATTGCCTGGAGGCTGGAGCTCCTTTTTCAATTATCCCTATTGAGCCTTCAGACAGAAAAACATATATAATCGGATGAAGCACCAAACCAATAACAGAAAAAGAGATGATATCACCAATAGAAAGAACAAAATATGATGTTCCATTCAATATAACATAATTTAGCCAGGTAAAACAATGATCCAAAGATATGAGCAAGGGGTTCAGGGGAGCCATCAACAATTACCTGTAGCATACGACTGAGAAGGTAGTCCTGCGAGCGTGATGGACAGAGAAGGCTGAATGCCATGGCTAGCAAACGTCCCCAAATCAAGAGCAAACACATAAACAGAATTAACTCCAATTCCATGGAAATGCAACACCATGATTTTATCTTACGCCGACGCCAGGTCGGGTGGTCGTGCCAGCCCTCCTTCCGCGACGAGTGGATCTGGTCCGGGTTCGGCCACGTCCGGTGAGGTGCCGCAACGGTGAAGGGGAGGGCAGAGACCGGTGAGGCGCATAGGCGATGGAAGGAGGCGCGGGAGACGGTCGGCGAGGAGAAGCGATTCCCTCCCTGCTTGCCCGTGGCTGGTTCTTCTACGTGTAGAACACCGCGCTCGCGGCTGAGCGCCGCCGCAGCCGCCTCCCCCGCCACTCATCTCGCCGCGGCCACTGCCGGTGGCGCTTCCCTCCTACGCGACTCGCCGGGCGGGGCCGAGCGGGAGGCGGCGCTGGCGGTGCCGGTGGGGAGGGGCATCAGGAGGGTGGGGCGCGTTGGGAGGGAGGGGCGCCGTGTGGGGAGGGGCGTCGGGAGGTGGGGCGCTGACGGGGAGGGGCGTTGGGAGGGTGGGTGGCCGCCCGGTGGCGGTTTGGAGCAAGAGGGAAGGGGCAGCGCAGGATTTGACGACGTGGGCGGGGAAGAGACGTGGGAGCGTTAATCTAATGCTAATCCGAGTGCTAATCCCTGTGTTAATCCAACTCGCGATGTGGATCGTTGGATGAGAGGATCTGACGATTAGAAATAGGTGGGTGTACTGAAGAGGAAACTGGTGCTTTTTATATCCCATCTTCTAGAAAGTCAAGACGATTAGTTCTGCTTAGAAGAAGCCACATCATCGATTTCTTTTCTCACCATAGGATTGATTATTGATGGCACAGATTGCCATCTCATCACCTTGCCCCTATCCATTTCCTCTCCTTTCCGTTTCTGCTTGAGAAATTAGAGCGAAAACTAACACAATTAATTAGACCACGAGGAGCTTTAACGAGTCTCTTAGCATCCAAACATCCCTTCAGCATTTATAACAGACCACAAATACCTTCCACCATCCTCTGAACTCATAATTACATAGTATCCGTTACCTCTATGGTCTGGAACTATCTGTTCATACTTTTATATATGAAGTCGTCAATGCTCCTTCACTAATCAAGTAATCACTGCAGTTGGTAGCAAGATTATGTTATGTATGGTACTTAAAAAGGAGTTTAGAACAAGCACAACACTTAACCAAGTAAATACTCCGTATGCAACATTTTTTAGGATTAAATAACTAAATGACTATTTCTTTTGGAGAGTAAGGAAGACGCTGCAATTCAGTTTCTAATGTTGCATGGCCTATTTTATTTTTTTTGACTAGAGTAAAATACACGGCCGGTCCTTAAAGTTGGAGCGAGGTGTCACTTAGGTCCATGATCTTGAAAAATCGACATTACGATCCCCGATCTTGTTTAAGTGACTCATTGAGGTCCAAAGGACCTCTGTCCGAATTGACTGGCTTACGTGGCGGTCCAGCGTGGCAATGTATTTGCATTCCGCCCCCCCCCCCCCCCCCCCCGCGTTTTGCTTCCCCGTGTTCGATCCAACCCCTTCATCGCGTGGCGCACGCAGGAATGCGCTGACAGCAGCGTGCACCAGCACGCACACCTGCGGTACCCCGTCGACGGCTACTGTGCTCGCCTGCCCCGGCATCCCAGGTCTACTGGCGCATCCATAGTCGTGGCGGTGAACGCCAGCGCGTCGCCGTAGTCATGCCGCGTCGCCGCCACTACCAATGGCGCCGTGGGCGCCAGTAGCAAGCAGCACACTAGCACGACACACACGCGTGAGTGGCGGCAGCGGTGGCGCACGGGAGACGACGAGGCTGACCAAAACGCAGTGCCGCTAGCCTCTTCGCCTCCTCCCTCTCCGCGTGCGTTCGCCACCGGCCACCCTCCTCCTCCTTCTTCGCGCGCGCTCGCCGTCGGCCTCGCTCCCAGTACGCACGTGGCCCCTCCCACCCGCTTGCCCGCTCCTCTGCTCCGCCCGCGTCCGGAGCCGCTGCTCGCCCGCCGTCGCCGCTCCGCCGCCGCCCTCGCCCGCCGACGCCGCCGCCCTCGCCCGCCGACGCCGCCGCTCCGCTTGCTCCCGCTCCCGGCGGAGGCGCTGCTTGCATGGCTCCAGCAGCGGCTACTTCGACCACGGGCGGCCCTCGCCCAGCCACGCCGTCGCCACGTTCGAGCCGCCGTGCTCCCCCATCCTCTTCGCTCTCCCCTGTGCTACCGTCATCGCCGCCCTCCCCTTCTCCTGCGTCGTCGCCACCGCCGCGTCGCCGGACCTCCTCTCCTGCCTCGCCCCTCGCCCCTCGCCCATACTTGTCTCCTCTCCACCCGTCTGTAGCCTCCTCGGGCCCATCTTTGGCCGCCGCCGTGCTTCCCCACTGCAGCCGTCGACCGCCGTCGCAGCGTCGCCTCCTCCTCTCTCTTGATTCGGCTGCCGGCCTCTGCACCCGCTGCTTTGCCCATTGCCGCTCCGCCCGCAACCCGCTGCCACGCTGCCCACCGCCGCTGCGCCCGCCGCCCACCGCCCGCCGACGGCAACCGTGCTCCCTGCCGCCAGCCTCCCAGGCTCGCCGGTGCTCCCGTTGGACCGAACACTGGGAAGCAAAAGGGGGGAGGGGGCAAAATGCAAATATGTTGCCACGCTGGACCGCCACGTAAGCCCGTCAACCCGGTTAGAGGTCATTTGGACCTAAATGAGTCACTTAAATAAGATCAGGGACCCTAATGTTGATTTTTTTTCAAGATCATGGATCTAAGTGACACCTCACTCCAACTTTAAGGACCGGCTGTGTATTTTACTCTTTTGACTATATTGGTTCGGTTGAAGTTTTACTTACAAGTGTTTGCTCAATATTTGTAAGTATCAACCATCATATCATTCTCTCTCTTTTAATATGGTATTTTTATTTCTCCAAAGTATTGATACAAAGTCCCGTAGCAACGCGTGGGGTTTCAACTAGTTAGTATGGGCACATTTATAGTAATCTCTAGCACGAATCATAAGACAGATCAAATGGTATGAAGAATTCTTTTTTTGAAAAAAAAAATTCTGCCGACACAATATAGCCACTCCAAGATATTTAACTATTTGCCACTTATAAATGGGGGCAAATAACTATTGCTATTAGACCCACATGTCATAGACACATGTGGGTCCACATGTCATTGAGATAGGGGTGGCAAATAATTAAATGCCAAATCTACAAGTGGCAAATAGTCAATTCCAGGGTTTCCTGACCCGGTGACCTAGTCGTGAGTTCGCCCGCCGCCGCCGCCATCCCCCATCCATCCCGCGAGCGGGCATGGGCGCCGTCGTTCGTCCTGCTGCTTCCGCGGCATCCTGGTGGGCACATCCTCTGCCTCCACCGCCGTCTGCGCCGATCCCCATCCATCCCGCGAGCGAGCAGGGGCGCTGTTGTTCGTCCTGCTGCTTCCGCCGCATCCTGGTGAGCACATCCTCGGCCGCCGCCGCCGCCTGCGCCGATCCCCATCCATCCCGCGAGCGAGCAGGGACGCCGTCGTTCGCCCTGCTGCTGCTTCCGCCGCATCCTGGTGAGCACATCCTCTTTCCCATCTCTCTGTACCCGCGCACTTTTTGTCGAATTTGCGTTAACCCTAGCTTCTGCCTTAACCTTAATACTAATAACAGTTTGTTTGTTCCCAAAAAGTTTAGGGGTTCCCATGTTAGATCCGCCCCTGATAGACATAGACATACTTTGGTTTGCAGCGTATCTACAAGTATGCAAATATGTGCCCTGGAGCACAACCCTGAGGAATATAGAACTAATATGAATTATCGCAGATCACCGATTTGAAAATCGCCGCTGATGGAAGGGATGCTGCCATCTGATCCTCCGGGCAGTGATGATGATGGAAATGGAACGAACATGTGGACAGGACAGAAGGACAAGCTGGCCCTAGACCCTTGTGTTTCCGGTGACACCAATGAGAATGCACATGCCTGCACCTCATTGACAGCTGTGCATCAGGTTCTTGAAGAATCTACCAACAATACTGTGCATGCTATGGACATGGGCGTAGTTACAAGGCAAGATGATCCGCTGAAAGCCTCAGAAGAAGATATCAATCAACACAAAGATGAACAAGAGCTTTGGGGCCCAAACGTGCAAACTAGCCAGGACGACTACTTTGATTACGTCAAGCAGTTGTCTCCCAACAGTCGTCGCATAGACAAATGGTCCTTGCTGAGTCATGACGAAATGATTGAGGTTAAGGAGCGGCATGCACGCTATCGCATCAGATTTTGCAAGGTTTAATGCTTTTTTGTTAGCTAATTCCATCCTCTGTTTAATTTGTGTTAATATTTTTTTCTACTTTCTATTTCCAGATGCTAAACAAAGAATTTGAGGATACGATGAAGGATCCAGCAGAGTACTCTCGAGGCGAACTGTTGAAGGAGAATTACTTTTTGCGATATGAGCGGGATGAAACTCTTGGTTGGTACTTCCATCCTGTCCACACCTGGCTTGCAGGCTTGAATGACTACCAGAAGCTCGTCCTCGTAAATCATGTAAGTGCTTGCCATGTATGCAAATTTACAAATCTGATTGGATTTAATAAAAATTCTTGTAAGTAACTAGAGTTCATTGTTCATAGCTGTGCGCACCGTAGCACCCACAAACTGGCTGTATGGCTGCTTAAATAGTAAGATAGTTCTTGGGTCTGAATTGTGCACGAAAACATTTAGCTAATCTACATATATTATTTTGGATTGAAGTACTTCAAGTACTCCAAATGTGAACAATTTAATGCCTTCCCCACCGCGTTTTACTTGATCTTTGCACTGAAACAGCAACCCAGTGCTGAGTGCTCTTAAAGAAAATGATGGGAAGCGTACAACCATAGTACAATAAATCCTGGACAGATGAGTGACAGAAACATGTATTTCAGTCTGTTAACGTTTTGGATTTGAAGTCTGCTAGTTACCTGAATACCTGGTGCCTAATAAAGATCAGCGGAGTATTCCTTGCTGAAATTAAGCAAGAAGAATTAACAAATCTTCAACTCTCTCCCTCCCTCTCTTTCTCTCTCTCGTGCGCGTATGCTCGTCCAGATTCTACCCATCATACATCTCCTTTCTCCGCCATGCACCCTATCCTCAAAGCACAGTTTTTCTTTCTAGCTGCCATCTTTAGCCTCTTCTGTGGTGTTTACGATTATGTGCTAAGGGACTTAACTAATGCCTTACTGTTGGAAAGCTGGTCTGATTCAAATCAACTAAATATGTTTTAGATTAAACATGTTCATTTTTCATTTAGGGCCTGCTTGGGAGTTACAGACTTTTTTTTCTCCCTTGTAAAGAAAGACCCCTGTAACTTTCGGTTACCAAAAATACCGGTGAAAATCAAAACCCTCATGCTGGCTGTTTGGGAGAAAACAATGGCAAAGCCTATGATTTGAATAACAATTTCATATCTGAACATCAATTTGAGAGTCGGGACCAAAAACTGGGGAAACTGACAGGTAAAATCAGATCAAATAATCAAAACAAGTTCCCCATCATCAAAATTGGTCCAACAATTGTGATTCAACAACAGATCTAAAATATAATTTTTTAACAACAACATCAGAATGGCAGTCAACATAAGAACATCAGTATGTCACCTGGACGGATAGATCAGAAGTAGATATTGGAGGGGGACGATTCAGCATCCAAGGGAGATTTGAGGGCATAATGAGAAGAGATCATGTCTAGAACAACAGCAACGACATAGATTTGAAAGCATAGCCACATTGACAGCAAGGGCATGGCTTTGAAACCAATCTTGTGCGTCGTGGATCTGAAACCAATCATGTCCAGGATGGTGCCAACTTCTTGGACTGTGGCCGCAACATGCCAGCTAGAGAGGCCGGTGCCGGAATATTGTTGTGGTTGCTCAAAGGGAGGTCGGAGACCCGAAGAGACGTTGGTGGCTTGGAGGAAGGTCGGGATGTTGTGAGAAGAACGGCGATGGCGCTGTGAAGAAGGAAGAAGTCGACTCAACGTGCTTGGACCTTGTAGACGAACCCGATAAGTGTCGTAAAAAAATTGTGGCCTCTGCAGATGGTTATTTTTTCTTCGTGGAATGGGCCAAAACCAGTGTAAAGTTATTTGATTTCCAACCCATCCAAGCGCATTTTTTCTGGCCCAGTCCATAAAACTTTTTGGGCTTGTATTTTACACCTGTATTGGGCCAAATACTAGCCTTCCAATCAGGCCCTTAGGGTAAATTGCAATATAGCCCTCCCCCCTCAAAACCTGCAAGGTTGTCTCACCTGGCACCCTCAACTTGCATTTTACTTTGGTGGCCCCTTATATTCTACCCTTGTAGGTGAAAGAAACGTTACAAGTCACTAAAACACATTGGAATGGATCTAACATGGCTTAGTTCATATACTGATTCCATTTTAAGTGTTGCTGAGTTGTGTAGACCTCTTTGTTTTCACAAGGTTGTGGTTTAAGCTTTGAATCCTCTTGCTGTAAGTTGAACAAAACAGACTTTCTCTTTTTTCTCTTTCTTTTTGCCCAAATAGTCCTTAAGATAACCAGGCTCTGGTCTCCTATGTCAGACACTGACCTAGTTCAGTTCCAAATGTAGTTTTGTCATATCTTTACTTGCAGAAATATTATAGAAGCAGGACAGCTACTGATGAACTCCATGTCTTTCTCCCCTAACAAAAAATGCTTTTACCATCGGAGATGGGTGGTCAAACATTTTATCATTTTGGTGCATCTTTCTAGAATCTAGATGTTCGGATTGGTTATATTGCAATCATATGATATGATAAGAGTTGGCACTTGGCACACAGAGCATCATTATGATATTACATTAAACTGTTATTTTTTATGAACATGGCTAGGTCATGTCGCATACCATGAGAAGTTTAGACAGGAGGTTTTTCTTACTGTGGGGTGCAAGCAGAAAGTACCCTTGTGATATTAAACTGTTGTATTTTTTACGAACTCAGCTTAAGTTGCATACCTCAGACCATTTGATAAGATCAAGATCTTTTTGCTAGAAGTTGTGGTCCAACATGTTCTTCAGCACATGCCTTGCTCTTTTGGAGTTTATTAATTAGAAAAATTATTATCAGCTGCGTGGTGATGGACACTGCTCTGTTGAAACTTGTTAGCATTTTCTATTATTATCATCTATGTCTTTTCCCCTTCTGAATGCAGGATGATAGCACTGAATTCCTTGCCAGGGATGACTACCACTCATGTTTTAATACATATGAAGTTGATGAGGATTATGTCAAATATTGTGAAGAACTACCAAAGAAAATCAAGGTATCAACCATGTGATCAAGTTATTAATAGTTGGTAAACTTAGCCAGTAACATGGATTTGTTTTTGTGCTAATAATCTTTTATCCTTGGACAGTGGATTGGAGACTATGTAGATTTGGATCGGTCTTCTCAGGAGGTACTAATATAAAGCTGGCCTATAGAAAATTATGATTTATAGGTGTATTTGTCCATACATAGTGCATATCAGGATGATTAACTTTGCTCTTTAGTGGTCAAAAATGGACAACACTACGTTTTTCCAAGCGTTAAAGATTGCAACAAACTTTTGCCATATGACTGTTGGTTTAGCCCAATTTGCATACATGGTAAGAATTTTTCTGTTCTATTTAGTTTTGGTTTTCATGGCTGGTTTTAACAATTATATCCTTTCAATTCAGGAGTATGTATGGGACCTGCGTGAAATTAGTCGCCTTAAGGAATGGCCTTATTTCTTACATGAGATTTGGAAGCTAGTTGCTAAGCAAAAGGTTAGCATCCTAGTTTAATCCATTGTTATTTATAAATAAATCACTAATGGGTGTCTATCAGCTGGTTATATATTATTGTTTGTTTCCTTTATATGAACATTTCAGATGAATTTCAATGATGCTTTGAAGGTAGTCTATGAAATGGATATGTTTCATAGTTTCAAATTTGCAGTGGAGGCTGAACTAAATGGGGACAAATTGTTTGGATTGGAATATAGGGTAACTTTTATTTTGGCTATTCTGCAAGCTCATCTTTTAAGATCCGATTAATAATTATTTTGCTCATCTTGCTAATATTTAATTTTTTTTTCTCCACGTCTAGTTCTCTATGTGCTCTAAGGATATTTCTGGTGATGTAAGTACAATGTCGTATAGCATATATGTGTAGTTGAAATACATTTTTTATGACGATAATGTCATATAATATAATATATTGTTATTTTAGGTTGAAGAGGGTAAAGCTCTAGATTTGATTACAAAGGCAGTTTACAGAGAAGTAATCAGTGAAACACTTAAGCTAAAAATGTTTCTTATTCTACACCCTGCACAGTTCTAATTGATTTTGTTTTCAGTTTCATCACACTCAGACCATGTGTGGGTATGCGGCGAAGAAGATGGATATGGCGAAAAAGATTGGTTTGGTCTAGCTGGTATGTTATTCTCAATTTCTTATAAAGTTAATGCTACTAGCGTGGGACGCGCGCTGCACCCGTGGCATTAAAAATGGCAGTCTGTGATTAGTTTTGACTAATATGATTGGGAGAATTTGCTATTGTAATTATTTTTTTTAGTGTAGTGAGGAAAGAAGTGTTCTGTTGTGATGTATATAAGTCAATAGTTCTGCAAGGTATGAGGGGCCAATTTACATCATGAAATGAAGTAGTATGAAAAATAAAAAGCGTTATAAGCGGGAATAAAGATTCCAAGTTTCTAGGCCCGACCATCCTATAATACACTAATTTCAGCATGCTATTTTGTTGTACGAAAGACTTATTAGGTTGATGCATTGCAATAATTGTTTCAGATTTGCCAGAGAAGAAAGAAAGAACATTCAACAACAGAAGATCAATCCTATTAAAATTTAAAATGCTAACTGAGATGCATTATGAAGTTTTTAACTAAATATTTGTACATTAGATCACTGGCATATATCTTGTTCTATCTATGATGTACATATAAAATGAAAATTGAATTTTTTGCAGAATATCAACAATACATCATATTGATCAACAGAACCAAATTTCAATAGTAAAAGTATGAAATCATGAGCAGTGCAAATTTGGGGGAACATAGCACTAAAACATAAAGATGGAACATTTACTTTCGCTTCCTTATCTTCTTCTGGTATTGAGCACGGATGAACTGTAGATCATGGATTAAAAGTAAACACAGGTGGGCATGAAACAATGAAATTTATGTGTCTAGATAAATGAAGATGCACACCAAATTTTAAGAAGCAAGCATGATGGCAGAAGTGCATGCTAAATTTCATATAGCAGTGGCCTGCAAACCTGATTTCATTGCAATTATGTAGCTGGCAGGATAGAGGGTTGATAGCTAGATATGTGTCATAGTTGCCTAATGTTCCATGTAGGACGCAGTACTTCTATTAGTAAATACATAGCATATGTTCTAGCAAAGGTGATAGCAGCATGACCACTTATATACATTAATATTAGGATGTAGGTCTTCAGCAAAAGAGTCTTGCTTTTAACTTTGTAGCTTTATTTTGGATGCCTCCTTTCTTCTAGCATGTACATAGGCTTTGTACAAACACCCAAAATATCTGTTGGATGGCTGGACACAAGCATCTCATTCACTGCATGGAAAAAAAAATTAGAGCCTAAAGCTTGTCTATAGCTATATATTGCTTTTGTATTATGGCTGTCAAAATGCTTAGGTACTGTCAAGAAATAGGAGGATTACCTTTGATCCTTTGTGTGCTGGGAATGTTCTTTGAATAGCTTCTTAGCAGGTGGAGCTGGAACTGAAGCTATAGTGTTGGTCCTGTGTAATATTAGGTTATAACAGTCAGTTAAATTACCAATATTGTAAGCATCTATCACTGATGCGCTGTAGGCAAGCAGTCCATAGGTACCTTTTTTTGCTTGCACTTTTGCTAGGCACAGAAGGGCTAATAGGTGGATCATCAGGTGTATTGACAAAAGTTCCTTTGATCTTATAAGATAGATAAATGTGTTAGTATCTAATATGTTATATGGAAGCAAAGAGATGTGACAGTACCTTATGTTCAGATTCAGATTCAGATGGTCCAGCTGCAGGAAGAGATGGATGTTCCAAAGTTTTCTGTCCACTCTTTGGCTTTGTGGCCTTGCAAAATTAAGTAGGAGATTAGATTGCTTGTAAGGTAGTGCTGAAAATAGGCTGAATATTAGTATAACTGGTGGAATACTAACCTTATCATCAATGGAAGGCTGCATTGTTTGAGATTGCATAGGATATGCTAAGACAACATATTTCTTTTTGGTGGATCCTGAGGGGTTGGACTTGCTAGTTGGTGTGTCATCTGCTGCAGCGCTAACAACATATTTTGTTGGTGTTGATAGACTTGGCTGTAGAGATGCACTTTGCTTTCCTCTGGTTGATGACTGTGATTCAATACTGCTTTCGCTTGCTGCGGGTGGTGTTTGGAGTGAAGTGCCAGGGCTCAGTGGTACGATAGTTGAGGTGCGTCCTGAAGCAGACGGTGAGATAGGCAGGAAGTGCTGTTTTGGGGCACCAGATGATACAATGCTATTGACCTGTAAGGATTCTTGATTCCGTTTAACTGTGTGTTCAGTGAAGCTGACATTCCATACAAAGGCTTGATCTACAAGAGCTTGGATCTCAGCTGGGATAAAGTCAGGTGGATTTTCTTCGATTAGAGACTCCACTGGTCTGTGTATTAGGCGATGTGCAATTCGTCCGAAGAGGACAAATGCAGCTTCAGAAGTGTTGTCTGCGGTAGTGAGCACAACTTTGTATCTGTATGTGTACAATATATATGGTCATTACAATTTGTATTGGGAATTCATAAATGTGTAGAATATTGTGTGCGGTGTTTTTCTAACCTTGGCACTGGCATTCCTATATAACAACAGCTAGAGCATCTATAGGTAGAACCATATGGCTTTGAAGTTCTGCAGCATCGGTCACATGAATTGTACCACCAGCAGTTTTCATCATGTATGCTCTTGATAGTAACATTGACAATAAAACGTGCTCGCTGTAGAGAAAGAGAATTGTCGGTTATACAAAACAAAGCAAAAGTATGAAATGCATATAAAAAATCATGGAGTAGAATAGACCTTATATTTGTGCGGATTTAGTTTTAGAATTTCTTTAATGGTTTTTTCCTCTGGAGTGTCTTGGTTGAATGCAGGAGCAGCATTTTCAACCCATTTGATTGGCTGGAAGTTGACACTGAAGCTGTAAAGAAAAGCAATGGCTAGTTTTTAATCTATGTTTTAGAGCCAGCGAGAATTAAAGCACTGCAAATGAACCTGATATATGAAAAAAATAGGTGATAATAGTACCTTTCTTTCAATTTGAGCACGTCAGGTATGTCCAGATTGATATACCATTTGCATGGTGAGCTACCAGTTATTGTTAAGCCTGTATACAATGAGCTAGAGATTCAGATTGTAGTCATTGCATGCAATATATAGTAATTAGCAATTTAGTATGCATAGGGAAATTTACCTATCCCTGCATAATCTCTGACAAGTGTTCCAACAAACACGACAACCTGGGGTTTAGTTTGGCCATCCTTATATATTTTCTCTGCATCAAAAGCAGTTGATCGATCTCCCCACAGTGTGACAGGCAGTGTTGAGTTGCTGTGTTTTGCATTAACAGTAAAATTAGTGTAGCTATAATTGGAATATAAAATAAAAGATTGACACTTCATCGAACTGCTATTTAAATGAAAATTAGTGTAAATATTAGTTTATAACATAATGCAAAGCTTATTTAAATGAAAATTATTCTGTTTTACATAACTAACCTTGCATCACAGATCTGCAATGTTCTTTTTAAACTATCAGCATCCCTTGACCTTGGACGCACGATAGATGTGGAACTGATCTCAGTAATGACGCCCATAATATCTGTTTGCACATGAAAATAGAATAAATCAGTCTTATAAGGCAATGTACAGATACATAAATGAAAATATTATAGTAATATATCATACCAACATAGAATATGTTTTTACCAACAAGAGAGGGGATTTCTTGGAAATGTGTCAATGAAAATGTTATGGTAGGGAAATCAGCTGGGATGTCAATGCATTCTTCTAAGGTTGTCCATTTACTGAATAAAATCATGAAGTCATTTGAAACTGGTCTATAAGTCCTGTTTGCATCTTTGACAGTGAACGACTCAATGTAGTAGATCTTCCCTTCATGGATGAGAGGTTTCAGAACTTCAATTGCGCCTCGATACATCTGAACATGAATGCTATTGCCCTGCAAATTTTGAATATGATATACTATTTTAGTAATACGTTTGGTATACTAATGTACACAAATAATAAGAGGCATGAGTAGTGATTTGATAAGTACCACTTCATCAAGGCGAAGCGGAAGAGAGTGGATGGGACGAGGAGCTCCCCCGTGCTAGGCCGCCGCCACCGCCGTGCCCCCGCGGGTGGCCGACGATGCTAGGAGAGGCACCACCGGCGGGAGAAGGGGAAGAGGCAGAGGAAGCGATTGTTTCTTGGTCGCCGGCCGCCTCCCCCTCCCTCCCAAACTCGCTGGCCACCGCGCTCGCGCTCCGCTACTCTGTCCACGGCCTGCTCGCGCTCCACTGCTCGGCCTGCCGCCGCGCTCGCACCTTCCGCTGCTCCGTTGCTGCGCTCGCCCTCCGCTACGCCGGCCGCATCCATGCTCGCCGCTCCGCCCGCTGCCTCCGCTCCGCCGCTGGACGGCCGCGCCGCGTAGCCTCGCCCACGGCGACGACGACGGCGGAGAGCCGACGACGACGGCGGCCACGGCGCGCGGCTGCTCCGCCCGCAGCCTGAAGGAGAAGAGAAGAGGAGAGAAGGAGAAGAAAAGAGGAGAAAAAAGATGTGAAGCTGACATGTGGGCCTCACGTGTTTTTTTAATATTTTTTTTGCTGACTAGGATGCCACGTCAGCAAAACCGGGCAAAAATACTGCCGAGGGACCTCCGGTGAACGGTTTGAGTGAGTTTAGGGGTACACATTTCTGGTTTTGTGGTTAAGGGACCTCAAAAAATCTCGCTGTTAAGTTGACGGACCTCCGGTGAACTTATTCCGCCATGTAAACACTAGCTAGCTGGCCTGGCCTGGCCTGGCCTGCTATTGAGTTCAAGTCACTGTGACAAGGAATAAGTTCATTTGAGGTCCCTTTTTATGCCAATGGTTTGGAACACGTGACGCCTACGTCTTCGTTCGTATCACGTGGCAGATATGTGATGCTTACGTAGCAATTCGATATCGCAAAAATAATAAAAAAACATAGGCCCACATCAGCTGCACACACAAAATAATTTTAAAAATGGTGGGGCCATGTGGGCCTCATATGTCAGCCACACTCCTCCCTTGTTCGCTCTGCCCTCTCTTTCTTCTTCCTCGTCTCACTCCACTCTTCTTTCCTATTCCCTCTAGGGAGGCCAAGGTGCGCGCCGAGGTGACTGGGCCCGGGTGGGCGGCGAGCAACGCGGTGACGGCGCCCGGAGCGAGGCCGCCGCCGCCGTCGAGGCGGAGAGGGCGTCAGCGGGAGGAGATCGCGGCGGCGTCGGAGCAGCCGGCGTAGACGTGGTCAAACCCGAGGAGCGCCTAGAGCATGCACCACCTGCCGAGGCAGGAGCGTGAGCGCCAGGAGCCACGCGTCATCGCCCGGCACGCAGCCGCGCCGCCTCGGCGTCCGACAGCGAGCAGTACAGGTTGGCGGCGCGCGACATGGCGTTGGCCACCTCGAACGACAGGATGTCGACCTTCCGTCATCCACCCCCTCCGCCGCCGCACGCACCGCCCTTGCCGCTGCTCGTCACTGGCTTCATCTTCCTAGACGACGACGTCGCCATGGACAATACCTTGTGCACCAGCTAACCGGCCACCATGGCGATTTCTTGATTTTCTTCTTGAACCAAACAAAGATTCACCAAAAGGAGGCTAAAACGTAGTAAGAAAAATATCTCCGCTTTTGCACCAAATCCAGCTAAACAAGAAACCAACCACGAGCAGTCAAAAAAGACACACCGATTTGAATTCAAACCCAAATCCTCCGATTTCTTCGTTGTCTCGCTAGTAGCAAGCAGCAGGAGCAATTAATGGCGGGGAGCAGAGCGAGCAGAGATGTCAACACATCGCCGCAACGCCATTAACAAACCCAAGGGAGCAAACAAACAAATTAAACAACCAAGTGACGAGAAATGGAAAAACAAAAACCAAAGGAATTTCCTCGGGCGGTGTTCCAGTGAAAGAAAAAAACAATGGAGAAAGGCGACCACGAAGACAATCATGGCCTCTCCTCCCGCTGCCGCCCTTACTGCCATACATACAAAACACATATACTACTACTATATTACCTCCATCTCATGACGTTGGTCGTCAAACAAAAAGAAATGGAGGAGGAGGAGGAGGAGGCTGCCAATAAAATCTTGCAGGTTCAAATCATGCCAGGTGACAGCGAAGACAGATTATACTGGAAGCACAGTAGGATTGGTGACTGCAACACAAAGAGTGCTTATAAGGAATTCATGAAGAGAGATAACCCTATCACCCACCAGGTAAGTAGGCAGGTTATTGCTGTGATTAAACAAATTTGGAAACACAAGATAATCCCTCCAAAAGTAAAAATTTTTGCTTGGAGGCTCATCAGGGAAGCACTTCCCAGAGCTGGCAGACTCCGTCACAGGATCAATGACATTTCTGAAAATTGTTGCAGATGTGGACAGGTTGAAACTGGTTTGAATGATATCTGACCTGAATTGCTTTATTGATAGATTTCCTGATAATGCACCGATGGCTCACATCATTTCTTTCATGATAAATAATGGCAATGGCAATATAGGTCTTTGCAGGATTCTAGCCCTTATGTGGCATATCTGGAAAGCCAGGAATGACTTCAAATTTCAAGCAAAATTCAGAGAGCCCTCTCAAGTGTGTTTTTAAGCTGAGGCTATGGCGAATAGCTACCACAAATTTCTATCTAATGATTGTTTACAGGATGAAGAGCCCCCAGGAGAACAGAGCAGGAAAAAAGAGCCAATTCCACAAGGGAATGGATGCTGCATTGATGCTGCTTGGGGAGAGGGTTTGACAGGAGTTGGTGTTTTCTTTCATATGCCAACTAATCATAATGCAATCTTTATTAAGGCCTTCAGCACTTCTGCTAGCTCGCCCTTGCAAGCTGAATTAATAGCTTTACAGTTTGCTTTGGAGGTAGCAAAATGTCTTGACTTTGCAGGTACGGTTTTCCTCATGGACAATGCAACGATTGCAGATACCATCAAGAAGAAGGATTTCGAACCAGACTCAGGACATTGGAGCCTACGACCGTTATGGTCCCAAATGATAATTGACTTTCCACAGGATTTTATGAAGGTTTACTGGATTCCAAGAGAGATTAACAAAATGCTTGACAAATTAACAAAAGAAGCTAGACTTTTAGAAAGGGCAAATCCGATCTTTGATTGCCAAAACATTTCTCACCTTGCTTATCCCAATCGAATGTGCTTTGCTTCAGCTCTCAAGAACAATTTTAAGGGAGCAAACTGTGTTATCAAGCATGTACTATGCTTCTAGTTAATATAAAAGCTTGGTTTTCAAAAAAAAAGAAGCGATAAACCTCATAACTACTCATTTCTTCCTTCACTTCACTAGGACACGACGTCCAAAGGAAAAACCTAAAAAGACAGCTAGTATAATATTGTGGACTGGATTTGGAGCATGTGTAACAGTAATACTACTCCGTACACGGCAGTCAAAAAAGGGATAAAACAAAAAAAAGGATATCGTTTCCTTTTTCGCAGAAAAGGTGTTCATGCTGGGGAGACCAGCATGGAAGGCATGTACTGATTACATCATCTGATTGTCTTTTCGCGACCACTGCCAACATCTATTTTACTGAACAAAAATACTGGCGTTTCCACTAAACACAGGACTTGTTAACCAACACCAGCTCGAGGTTCCTGAGCGGCACCTGAGTTCCTTCAATCTTCTTACTGCCAATTTTCTCATAGTAATATCAACAAGACCATTAGGAGAGCATCGGCAATAGTTATGTATTCAATACAAGTGATGGTAATTATGTATTTACTGAAAAATGATGGTACATAACCTAAGTAATACACTAAGGTATACCTGGTCAATGGATATTCCAAAAAAAAAAAAACAGATTTATCATCAGGCAAACAACAAAAAAAAAAAGTGAATCCTAACTTTGATTGGCTAAAGGCCCCTACATGACAATACAACATTCTCATAATTACATATTTCCATCTGACTTCAAATAGTTCTTTACTCAACATCCATATATACCTAATTTATGAGTTCAGTTATTCAATAAGGAGATGTTATTATTACAAAAAAGGAACTTAATAAACACGAGTCTTATAAGGAGATAGGAGGTATAAAGGGATGCATAAGTCCAAATGGTCTGCAACAATTGGTCACAAGGGCAGTATGATCAAAACATAACAGAATAAGTGAATCCAGATTGAAAACCACAATAACATGAGAAAGCTGAGCGCATCCACTAAACTCAAGCTGTTCAAGCAAACAAACAAACGATAATACTTGTCCATGTTGAGAGGAAACTACAAAAATGTCATTTGATGGCAATAAACTTCCTTATTCATCAGTAACTGTCATGTGCCATATGTGTCACTCAATTTATTATATACTACTAGAACTCTTTAACAAACAGAGCATTTGATAAATATTCATATATACATTTTTATGACATAATAAACTAAACCAAAGATAGAAATGGAGTCCACATACCTCGGGTGACAGGCATTTGTATAGGTTGAGGCATAACATTGGTTGCTCAGATTGAACAGCTTCATCAACAGTTGAGGACATCCCATTAAATGTAAGATCATCCTATAATAACAAAATTTTCATAATATACCATAACTTCCTTTTGTGATTGTATCAGACCAATTTATATTTGTGTGAACAAATATACCTGCACCTCCTCTTCATGCGTGTATGCTCCACTCACAAATTTCACATTCTGAATTGGGTCATTTCCATCATAAGCAGGCAAATTCAAATTTGTTTTCCTATACCTGTTCATTGAGCCTAGAAGTCCGTGATGTGGCTTTTTGTCCCATTCCAGAACACATGTTTGTCCTCTGCGGACATTGTTACAGAATGCAGCATCTTTTAAGGCCTTTGGGATATCATAGATGAAGAATCTCTTCCTCCTTTCTTTAAACCAGAAAAAAACATGATCTAGAATCACGTCTTTGATTGTTCCTATTTGCTGGCTGAAAAAAAAATGTGTGTATAAGGCTAACATGCAAAGACTAGGCAGACAATACTGATTCAATGAACGCAACGTACTTACGTGTTTGCAAGAAACTCCAAATTCATTGCCAGGTGATCAACTAACATGTATCGTTCTGCTTGATGGGGTACGCCTATCTTTGCCAGAGCGGAAATAGACTTAAGCATCCTACCAATTGCATTGATATCTTCCAATTGTGCTGCCTCTTTACTCATTGCACCTGGAAATGCAAGTTTTATTATATCTGTATGTCAAACTATCTCGCTAACATACCCTATACTTGTTAATAGGTTCACCTTTGCTTTGGAAGTTTGCAAGTTTGATGGTGATCTTTTCATTATCTTTGCAATAATATACATTTTCCAAGCAGATATTTCCATGATAAAGCCCATTTACTCGAAGCTCCTCCCACCCCTCAATGATTTGCCTGCAATGATTTATATTTTAGTGCATATACACATAAATTACATTACAAACATTGAGAGCATTAGGCACAGTTTTAAAGAAAAGTAAGTAAGTTTTATCTGACTACGTCAGCAAGCTCAACCGAAGGAAGAATGTCAGACATGCCGCCCAGTTTCATTTTTCGAAGCAGTGCTGGCAAACGCCCAGTAAAAGATTCAACAAACATAGCTAGTACTGGTGTTTTTGCCTCTCCAATTACTATTTGTTTCACTGCCTCCATTTGCAAAACGTTCCTGTGCTTAACATTTTGCATAATCATCAGACAGTGTAGGTTATCTGGTTTATTCACATCCAAACCTATCACTGGCAAGTGCAGAGGTAAAGTGGAAGGTGGAATATTAGAAGGCTTCTTGAGCTTTAGTCTAGCCACATAACTAGATTGATCCACCTCCCTCATATCTAATCGGGTGATATGCAATGGAATCACCTGTTGATGTACCTACTATTAGATCCCATATTACAAAACAAAAAAAAAAGGAAAGGGGAGGGGGTGGGCATGCAGTTCATATTAAAAAAAAACTGCAATAGTGCATATACCGTTTCTTTTCCTTTGTTCAGATCTGGGGTAATGTTGACCTTGTCCCGACTTTTCTCCATGTGGCTGTCCTGTCAATACGAAGTAATTGCACGCATCAGCTTATGATGTATTTTCACTATCCCGTCATTACATATATACGATAGTTAACCACCCAGACACCGGGTTATCAGCTCACCTTCAAGAGGTCTGGAACACGTAAATTAAACAAGCCCATCTATACAATTCAGGCAAACTGCCATACAATTCAGGCTGCGAAGCAGAAATCTTGGCAAGAAAAACGTAGAATTACACTCACCCACAGCTCCGCCGCTCAACGCCCGCAACCGTCGAAGAACCCGCAAAACCTCGCCCCCAAATCGCCCCGCCAAGCTCCGCCGCAGAACGCTCCGCAACCGTCGACGAGCCTGCAAAATCTCACCGGAAGCGGCGCGGTTCAGCATCAAGAATTGGAAGTCGCTGCTGTACCACGGCGAGACGAGGAGTCGGACGCTCACCGGCGGCGACCGGCAAGCGGATGAAGAGTACTAGTAAAACCCTAGACTCGGTCTCGGTCTCGGTCGCGTCGCCGAAATGACCCTCCTATCCTTTTGCCAACTGTCAAGCCACGGTGCGCGTGATTAAGGCGTGGGACCCCTGGTCAGCCTCCCTGCTCCTTCTCATTTCTTGTCGGTTTCTCCCGGCGTGGGGCTGGCTCGAGGTCGAGATGGAGGCGGTGGCTGGGCGGAGCGAGAATGATCGATGTCGACGAGACCGGCAGTGTGGTGCGCGCGGAATGGGAAACGCCACCAGAGCCCTCCTGAGGGAGGGTGGGCGTGCGGTATGTATGTGCCAGCTGTGAACACACATGTATTTTTTTTTAAGATAATAAAATATAATATCCCAGCCTTTACTCAAAAAAGCTACAGCCAATTATTACATATTAGTTTTCATGATGAATATAGTGTAAATATAAGAGAAAAACAAAGAAACCAACCTAACGTACGGAGATCACGATTATTGAAGTCTACTTGTAAATCTCCAATCATAATTGGCAAAAAGTTGTATAACCGTGCTCTCCAATTTTCGGCATACAACTTTCAGAAACTCTTCATCTTCATCACACCTCTGTAGTTGTGCCCAAAACCGGAGCCAATAAGCTGTCCTGAAAATGACCTGCATATAGAAAAATGATGGTGAACACACATGTATAGGGAAGCTAAGTAGTCAAAGTGTGTCAATCGAAGCGCTAGTATCAGAGAGGATTTTAAACTCTTAAAGATAGTTTAAAGCTCCGCAAATATACAAGTTAAAATAAGTCACAACGAAAAAAAAACAAATTAAACTACAGCTAGTTAATATATGTTCACAACTAAATTTATTTTTTTTGCAATATGTAAAAGTTAAAATTGATATATTGCATGTTTATGGAGCGATCTATCACATACTCCTATTAAACTATCTTGTTGATTTTTATTTTAAAAAAGTTTGATAATCATTTAAGTCACATATAAACAACGAGTAAACATTCTCTCAGTATTCTCTCAGTTTAGAATAGTTTCTGGCTAGTATCGTGTGTATGTCATTGATTGCTTGCTTGCATGCATGCAAGGGAACCGAGGAGCCGTTCTTGTGTGTGCAGAGAGCAACAAAGCCAAGACACGCTAAGGGTCTGCTTGGTACAACTCCAACTCCTAAATATAACTTCAGGAATTAAGTCTGGAGTGGAGTTGTGGAGCTGCCTAAACCCAGCTCCACAACTCTAGTACATTTTGTGAGAGAGCTCCACCAAACTTCACTCCCAGTTTTGGTGTAGCTGAAACTGTTTGGCTGGAGCTGTGCCAAACAGGCCCAGAGCAAGTTTAATATTATAGCCAACTATTAGCTCCAAATCATCTATAGCTAATCTAATAACCTATTCACACAATAGTTAACTATAAAAATATAATACACCATTAATATCCGGTCCCACCTCTCATAGACACATAATATTTTGGAGTCCGTGTTGCAGTTGGCTACAAATCTGTAGTCCGCTTTCTTCTCTCTCTTCTCTTTTCTTCTCGATACGTGGTTATAGCTGCTTTCTTCTCTCTCTTCTCTTTTCTTCTCAATACGTGGTTATAGCTGGCTTATAGCCTGCTATAGCAGGTACAATAGCAGATTATTACCTAGCTGCAAACATATTTTCATGAGATAAGAGATGAGAGAGAATAGCAGCGTGCTACAGATCTTAGCCAGCTGTAGCACGGACTTCAAGGCGCAATGTGTGTATGACAAGTGGGACCATATATTAATAGTATAGTAAGCAACTATTGTATGAATTGGCTATTAGATTGGCTATAGATGAATTGGAGGCAATAATGGGCTATACTATTAAACTTGCTCTAAGGGCAAGTGCTATGTTAGATGTAACTACCATCTCCAAATTTATCTATTTTATTTACTCATGAACTAAGAGACAACCCATACAATGTATCACCCCTAGTATACAAATACAAATATCTCTAATATTTTCACACATTTCTTAAAATTTGTGTGGAGCTAGGTTGCCTCTTGAATCTTGATTTAGGGGTGGCTCATCATCTCTCTCCTCACTTCTTTTCTCCACCTCGTCACTCAATCTAATGTGACATTTTTAGAGGCAATATATGGGATATTATAGTACTGGTCCTAATTAATTACATGATGCACTAGCTGCAACTAACCTATATATATGTCAGGCTTTGTAAATATGAATGAGAATTTGAGTTGAGCTGAGTTAGCAGAGTTCCTTCTATACAAGTGTGTTTTGTGTTTATGTTTATCTTTACTAGATGTGTTTATGTGTCTGTTAGTCTTGGGCAAAACCATCAAAATCGCCGCATGTCATCCTTGAGCAGATAACGTCGTGCGCGTGAAGGAGAAAATGCTCCCATAGGTTCTCGACGAGGCCATGCACCAGCAATTGCAGGCTCGGTTTCAAAAATAAGAAATAATAAATAAGTTGACACTTGACAGCAATGTCAACAAGTAGTCGCTGGTGTTCATACCGAGCCTACACCGCTCTATGTCACGATTTCTTCAAAATTAACTATTACGAGCTATTATATTTTCTCAATCATTTGAGTTTTCTTTCTCTTAACGAGGTAAAGAACTGAGACGAGTGGATCCAGAGTGAAAATAATTTTTCCCCCAAATAATTCTAATTTTAGTTTATCATATTTATATATTTTTCCCTGTTACAGTGTGTGTAATCACTACTGGAGAACTGATCTTTCTTTGTGGTACCAAAAACAAAAATATTTCAGCTAGATTAAAAACCAGTACTTTGCTCCATGTTCCCAACCCCTCTCTCTCGTATTCCGCGCGCACGTTTTTCAAACTAATAAACGGTATGTTTTTTTAAAAAAAAAGTTTCTATACGAAGTTGCTTAAGAAAATCATATTATCCATTTTTTAAAAAAAATAGCTAATACTTAATAAATCACGTGCTAATAAACCGCTCTGTTTTCCGTGCGAGAGGGATTTGCTCCCCTACATAAGTAACGAACACAGCCTAAAAATGCTTTATTACCGGTTCTAAGAGTACAAGTCCTTATAAACATTTTTAGTCCCGGTTAATGTTACCAACCGATACTAAAAATACATGTTTAGTACCGGTTGGTAACATTAACCGGGACTAAAACTTAGTCCCGGTTAATGTTACCAACCGGTACTAAACATGTTTTCAAGGTTAGTTAAAAAGAAAGCATCTCTATCCAAGTCATATATGTGTAGTAGGTGGGATGGTAACATGTGTGAGGACTGAGGTGAGAGATCTTGAGTTTAAATCCCACATCCCACATATATTTTTGATTTAGTATACATCAATCTAGCGGTGGAGCTTGTTATACTACTATGGTTAGGATATTATTATGAATCTAGTTTTTTTAACGAATATAAATCTGTTTTCTATAGTAGATAGGATCAGTTTTTATGTAGGGCACTTTTTCACTATATTTTATCTGTGTACCGAATTCCAGATGCTCATGAGCATAATCAATCCACGCGCGCTCTCTCTCTCTCTCTCTCTCTCTCTCTCATTATACGCTTTTACAACTCGATCACAGATTCACAACAGGTGGTGATCGTGCCGCCGCGCATGCACTCGATGTAGAGGTTTTTTTTTAAAAAAAAAAACTCACGTACGATAGCATTTTATAAAACTAGTACTTATCAATGATATTTATTGAAATTGGATGTTTATCAACGATATTTCTTGAATTTTCTTAATGATGACCATGTGGAAGTATGCTGCGAGGAAGATTGAAATTGCAAAACAGATTGTTTTGATTGATCAACCACTATGTATGCGCGCGCGCTCTCTCTCTCTCTCTCTCTTATCAAAAAAACATATGCTGTTGACTGTTGTTTCTCTGCCCTATAGAAAGAGTATAATTTACACTTGTTAGCGTTTTTCCAAAAGTCTAGTTTTCACTTTTCAACCTGAATTTTGAAACCTCTCAACTTTGTTATGGAAATTTCAGAGATTGAAGTGATGCTTTGGAGGAGGCGCATCAAATGGAGAAGTTTCACGAATACAAACATGCAGTGGAGACTGATACGAAGATTGGTTCAAAAAATTCAGTAGTCCCACATGCTTGATAAACGGATTTTGACTGGAATACAATTTCCGTGTACAAGAAAATTTTCCAAGCTGGTTGAATCCCTTATTTATATCACACAAGGTTGCAAAAAGGGTAGGAAGGCTGAAACAAGAAAACTCAAGAAAAAAAACCTCAAAAAAATCTTTGCTCCATCTGTCTCAAAATAAACCAATCTAAAATTGAATGAAACACCATCCAATCTTACAAGCTTTAGCACGTGGAAATTCTTTCTAACCATAGTCCACGCCTTATTGCTGATGTTTGACGTGTTTGTCTCCTACGTATACAACACATCTCACCTTCCGGAGAAGAAGTAATCTTTACAATGTTGATGTGTTGATGTATGTGTGGGAATTAATTATAGTTCAGAACGTTTCAAGTAGAAGATTACCCCCATGCTGGCAACCGCAACTGCACCAGCTGCGATGCCTAGCCGGAGAAATGACCGCCCTGTTTTCACCGGTGAAGTATTTACAAGCGATGTGGTGTGCTCCCCATTGCTCCAGGGCTCATCCATATGCAGCCTCAGAACCTGAACAGGAAAAACAACCTCCAAAAATTAGCGGAATGCCGCAGCTAGGAGGCTGCAAGAACAGTAACAAACTAATAAAGGAATGCTCAGTTGTGACCTTCCATCCAGCTGATCTCGCATGCTGAATTGCCGCACTGAGGTCACCGTCGGTGGTCAGAACCACCCTGTCACCTTCATCGTCATCATACTGCTCAATGCGATTCAAGTAAGGGTGTGTTTAGTTCCACGTCAAAATTGTAAGTTTGACTAAAATTGAAAGTTTGAAGGAAAATGTTGAAAGCTTATGTATGTAGAAAAGTTTTGATGTGATGGAAAAGTTGAAAGTTTGAAGAAAAAGTTGGGAACTAAACAAGGGCTAAGATTCAGATTCCAAGACGGTAAGATGTAAAAGCTAGAGAGGTCCGATAAACAGATTCCAACCACATGCTTGCTTGGCTTCTTGTTCACTTGGAGTAACATTGCATAAACAAGCTCGGTTTAAAAGCCGTTTTGTAGTAAAAGTTTCCTTTAAAACTACTGAAAAATATATTCTGAATGAACAGGGAAAATGAAGTGCCAATCAACAAAACAGAATGGGCTTGGTTTTAACATGTTCGATCTTGTATATCTTAAGCACTACATATTACTGTACCTAAATCGCGTGTATAAGTACAACGCAGTTCTGCTCTTACCAGAAGATTAATCTTCTCTTTTTCCATTCCCAGTCTGTACGATACGGCAGAAACAAGCTCATCTAAGCTTTCTGAAACTGTATAAAGGAAGGGCGCAATCAAGTAGAAAATCATAATTTTATACTACTGTATCAACAAACTGCAATCAGGAAATAACGATGAGAATAGACCAACCACAACTGAATCTGTGCATACGCCCTTTTCTATCTTGTAGTTTAAAGGAGAATGAATTGCCAACATGAGGGGGTATATGTTTCCCTTCAGCATTATCTGATGTTGCCATTCGAGATTCTTCACTGCGCTATAACAGAAGACTAACCATGAGGCTATTGAAAATGAATCGCAAACTATTCAACTAAGCAAGTAAAAAAAGAAAAGAACAAACCTACGGGCATCCGATTCCTCTGCAGGCTGCAGGGCAAGAGCTGAATCCCAGAACTTCTGCATCATAGTATTTGCCATACTGTTCGCTTCAGAAGCTCCCTCAACCTAACACAAACAAAGTGACCTTTAGTACATCCAAACTCCAAAGTACTAAAAATAAATGCAGCCACAGGGACTAAAGTGTTACTTCTTTTCATTCAGAATGGATCATTTATCTTGCCGGAAAAATACTGTTTTCTTAGCATGATGGAACACCGAAAAAAAATGTACACTGGCATGATCTGGTAACGAAAACAAAACTGTCCCCTACCATTGAAATAGCTGCATGGGTTAATTGTAGAGCATCCAAACATGCGATGATCTGTCCATCTATTCAAAAGTTAAGTTAGATATGCACATCGAAAAAAGATTTCCCTGTTGTTAGAATTCGGTACTTGCTTTTGTCGGCAACAGGAATATGCAGATATTTCCCGTCTTGCATTGAATGCAGGGCCTCAAGGATCGATGTATCCAATGTCGCACAATCAGGGTTTGTAGTCATAACCTTCAGAAATGTACCAGCATATTGAATCAAATTGTGAAAATAATAAAAATAAGACATGAAAGCAACATGATTTAAAATGCAGAGGTTTCAACTTTGTAAAGGTACCTTTTCTACAAGAGTCACATCTGGGGATAAACTTTGGGCCACTAATCGCAATACCAAATCCTTGGAACTACAGTATATCCAGCACAGATTCCATTAATCACTTAAATAGAATTATATCATAGAAAGCAGTCTACACTATCCTAGTGTTACCATTGAGCAGATAACTGTGTTAAGAAAAAGAAGTTTTATGTAAAGAAAAACATACGTAAGAATTCCTAGCAACATGTTCCCTGTCATGACAACCACTGAGTTGACTCGGTATTCTCTCATTTTTTTGGCAGCTGCTATTACAGGATCTGAAGGAGATACTACTGGAACACTAGAAAAAAGAGCGGTGTGAAAATTCAATGAGAAATAGTTCAAAACATAAGTCTTCCTGGGAATATAGAACTAGTACCTGTTATTTTCTGTTATGATGGTTGATAAGGAAGGCTTGAACAGCTGGTCTCGCAGATTTTCGATAAATGAATGTGGACCTGAAGTAGCCCAAAGTGTAACATCGTTTAATCAAAAGAAAATTGAGTGGAATGCACCATGATTGTTATGTAGAAAATAGATAATACCATATTCAAATAAAACTAAAACAAATTAACCTGGAAAGTCATTTCCCCACTGTCGTTCAACTCCTTCCATAGCAGCTGCTATTGCACTGCCTTGTTCTGCAGCCTTTTCCATTCTTGAAATTGCATCATAAAGGAACTTGGTAATGTCCAGCATGGCAATTACCTCACCGTGTTCCACTACAGGAAGATGTCTGAACTTTCCTGTTAATGAATGCCATGTTGCCACAAGAGAGCATTCAGACCCAAAAAGAAAAGGAAAATAATTCACTCAGAAGAACATAAGAAAGAATCTATCTAACTTTGCAATTATCAGGAAAAAAAGAATCTTACTTTCTCCCAAAAGAGCCTAACATTTGTAATTTTGCAAGAAACATTTTTATCAGACATATGATCCCTTAGCCTATATAGCTGCTGAGTGCCTGAGTTTCAACATGGTTCATAGGCCGTATTTGATAAGAAAAAAGTAAATTATACTCCATAAACAACAGTAAAGCGAAGAACAAATGATGATGTTGAGAAGCAAAAATGGTATCAATACCTTTGACCATCTTTTGTAATGCTTCAATGGCTGGTGAGTTGGACATAACAAAAACTGGGTTACGCGTCATCGCTTTGGCCACATTTGTTTCGTCAGGCCTGAGTCCCTCTGCTATCACCCGTCCTGATATGTCCTACAAAACAAAAATACAAAAAATCCTTCCGTAAACTTGATCGTCATCATTAACAGCATTAAAATGTTAAGCACATCTTGTTCTACAGTAAAACCTTCAAAACTTATCCGTTTTATGTTATCAAGTCTTAAAGCCCAATATCCCTGAAAATAAAATCTAATTTGTCTCATGTGACATGACAATGAGCTACAGTACCCAATCAAGCTCAGGTTGCATAATCGTCACCGCTAAATCTGAATGACTGATGAATTTCTCTGTAACTCAAAACTGATTGAACACAAAATAAATTGCATTTGGCATTGATCAGTTCACGACGACAAGGCAGGCAAATAAGTGATTCAGACCTCTGCTGTGAGTATGCCGGAGAGCATCCCGTTGGAATCAGTGAGCAACGCGGCATCCACTCGCTTGAGCGCCATCCTCCGGCACGCCTCCGACACCGAGGTGGCCTCCGGAAGCGTGAGCGCCTTGGCCAACCTCAGCTTCTTCACCGTCCTCTCCGGCGACCTGCGCGCCAAATTAACAAGCACAAAAACGCAAGCTCCAAATGAATCAGCACGGGGCGAAGGTAGGTAGGAGCCAGGAACGCCCTTCCTTGCGGCGGAAGCCATCGCGATCGCGAGGGGAGGGGCGGCGGCGCTTACGGTGCCTGGACGGGCGAGGCGGGCTTGGAGTTGGAGGCCTTCTCATTGGGCTCTGGCTTGGCCGCGGCCGAAGAAGGTGGCGGCGCGCGGCGGAGCGAGGTGGGCTGGTGGCTGCGAGGCTGGGAGGCGGCGGCGGCGGCCATCGCCTCAGGCCTCAGCCGTGTACGGACGCGGCGGCGATCGCCGGAGAAGGTGAGGGGGGAAGCGGAGGCGGAGGAGGCAGGGGATTTGAAATGGTGGAGTCCAAGGCAAGCTGCAGAGGAGGAGGAGGAGGAGGAGGAGGAAAAAGGCTCGTTGCGTGCGGCAGCGGGAGGGGAGGAGGCGACGGTTGGTGGGCCAGGGTAGGTGTGGGGCCGACCTGTCAGTGGCTCCGTGGGACGGTGGGACCCACCTCGACTAGACGGGTAGTGCGCGCCAAGCGGGTCATAGGAGGAGGAACTGGTTGGCACGGACGGTCTACACGTTGTGTCCTTCCGGATCATCTGTGACTATTTTGATTATTACTACTAGTTGGGTTCCAGTAATCTCCTTAATTTCGTTTTTTTGTTCTTTCGAACAGACTCTGAATACATGATATTAGTGTTGTATACTTGTAGTACATTGAGGTCCTCATCGGTAAGCCAAAAGCTTTGGCTAATTAGTTAAAGTTGGCTTCTTCAATTCAACTAAAGAAAATCCGTTGATTGGCTTATTTGACTTAAATGGCTTGATGAGGATTTTTTTTCTCCAACTCCCTTGCAGGCCCTACCTATGTTCGGCTGAAAGCTCTCAGCCCAATAAGCGAGACGATGGACTTTGGCTGTAAAACTTCAACCCAAACAGCCATCCGATGAGACTTTGATAAAGCCATCGCCAGTAGCTTCATTCACAAAAGAGCATGTTGTCTTGATAACTTGATTGCTGATACAATAAAGTTAACAATGAAAGTAGGCTCGGTAACATTCTGCAAAGTAAAACTAGATGGTAGAGAAATCAGTTTGGAAATTATGGATTGAAAACCTTTTATTATTAAAATATAACTTGTACATATTATTCTATTAATAGACTAGGTTGTAGGAAATGAATATGATTATAACTACTTGCTCATGTGGTTAGAGGAATGTATCATGGAATAATATTTTATTTAGGCAATGTTGATTTACATTATTGAACGTATGATTGTTATGGATTATTTACGTGTATATGGATAAATTAAATAATTTAATAAATAAACTTAATAGATAGTTCAAAATAAGTGGTCTAACTAATTAATGCAATAGAAGAATTTAAGAAAAATATTTTTCAATGTGTGTAGCAAATAATCTATTTCAATAATCCAATGAATAAGCTGAAAATAATATGACAAAAAACTTAGTCTACCAAGAGATCTACTAACACAATATATCTCTTAATATACATGGCACGTACTATCGCAAAAGAAAATGGTACAGCGTACATATATATATGTTGTCCCATACTTGTACTACTAAAGTTGGTTAGCAAAATAGTACATAGCATAGTCATATTGCTCATGAGTTAAGTTTCCTCTCTTGATCGAAGACACGTATAGCTAATTGTACAATCGATTGGTAGCTAGTCTGATATACACTGGATAGTTCAAAGGTAAAGGGTATATGGTTTTAACTCTGAGATCATGTGTTTAATCCTCAACATGCTCAAATTTTTTTAAAAAAATTAAAATAAATCTCATTCTTTAGTAACTAACCCCAATGGATACACTCTGTTCTCCAAATCATCCACCAACACAAAAGCACACGCATTACCCACGGTCCACAAAGAATCAAAATGAAGTGGAGAAAGTGGCAACAGAGAGAAGGGAAGTCATGTGTTGAGATGCTGAGGAAGCTATTTTTCTCCACAGAAAACACGCTGACGCTAAGCTGGAAAGCAACTTCGACATATGATTCTGAACTTTTGCAATGTAGCACAATGCATTTGCTTCAAGTCATGTAAAGCCTGAAGAATACATAGGACATTTTAAAAAAAATAAATAAATAAAGTGCTGGTTAAAAAATATAAATTATTCTAGTTAAGCACATGTTGCTGGATTTCTAGAAGAGGGAAGGGAGATGAAGCCTGATTGACCAGACGTGACAAGAAACTGTCATCACCTAAGACCCATTCTGTGGTACTTTGCCTTGAGCATGATTCTCCATCAAATTAATTAATTAAGATGGTAATATATCCGAAACTCAAAAGGCTGTCCTTTTCCAGTTCAGAACCACAACAATTCGAGTATATAAAAGGAGAATTACAGGCTACAGCACATGGTTTCATGTCGGACAAATGCACGACTTAATCTTCGTTGCAGAAAGAAACAGAGAAATGTCCTGATCTCTTTTGAAACGCACGCATGCCTATCGCAAAAAAACAAACAAAGAAAGAAAAGGCTTATATTTTGATTTGTTTGACAATGTCAGTTAATGATATATGAGTGTTGGCGACATAAGTTTTGGTCAGCGTATTGGTTTTTTCAATCGATGACCGAAAATGTTAAAACACAGAACTGTTGCAAACGGAAATCCGGAAATTTGACCTGAGCTACAGGTTTTTGCAAACAACGGCACGTTTGAGTGTACCAAATCCAAAAGGAATGTTGGGCCAGTTCTCTGATTATATATGGGCTGACATTTTGACGGGCTACACTAGCTTGTACTGCACGAAAGCCCATATATTAATCCTGCATAGCAATATTTGCCTATTCGGCATCTGTCTGAGAATCTCTTTCTTAATTATCATCAGGGAATTAGGGCCCTTCACTCCTTCAGGCCCTCTGGATTCATTTCAACGAGAACCTCATGCTCCTTGTCTACCTCCTCTTAATCTGTTTTTCTTCCGGCATTTCATACGTACATTCATTAATTGCTTCTCTTTGGCTTTTGCTCAAGTAAAATATGGTTAAAAATTAATGGATTTACAACAGAAGACAGTTTGTACATCCTAAAGCAATGTACATATAAGGCTTTTATCGCGGGAATTTGAACTTCCAATCAAGTGAAACCGATTATATATCTTCCAATGAAGAAAAGAAATTTTACTTTTAAATGGGAATCGGGAGGTGCTATTTCTTATCAGTCTGTTAAATTTGATCTCCTAAGTATACTTCATTTGTCTTGTTAATAATGACAATATTTTCCCATCATAATTAACCTAGAGCTAGATTTGCTTTGTATACCTACTTCTTAATTAGCCAGCAACATATAGACAAATGCATGGGCATGGAATGTTTTTCTTTGTTTTGTGTGAGGAATTAATAGAGAGAGGGATTTATTACAACCAAGGAAAAAATATATCCAGAGAGAAATCAATAAAGAAATATTTCCATGGATAGAGAAATTTGAGACCTCATCATTCATCGAGACAAACATACGATCGGCTACAATATATCGAGGTTCCTTCTCAAGGAAGATCGATCGAGCCACCGGCCACCATGTGTGTGTCCATGTCCACTATACGTGTACACGTACGTACTCTCGGCGCAATAATTAATTCATTTCTCTCTATCTTTTTTTTCATTTTTTTTTGCTGACATATATAGTTAAGCAATTGTTTTCAGATACTTATTATTAGTGGACACAATTTTCAATTGCGACCTTAATTTTTAATCATGAATTTGTTCAATATTATTATTATTGTACATAAATATTTGTACATACCTAACACTCATTACTTAATTAGTCATAATATATCAGCTAGCCATCTCGGCAAGATCAGGATATATATGAAGGATTATATATATAGAAGGATGGGATTTTATAACCTCCGTTTGATATTATAGATGCATTGTTTTTTTTCTAAGCCAGTTTTTTTTAAATATAGTTAACCATGTTCACAGACAAACTTAGCATGAAATTAGTTTCATTGAATGTGATATGAATTATTTTTTTAAAAAAAAATGTTGATACATTTTTCTAGAAACTTGCTTAAAATTTAGAGAAAGTTTAGTTTTAAAAAATCAAAGCCTCTTATAATATAAAACATAGAGAGAGTAGACGTTAAAATAAATTGAGCCTCAGGATAAAACAGGCCATCACTGTATCATGTCACAATAGTGATTTGCCTGGAATTTAATCTATTTCTCTGAAGGAAGATCCTAATTAAATTAAGAGAAAATCCATAAAATGCCATCAACAAGCACCCTAATCCCAGAAATGCCATCGACAAAGACAACTTTCCAAAAATGCCATTGCACAAGCCACTTTCTCCCAAAAATGCCATCACTGTCAACTCCACACCGTTACAACCGTTATTTTTTTAATAATGACTATTTTGCCCTCAGTGCAAAATATACCTAGTTTTTACTGTCAAAGAAAAAAAATAAAATTTCTAACCCTAACCCTACCACTACCGATCCCGATCCCGATCTAGCGCTCTCCCCGGCGGCGTCTCGGCGACAGCGGCTCGGCGGCGATCCCCTGCTGCGGCGGCGCGGCAAGGGCGTGGCGAGGAGGACCATGGCGGCGACGCGACAGGATGCGGCGAGGAAGACCAGCGCGGCGGCGATGCGGCAAGGGCACGGCGAGGAGGACCGCAGCAAGGACGCGACAGGACACGGCGAGGACCAGGACGGCGGCGGCGCGGCAGGACGCGGCGAGGAGGTTCACGGCGGCGGCGGTCCCCGACGGTGGCTCGATGGCGGTCCTCGACGGTGGCTATGGCTCGGCGGCGGTCCCTTGCTGCGGCGGCGCAGCGAGGAAGACCATGGCGGCGACGCGATAGGACGCGGCGAGGGCGTGGCAGGATGCAGCGAGGAGGACCACGGCGGTGGCGCCGCAGCAGGGCGCGGTGAGGAGGTCCATGGCGGCGGTGGCACGGCAGGGTGCGGTGAGGATGTCCACGGCGGCGCGGCTATTGCAGGATGTGGCGCGGGGGCCGTAGACGCCGGCGAGGAGGGGGAGAAGAGGCCTGCAGCCGCAGTCGCTGAGGTCCGTGAAGGAGGAAGCTGTAGTCCTAGCAGGTGTTGCAACTCTGATGTTGAAATTTTCCCTTTTGTTTGATTTTATTTGAAGACTTTGTTTGATTTGATTTCAGTGGATTTAATTATGAAATAACTTGATTGATAGTAAAATAATGATGTTTGTGAATTTATAAACTAACAGAAATATAATTTATTGTGAGCAAGCAATGCAAAATGATGATGTGTGAGTAAATGGTTGTCTAGGGGTAAGATTGTCTTTTCATGCAACTTAACGGAAAGATGCTAAGGGCAGTTTGACGGTGATGGCATTTTTGGGAGAAAATGGCTTGTGCAATGGCATTTTTGGGAAGTTGACTTTGTCGATGACATTTATGGGATTAGAGTGTTTGTCAATGGCATTTCATGGATTTTCTCTTAAATTAATCTCTAAATTCAGAGGATCGATCGATCTTTAATTAGTTTGTACTGTGAATAGTCCCTTGTTTTTGTTAACCTCTGTATTCACTATTCAGCTTATATCGTTCAGAGACCTGCCAGTACTGTATTTTGAATCTTTTTGGTAGTTAAGGTTGACGCATACGATTACACACACATAAATTAATCATAGTTTGGAAAACTGTAAAGGGGAACACATAAGAAACTAACAGCTAGCTGGTACGTAGTGAAAAACGTATCTTTTTGAATCTCGATGAAATATATCATTTGCATATAGAAGGAGAGATCTAAATCAATAGAGCTATCCATGCATGATATGGATGCATGGACGACAAATTAATTTGCATTGGGACCTCCAGACAAACATGCGATCGATCAGCTACAAGATCGTATTCTCAAGGGAAGACCACCATGTGTCCATGTCCACTATACATACTCAGAGCAATAATTCATTTTGCTCCTCTTTTCTGCATATTTTTTGCTGACATGTATAGTTAATTACGGCATTGTTTTCAGATGCTTTATTATTAGTGGACACAATTTGTGTTGCGACCTTAATTAATTCCTAAATCGTGAATCTTGATCTCAATAGCATTCGTATTGCATACGTACGTATATATGTACCTAATACTCATATATATTATTACTTAATTAGTCATAAACAATTTGTGTTGTGACCTTAATTAATTAATTCCTAAATCATGAATCTTGATCTCAATAGCATTAGTATTGCATACGTACGTATGTACCTAACACTCATATATATTATTACTCAAGTAGTCATAAGATAGCAATCATTTCGGCTAGACCTGGACATATATGGATTATATGTAGGGAAAGATGGAATACATAATACTCCCTCAATTAAAAATATAAGTCTATTTTATTTCGTTAAGAGAAGGTTTTGATGACCAACATTATCCATTAGGATATTATTTTTTATACAAATAATCATGATTAAGTAAGTGTGTTTCAATACAAATTTAATATATTTCAGTTTTATATAAGAAAAGTATTACATACGTCCCAAAATGTATCTAACTAGTGGACGATTAGACATCTCTTACCTATTACTGTAAATCTGGATAATTAGTGTCCAATCATGTACTAGGTAGCTATATTTTAGTACGAAGATAGAATATCCAAATAGAGTATTTATTGGTCAAAGTTTATCTTAATGAAACAAATATGTTCGATACATATATTTTGAAACACGATGGAGTTAAACAAATCGAATCCCACGATAAAACAGTCCGTGCATATATGCTGCCACAATATATAGTGATTTGTCTCGTATTTTTAATCCACTTCTCTCAAGGAGGACCCTAATTAATCTCTAAATTCAGAGGAAATGATCTTTAGTTAATTTGCTCGATCTATGCATAATTCACCCCTTCCTGTTTTTGTTAACCTCTGAATTCGAAGTTCAGAGATCTGCCAAAGTGCCAATATATAGTGTATTCTTAACCATTTTGGTAGTTAAGGTTGAATACGATTACATACAGATAAATCAAGATCAGCAAACTGAAATAAAAAAAATCAAATGAACGCACAAGAAAATATTAAGGGGTAACCAGTAAGAAACATATCTTGAATTAATCTCAATATATGTCTCTTAAGATTTAAGAAACATATCTTGAACCTCAATGCATTCGCGAAAAAATATCTTGAATCTCAATGAAATAATCATTTGTATGTCGCCACGCAATTTTAATCTTTACCATTTCTCATTAAACAATCAATTGACATATCCATATACATGCCTCTAATTGTATAAACAGTACTCAACTCAATTTGATTCTCAGACAAATTAACGATGTGATGATTATTTAACAAAGGCAAAGCATGATCGATCTGTGTAGCTCACCCTAGCTAGTGCCTGTCAAGCCTGGACATGCCGATCATGGAGGCCACCACCGGCGAGTAGTAGTACGTCGTCGTCGTCGTCCTTGATGCGGCCGCCGGCGAAGACGTCGGCGTCGTCGGCCGGTGGGAAGCCATGCCGGACAACCGCACCGCCGCGAGGATCGCCGCGCCGAGCTCCACCGCCACGCGGAAGACTTCCTGCAGCCTGCAGATGCTCCTCCTCAGGACCACCTGCATCACGATCTGGACCACTGCGCAGTCCATGGACGCCGCCGCCGCCCCCGCCGCCGGCCGGCCGGCGGCCAGCCGTCGTCTCGAACACCGGTAGCTAGCTAGCTAGGCTAGCTGATCTGAGCCTGGATCTACAGCTAGCTAGCTAGCAGGGGAAAAAATTGCCCTTTGGGTTACTTCAATTCAAGCTCTCTCTCTCTCTTGTTTGGAAGGGTAGCTAGCTTAGCTTCTTGCCAAGCGATGGCAGAAGGTGAGGTTGGATTTGTCATCTAACCATCCAATAATAATAATGCAATAATAATTCAATAATAACTTGGCTGATAGCAACAGGCGGTTACAAACAGGAACTGATATAATGTGATTTGGACGTGTCTTATATTATCGATACGATGCAATTTTTTGGATGACTAAGGATATATACAAATATGAATGATATTTTTCAAGTTGTAGCAATGGGGTAGTTTGAAATAAAAAGGATACATTGAGCTAGTTGGGACCTCATGAGATGCATGAAATCACGACAAACCGAAAAAGAAACAGCTAAGCATTATACATCAGCTGACAAGTAGCTATAGCAGCGCTGTAGAAAATTGCATACACCAAATAAAAGGACGGCTATGAATACATGCTGCACAGGAGGTAGCTTTAATCGACGGTCACCGGTGGCAGTGTGAATTGGACATTTGGGACACATGATGAGCTCATACCCATGTGGTTGTACCCCGGCTGTACTGTATCTTTCTTTTTCTGTAGACTACTGGTAGTAAATTAGTAATTTGTTAAGCAAAGTTGCTGAATTTGTAACGATTTAGGTATGACCTGTACTAAAAGAATGATTTCTCAATCTTTTTTCTCACAAGTACTGATAAGAATATGCTTATCAGTACTTAAAAACATCACCAGATAATTTGTACTATATTCTTCGCATATACGATCCCTATATAAACATTTTTATAATTCAAATTTTATACGCGATACTGGTTCTGATATACGGGAATTCAAACATTTCAGTCAATTAGGTTCTTAATTAGGAGGAAAACCCAAGCAATTTAAAATTTGGCAAATAAGATTTTGTTGAAAAAATTCTACGGGAATCCTTCTTTTCCTTCACTTTTTTGGTGGATTTTTAGCATGATCTCAAATCTCATGCATGGTTTAAATTCCTTTAAGAAATCGGAGGCACCATGTCTTTATCTATCTGCTCAATTAGTCTAATGATATTTCTCCTCTAAAATTCGTACGAGTTTCCCGCGGAGTATCTAAACAAAATTCAATAAAATATGTTTTAAATATTTATGTAGAATAATTTTATGTCTCTTTAATTTGTCGCTAAACGGGAACCACGCGTGATGAACTTACTATAGCTTATCATGTGACGATCATTGGCAAAATATATATGGTCGGAAGTTCATCGACGGCGTGTCGGCGAGAATTAAGCAGACAGACATTGGCTTTAGGCTTTGTTTAGTTGAAAAAAATAATTAACCAGCATGTCACATCGGAAATACGGATACATATTTAAAGTATAAAATATAATCTAATAATAAAATAAATTACAGATTCTGTTAGAAAACTGCGAGATGAATTTATTAAGCTTAATTAATCCATAATTAGTAATGTTTACTGTAAGAGCAAGTTCGATAGTATAGCCAACTATTAGCTCCAATTCATCTATAGCTAATCTAATAGCTCATTCATACAATAGTTACATATTACACTATTAATATTTAGTCCCACCTGTCATACACACACTGAGTCTGTGCTACAGCTGGCTACAATCTGTAGCCCGCTGTCCTTCTCTCTCATCATTTATTTCCTTAAAATATGTTTATAGCTGGCTTATATGTTTCATGGCGAACTATGTAATTAATTTGTTTTCTATATTTAATACTACAATGTTTCAAACATTCAAGGTGAAAGCGTGCAAATTTTTGTTTTGGACTAGACATGCCGTTAATTAGCGTATGCATGCACACAGTACCTGGTGGGGCCCAGCAGCAGTGGATGAGGACAGCCATGTGCTCATCCCGCGTTCCTCGCGCGGTGGCACGCATCTCGAGGCCCCGCTCCGCCCGGACTAACCAACGACCAACAACGAACCAACGAATCAGCGATCAAGGGGGTGTCGACATACATGGCGCCATCACGATCCATCGATCGACGATTTTTTTTCTTTTTTTTTTAATAACCATCGACGATCGAATTGATCATCATATATATCGATCGTCGTTTGCCGGAAGTCGTCGTACCGTTATATTCGATCGATATATAGACGACACGACATGCCGGGTCCATCAGTGCACACACATCTGGCTGCATTCTTTAATTTGCTTGCTCAACTTTGTTTATTTCGATTAATTTGCTACTACTAATTAAGTAGCTATAGATCGACAGATGCATTGCATCGATTGGTGACAATAACACAGAGCAGCTCGATCGAATATAATCGTCGTTAGTTTAATAAATCTTGTGAGACAAAATGAAGGTATATATCCTCTCATCATCTCAGTGATCACCAGCCAGTTAGTGGCAGACCTATGCTTTAGCTCCATGGCTGCAGATAGATACAGTATATGATACTCCAAATCACCGGTAGGCAATGGATGAACAGTAAATATACTGCTGCTGTTTTTATATAGGTAGATCTGTATAGCTTAGGGTCAGCTAGCCGCCATGTGAAATTATTCCCTTCATCATTGTACGTGCACTACCTTCGATCGATCGATAGATATGATATTCCATTCATCATGTGTGTGCATGCCTATATATTTCAATATATGCATACGTCCATCTCAGTACCATGACCAAGTAGCTCAATCGGTTAATTAATCTCTGCTACTTATAATTATAATTAATTGATTATTAGTCACAATCCAGTTATATCAAGCTAGCTTAATTACCGGTACCAGGCCAGTATAATATATGGCATCCGACCATGAAAACCACACGAAGAAAGGAGGCTGGATCACTACTATTCCGTTTCTCGCAGGTCTATATACCATCTCCCATGCACTTGCATTAATTTCATTTTGAGTAATTAGCTAGTTATTATAGCTACACATTAGAGTATACACATGCACTACATGGCTTGACACGTTAATTAAGTTTCGTCGTACAAAAATTTGTGCTTTTGTAGGTGTTTTAATAAAATGTTACTACGACTTAATGTATGTGTGCAGGAAGCGTGGTAGGGTTGGGGATGGCGATGAGCGCGACGAGCAGCAACCTCATCGTGTACCTGGTGCACAAGTACAACGTGAAGGCCATCCACGCCGCCCAGATCTCCAACGTCGTCCGCGGCTGCATGCAGCTCGCCCCCGTCCTCGCCGCCGCCCTCTCCGACGCCTTCTTCGGCCCCTATCCCATCGCCGTCGCCGGCCTCGTCTTCTCCCTCCTTGTAAGCATGCAACCTCATCGTTTTTTTATACTCCCTCCGTTTCAAAATGTTTGACGCCGTTGACTTTTTAAAACATGTTTGACCGTTCGTTTTATTCAAAAAATTTAAGTAATTATTAATTTTTTTTCCTATCATTTGATTCATTATTAAATATATTTTTATGTAGCATATAATTTTATATATTTCACAAAAGTTTTTGAATAAGACGAACGGTCAAACATGTGCTAAAAAGTCAACGGTGTCAAACGTTTCGAAACGGAGGGAGTATATGTAATCATCGTCGACACCAAATAATTAAGGATTTACTCCCTCCGTCTCATAATATAAGTGATTTTAACTTTTACTTGCACTGTTTGACCACTTGTTTTATTAAAAAATTTATGCAAATATAAAAAAGAAAAGTTGTGCTTAAAGTACTTTAGATAATAAAGTAAGTCACAAATAAAATAAATAATAATTCTAGAATTTTTTGAATAAGACGAATGGTCAAACAGCGTAAGCAAAAAGTCAAAATCCATTATATTATGAGACGGATGGAGTAAATAGTTAACCTGCGTGTGGTTCGTGGGTTAATAATAACCAATTATAACATACTAAGTACATATATCAATTTTTTTAGTGCCATCCTTAATTTATTCTTCACGGGCGGTCCAAAATAATATCGTAGTGAGAATGTTTGAGGCTGTCTCAAATCATATACCATTAAACCACTAGTGAAAAACTGAAAACCTACATTTACACGTTCTATTGTGTCTCGTCATCAATAAAACTAATATCGCAACGTAAATGTTTGAGGTTGTCTCAAATCATAAACCATTATATCACCAGCGAAAACCTATCTTCTGTGTTCTATTATGTCTTGTCATCAATAGTACTAAGGGGCTAGGCGGTTAACCTGCGCGTAAATATCACTGCAAAAATGTTTGAGCTGTCCCAGATCGTAAACCACCTTTGAAAACGAGTAAATCCACCTGAGAAAATATGTCTGTGGAATCAATAATGTCGTGATGCAAAAATGCGCATGCAGTCATTTGTACTGTTCACGTTGACGGCCGCGCTCCCGTCGCTACTCCCGCCGCCGTGCCAGCGTGGCGCCGGCGGCGGGGGCGCCACCGCGACGTCGTGCGAACCGCCGAACGCCGCGCAATCCGCCGTCCTCTACGCGGCGCTGTGCCTCCTGGCCGCGGGCAACGGCGGCACGCGGTACAACATGGCGGCGCTGGGCGCCGACCAGTTCGCCGGCGAGGGGCAGCCGCGGCGGCGGCGGCAGGGCGGCGGGTTCTTCAGTTGCTACTTCGCGTTCCTGTACGCCTCCTACGCGACCGGCGACACGGTCCTCGTCTACGTGCAGGACGGCGTCAGCTGGGCCCTCGGCTTCGGCGTCTGCGTCGCCACCACCGGGCTCGCCCTCGCCGCGCTGCTCCTCGGCTCCCGCCATTACCGCCGGCCCGTCCCCAAGGGCAGTCCGTTCACGGCCATGGCCAGGGTCGCCGTCGCCGCGGCGAGGAAAGCAACGGTGGATTTGGGTTCACGAGTCCAATATTACCATGGATGCAATCGTGACGACGCAGTGCCACGAGCTGACCAAGCTCCAAGTGACAGATTCAGGTATGCAAATAATCAAATTCAGATTGTTCAAAAACGTATGTACATGAACGAATTTTGAAGAAATTTGTTAGGTTTTTGAACCGAGCGGCCATGGTGGTGGCGGGGGAGACGAGGGAGGAGGACGGGTCGGTGGCGAAGCCGTGGCGGCTGTGCACAGTGCAGCAGGTGGAGGACGTGAAGTCGGTGGTGCGCGTGCTGCCGCTCTGGTCGTCGGGGATCCTCGTCAGCGTGACGGTGAACGCGCAGGTGAGCCTCACCGTCCTCCAGGCGCTCACCATGGACCGCGCCGTCGGCCCGCGCTTCGCCGTCCCGGCGGCCTCCATCACGGTCACCGTGCTCGCCGCCTTCGTCCTCGCCGCCGCGCTCTTCGACCGCGTCGCCGCGCCGCTCTGCGCCGCCGCCGGCAAGCTCGCGATCACCCCGCTACGCCGCGTCGGGCTCGGCCACGCCCTCAACGTCGCCAGCATGGCGGTCGCGGCCCTCGTCGAGCGGAGGCGGATCGGCGCCGCGCGCGGCCGCGCCGCGGCGGCGGCGGCGGTCGTGCCGATGTCGGTGCTGTGGCTGGTGCCGCAGCTGGCGCTGACCGGCGCGGAGGAGGCGCTGCACCTGCCGGGGAACACGGCGCTGTTCTACGGCGAGCTGCCGGCGTCGCTGCGCGGCACGGCGACGGCGATGCCGCCGCTGTTCATCGCGGCGGGGTCGTACCTGAGCGCGGCGGCGGTGGACGCGGTGAAGAGGGGCACGACGTGGCTGCCCGACGACCTGAACGCGTCGCGGCTGGACTGCGTGTACTGGACGCTCGCCGTGCTCGCCGCCGTCAACTTGGGCTACTTCCTTTTGTGCGCCACCACGTACAAGTACAACAATTACGGTGGTGACGATGGCAATGTGAAGGCCCAGACACAGACTGACGACGTTTCATGACTGACTGTTTGACTTATCTTTAGTCAAGGTGTTTTGCGAGATATATATACCTTAATCTGTACATATATGAATTGTGTGCGATAGCACGGCAATGATGAACTGGATATGAATTGAAGCTCAATTGTTATTTGAATTGAATCTGATCTGATAGCACAATACAAATAAAGCACTCTTCAAAATCAAAAAACAAAAAGAAAGAAATACTTACAGTCCATGACATGTAATGGGCCTGAATGTAAGAAATACTTACAGTCCATAAGATGTAATGGGCCTGGATGTAAGAAATACTTAGTCCATAGCATGTAATGGGCCTAATTTAGGCCCAGTAATAGATTGTACCTTTGGGCCGAACCTAGTGCGGGTTCCACTACCCACTCGTCTTTCGTGCTTCCCAAGACGAGTCCGAATCCACAAAGCCAAACCCGAGCGCTCCTCCTCCTCGCAACCCCGATTCACAAAGCCAAGCCCGACACAAACACCAAGCCACCGCCGCCTCCGCCTCCGCCGCCGAGAGAGAGAGAGGACCAGCCAGCGATTCGCCGCCGTCATCTCCAGCTTCTGCGGGAGCAACACCGCCAGCGCGCTCTCCCCTCCCCGCCACGCCTCGCCCATTGGGATTCGCCGCCCTCACCGCGAGCTCCCACGTCGAGGTCACACCTAGGGTTCCATCGCCGCCGCCGCTGCCGCCAGCGAAGGAAGAGGAGGATACAGCGAGATGGTATGCTGATAATGGATTTTCTTTTTTCGGATTTGTTTTTTGCTAGTGTTTTGTTCTTGTTAATCCTTCCCCTTTTAGAACTTAGCCCCAATGTCGCCGTGCTTCTAATTTACCCTTTTTTGAAACTCCTAATTTGTCAGGCTGCTAGGCTTCTCGCGAATCTCCTCGTCATCGGCGGCACCGTGCTGGGCAGGGCCGCGGTCCAGGCGTATCGCCAAGCCATCGTCAGTGAGTATCCCATCTCTTCCTCTCATGAGCTGTTCTTACTCAATCTCAATCTTGCTGCTGGTACCCCTTAACATGCTGTTTTACAAATCGTGATTGATGGCCACAGTAATAGTTGTTGTTAATTGGATTCGTTGTGACCTACTCATTGTTGTGCAGCGCAAATGGTATTTTGAGTACTCTGAACATACGCGGCATGTTGCACTGTTCCTTGTGGTTTCTTTGTTAGCACGGTTTGGATGCTAGTATGGTGGTGCTGGGCACTATTAAACACGATTTTTTTGCCAGTCAAATTGAGGATACCAAAAAATAACTTACTGTCAAATTAATGGACAAGAAATAAGCACCTAACTTGATCCTGACCTGTGTTATTTTTCTTGTTGGCATCTGTAACAAGCATGTGCTATTTCCAGTCTGTTAGTTTCTTTCATATATTTATCACTAACTGCTTGTACTACAAATATGTGTTATGTTGTGTATTGATTATTGAAGTCATCTGATGATTTAAATAACCATTTGATAAAATCAAAATGATGCCTTCAACTTGATTCAGCTTTTGCATCATGGTTCTTTAGTAGTTCAGTTCACATCCTTGTTATGCCTATGTGGATCATACAACAATTTTAGGCTGTGCTTTTAACCTGTAACTTTTGATGATTCTCGATCATGACTGAGTTAATGGGATATTGCATATACTGTTCCAAATAGTTTGCTTGAAGATTAGCAGACTGTTGATTGCATATGATTGTGAACTGTCTGATAATTTTCCAGTACAGATATTGTTGAACATAGCTTTTTCCTGCCATAACCTTCTACCAATATTCATGCTAAAACATCTAATTCTTTTATTATTATCTAAAGCGACATCTGTGAATTTGTGACTGCATTGCTAAATGTTCCATGGCACACATTTTTTTCTGAAAGGCAATCAATGATTTTGCGGTCCATTCTAAATGTTGCTCAACATAGCTTAAGTAGCCTACTTTATATGCTTCCAATTTATATGGAAGCATTTGCTTCCTTTGCATCTCTTTTGACTATACCATCCATGCCACGCATTCCCTAATGAAATTAATAATAAATTCTACCTTTGTCCTGTAGATGCAAACAAAACTGGAGCTGCCCAGGAAGCTATAAATGGTATTCGAAGGGCCAGCAAGGCCATGACTGAGCAAGAAGCCCGGCAAATACTAGGTATCAGCGAAAAGTCGACTTGGGAAGAGATCGTCCAGGTTTGTGACAATGTGCTTTCATTAACTTGATACATTCCAGCAAATCAATTTTCTACCAATTAAGACTGTTAAAAGCACATGGCAGTCATTTGCTCTAGCCAGAAACTAGCATTGAATTTCTGTCTTGTTGAAATACTTTGCAGAAATACGATACTATGTTTGAGAGGAATGCTAAGAATGGGAGCTTCTATCTCCAGTCGAAAGTTCATCGGGCTAAAGAATGTCTAGAAGCTGTATATCAAAAGCCCGACGTACCTAGCTGAGGTCGAGTAGCTTGCATTTGAAGCGTTTGAGATCTATCTAATTGATCAACCTGCCAGTGTGGCTGAAGATCGCGATTATTGTTAATTGGTTGTAACGGGATGTCACTTAACTTGGCAATAAGTACTGTTCGACAAAAAAAAGAACACAAGTTCCACCGATTTCCATCCGCTGTACCTTTTGTGGTTCTCTTAGGTTGGAATATATAATGGATGAATCATGACTGCGTTTCATGATGTAATGGTCTTATGGCCACTTGTAATTGTTTGATCCAGCAGCTATCTGCGCTCATGCTTGCTTCGTCCATGCCACATACTACTACTGATGCCCCCAACCACTTCAGCGTGTCATTATTATTATTATTATTATTATTTTCTTTTTGGTATTTTTAAGCAAAGGCTAATTGCTGCCATCGTCAGCAGCCTAACAAGCAGACTTGCATCCACGAATACGTGAATACTGAGACTTGAATTTTTCAGATTTCGAGCTTCTGTTTGGGGTTTGAAACTCACTGAAAACTCAAGTTCCAAACTGTAACATTAGTACTCCCTCCGTCCCAAATTATAGGGCATCCTTTTTTTTAAAGGAAAATCAAACTCGGTAACTTTTGACTAATAATCATACTAACTATATTATGCATGTTATATCACTAAATTCATATTTTAAAGTACTCTCATGTAATGCTAATAATTTCATATTTGTTGGGATCATAGAATGGAATACAATACTGGACAAAGTATGTTATTTAAAACCGTGTAAAAAAATATAGGCATTAGGGACAGAGGGATTATATTTCATGGAAAAAATATATTATAATAACCTTTTTAAAACCACCAAATTAAAGTGCCAAAGATTGATTGGGCCAAAAATTATACAGGCTCCTCGGCCCGGCCCAAGCCGAGGCGTCTCCTTCCCCTTCTCCGACTCGCACATCGCCACGTCCAACTTTTTAGGTTTCCCCTCCCCTCGCGAGTCGCGATCCTCTCGGTCCTGACACGCAAGCGTCTCCGCCAATTCCTCGCCTTTTAGGCCTCGATTCGATTTGCGTCGGGAGCTTGACGACGGACAGCAATCGCAATGGCGGCAGGGAGCAAGAAGAATCCAGAACCTTCCTCTTCTTCTTCTTCAGGCGATCTCGGCGGCAAGACCGTACAAGAGCTCCTCGACATGGACAAGGATGCCGTCTCTGAGCTAGTGTCCGACCACTTCCATCAGCTGTACTCTCTCCAGAACCATCTTGATGTTGATGATGATGATGATGACCATTGGTCTGAACACAATGAGCAAGAGGATCGATCTCAGTTGCAGGAGCGGCTAGCCTTCTACCGCATCATAGGTTATCAGGTAGTGTGTGTATCTAACTATCCCTTACTCTTAATCATCATTATATGTAGATATGATGAGCCAAATCCTGTGTATGTGTTTTTTGTTCGATGCATCTTCTCTTCTTTGTGTTAAAATTACTCTATGATGATCTGTCTTCTGTTGCAGTTATCAATGGGTGGCAAGATTGACGAACTGGACATTGCAAAACTGAAGGAGAAGTACTCTCCTGAAATGCTTTATAACAAGGGGTATTTCCAGTACTATGAGGATAGTCTTGAATGGTACTTCGATCCTGAAAGATGCATGTTGACTAGCCTTGATGACTACCAGAGGCTAGTGCTTTGTGATAATGTAGGTATCGTCGTGTCAAAATTTTGATTCCTCCATGACAACTACAGAAATTAATGCTTGCTTATTTCTGTCAGTTCTTGGTACAACCAACTGTGTTGCTATAATGGACGATGCCATAGTAGATGGCCGCTTGTGCAATTAATGGACCATGTATTATTCTTTGTGTAGGGTTTGTACATGGACTGGGATCAATACCACTCAAATTATAGTACCTACGAGAGTGATCTAGCATATGTCAAATTCTGTGAAGAGCTAGCAAATGAGACTAAGGTATGACTGACTCAAGGTGAAAATACTGGCCATATGCCATCTAATCATCCTTGTCTGATGTCATTTATTCACATGGCAGTGGTTTGAAGATTATTTGGTACTCATTGCTGTTAAGGATAAGGTAACCATTGGTCAGGTAACCATCCCAAAAGCCATTTGTGCCTAATAAACTGTTGTGCAATGTATATTTATGTTATAATGCGTCAATTGATGGCAACTGTTTCCATTGTTTAGTGGGACAAAGTTAAAAATATAGTTTACCTTCAAGCACTGAAGATCGCACTACGCATTCGTGTTGTTTCTCTAATGCAAATTATGGCTGGTTTCCAGGTAATGCCTCCTGTTAATTTTAATTGGCAAGCATAAGTGGTGATGGTATTTAACAATAGTACTATCTTCTAATTTAGGAATATATATGGAGCATGCGGTTTGATTGTTGTAACTACAGGGATTTTGATGGTGTGTATTTTGAGGTTTGGAAGCGGGTTGCTAAGCAAAAGGTTAGATTACTTCAATGTGCACAACCATGCAACTTATGGTGCTTCTTTTTCTGTCCGTCATTTGCTTTATATTCTTACTTAGTGACGTATAATTATGCTATTTCATCTTCTATCAGATGGAATTCACTGATGCTCTGTCGGAACTCTATAGAGAAGATATGTTTCCCTTGCGCAATGTTGATATTAAGGATGAGCTTGACAACATTCGAGTGAGAGCGGGATTCCATTCGATGAAGGAAAATGTAGGTTCCTCTTCTCAGTTTTGTTACATCAGGATGATTTTGAACTCGTCAAATCATTTCGTCAATCCATCCATCCTTATCACAATTTTGTTTCTCTGTTGTCCAGTACGACATCTACGTGGCTTGCATTGACGAAACGGTAAGCCTGCATTTGCATGAGATTCATCCCTCAACTGGAATATGTTCTTCACATAAATCACACTGATGGAACATCTATGTGTAGGTGCCAGAAAATGAAGCTCGTCAATTGATCAAAGAGGCCGTCATAAAAATGGTTAGTGGATTTATTTCCCTATCAAGCAAACCTATCCTGGGTAGTAGTTGATAATTTTCCTAATTGATTATGGTGTTGAGTGCCTTCTCCGAATCGGTCCTATTTTGCTAATTCTGAGGCGAACTTTATCTTCAGAATCGAAAACCAGAGACTTATTTGGATTACGCCAGGAACAAGTTGCAAATCGCACAAGATATCGGTTTGATCACCAAAAGTACGCATACACTTCTCAACAGTGGGACATGATTTATATACATCTTTATAATGGGGACAAATCTGTGGATTCTAATTTTTCTTGTATTATTTACTTGTAGGTACACAGGACTAGAGCCAAGATCCTAGAGGTCACTGCACAAAACAGGGGAGACAATAGTGAAGCAAAGCTTGCCATGGACAACTAAGCAAAAGGTGGCCGAAAGTGCAATTCTTTTGCTGTGTTCGCGAAAAAAAAGATGGCCGAAAAACTATTTTCTTTAGTACTAAGAAGAAAAAGGATATTGATGCTACGGTTTATTATCTGTAGTTTTATCCATTGTTACACTCTGCAACTATATTACATCCCGATGTAAATTGAAATTTATGCATTGGCCATATGTCACTGGAAATCTGGAATGCTAAGAATGGGACTATGGGAGCTGTATTAGCTGAGGTCTCGGTAGATTAGCTTGCATTTTAAGATCTGGGGTACCAAATTGATCAATCTGCCGGTGTGTTATAAATTAATTGGTTATATGCCGGGACGTGGTTCACTTAGCACTTGACACGATACACATCGTGGTGCTTAATTCCTGCCTTTGACATGGAGAATCAGGTGCAAATGTAGTGTGATCCAATGTATCCACCAATTGAACAGTAATTATAATTTCAGGGCTTCTTCACGATGTAGGATAGGAAAAACGTAAGAACAGAAAAGGCATAAAAATATGATAGGAATATATGTGTAAACCAATATATTCCTCGTGCACAGGATTTTTACAACAAAAAAACTTTAGAGTGGATTCCTTTTTTCATGTGAAAACATGGGCAAGGAATAGTGTTCCTCTGGAATTGAAGGTAGCCAATTCTTCGAAATGAATGCATCTGCAGTACCTAATTCAAAGAAATCATCAATCCTCTATTTTTCGTACACATTTCCTCCATTCTGAACGAGCCCTGATCACTAGGGGTGCTCCTGGCGTGGTGGTTTCCTGCATGAGATGCAATCATTTAACTACACATCACGATCCAGCAGTTATGGTCACCAAGCGAAACGACATATCTACGAGCTAAAAATAAATTATGAATAAAACACACACATATATATATATATATATATTAATAATTTAAAAGTAAAGGCTGAAAAATAATTTTGGACGAAAGAACAATATAATCAACTCAAATTTAAGGGGGAGGAAAGATGAGGCCGCAATAGTTAGTTGTAGATGATTTTTGTTCGCCTTCAGTCATATAAGCGCCCGTGGCCTAATGGATAAGGCGTCTGACTTCTAATCAGGCGATTGTGGGTTCGAGTCCCACCGGGCGTGTTTTTTATTTCTTTTTTTTTTAAATCGAGGGCGTGTATTTTTTGTGGGTTTGAATGTTTTTTATTTCTTTTTTTTTAAATCGAGGTGTTTTTTATTTCTTTTTTTTTCAAATCGAGGGCGTGTATTTTTTGTGGGTTTGATACTAATATTCTCTACTTTTTTTTTGTGCTCCCGAAACATCATCATTACTTAGTAGTACCATCTAGCAAAAAAAGAGAATGTAATTAAAGATGACGGTAGGGGCGGGTTGAGTGTACCACAAAAAAAGCGAATTTCTTGAACTACTTTTTTCGGGTAAGAAGATTAATACGATGACACGACGAGTGTGTCGTCTTTGCCATCATCTTGCGACGTGCGGCGTCGTCTAATATGTCATCATCGCTCTCGTGATGGTTGCTTTCACGCAATGTTCACCTAGGAGTATCTCAATCAAACTAATTTAGCAACATCTAAAATATTAAATTAATTTTATTAATCTAAAATTGAAAATATTTGTTTTGTATTAAATTACAATTACATTTTTACATGAATTTAATTAAAATTAAAGATGTTTAACTAACAAAAATATAGATTTATAAACAAGGGAGTACTCCCTCCGAAAAAAAAAACTAGGTTTTCGTGTCCAACGTTTGACTGTCCATCTTATATGAAAATTTTTTATAATTAATATTTTCATTGTTGTTAGATGATAAAACATGATTAATACTTTATACATTACTTATCTTGTTAATTTTTTTAAATATAACGGACGGTTAGAAACCTAGGGTTTATGGGACGGAGGGAGGAGTACCACATAAGCAGCCTTGTTCGTTGACCATTCGCTAATCCAGCTCCTCTCTCTCTCTCCAGTTCAGACTCCAGCCCTCGTGGGTTCCTTCCACCACTTAATTTTCAGAATATAACACCCAATACGCACTACTTCTAGGATTTATCACCCAATTCGCACTGCTTTCAGAATACACCACTGGAATGCGAATTTTCTTCTTTCCGTAACACTCCGTCCCCTAGCGTCAGTCGGCCTGTCGTCCTCCGTCCTCCCGGTGCCGTTCGTCGTCAGTTCGCCGCCGCTCGCGCCCGCGTCAGCCCCGCCATCACCGGTCCATCGCCGCCCGCGTCAGCCCCGTCGTCGCCGGTCCGTCGCCGCCCGCGTCAGCCCGCCGTCGTCGCCCGCGTCAGCCCCGCCGTCGCTCGTCCGTCGCCACCATCGGCGCACGCGGTGGAGGGCCGGCGGAGAGGGGAGCAGCGGTGGAGGGCGGAGGGCGTCGAGCTCCAGCGGCGGAGGTTGGACCGGCGCCGGCTCGGGGCGCGGTGGCGGCAGCCCGGTGCGGCGGCGGCTGAGCTCGGGGACGAGCTCGCTGGCGTGGGGAAGGACGAGCTCGCCGGCGTGGGGGAGGACGAGCTCGCCGGTGGGGGGAGTACGAGCTCGCCGGTGGGGGAGGACGAGCTCGCCGGCGTGGGGGAGGACGAGCTCGCCGGCGTGGGAGAGGATGAGCTCGCCGGCGGCCAGATTTGTGCGGGCAAACGGCGCGAGATGGATGAACTGACGACGGGCGTCGTTGGGAGGACGGAGTGTTACGGAACGAAGAAAATTCGCACTCTAGTGGTGTATTCTGAAAGTAGTGCGAATTGGGTGATAAATCCTGAAAGTAGTGCGTATTGGGTGTTATATTCTGAAAATTCTCCCACCACTTAATTTTCACACCACTTAATTTTCACACCACTTAATTCGAGTGTCCCCCATGTAGTACAGTAGTATCTTTTCCTTGCTCTTCCTTCTGCTTGGCTGTGGTGGTGGCTGTGGTGGTGGGCAAAGCAAGGGCAAAGGGCAAAGGGCAAAGCAAGCTTAATTCGAGTGTCCCCCAACGTACGTATTGGGTGTTATATTCTGAAAATTCTCCTTCCACTGCCACCGCACAAGCAAGGGCAAAGCTTAGCTTAGCTTCGCTGGTAGTGGTGGTGGCTGTGCCGTCCAGCCGCTGCCATCTTCCTCACCAGCAGCAGCTAGCAGCGGCGCCCTTCTCCGGCCTCTCCGTGCTTTGCTGTTCTTTGCTTTGGTTCGGGGATCCGATTTCCATTCCATCCATCTCTTGCTCCCGCGGGTCTCGTCTCTGTCTGTGTTTCCCTGGTAAGTGCTAACATATGCGTCTTTCCCTTTCTTCGGGATTCCTTGTTTCTGTTCCTTAATTATTTAGGAATTATTTTCTGCTCTGTTCTGCGCCAATTCAATTTGGGCCTATGTAAATCATGCTTTTAGAGCTCGTAACTGGACGAGTAATACTACTAGCTGAATGATTTCAACATGAATTTTATATATAGTTTCATTCCATCTGTGTTCCAACATGTCTCGCCGCGCCTTATCGATTTCTACCCATCATAATTGTTGTTAAATTAGGGTTAAGCAGCTTATAAATTTATTACAACGTTTGCTTATGTACAAGTGCCTCTCCTGTCCCCCTTTTGATTTGGCCTTTAATTTGTAGCGCACCATATTTCAAGTGGTCAATCCAGAACGGTTCTCTCTCTCGAATCGATTTTTCTCTCTGTTTCCATCCAAATTACTACTAAATGTCTGCAAATTTAGCTGAAAAATGTACTCCTAGTTTCTTCTGACATCGATAATTACTTGTGGATATGCTTGCAGATCATTCATTACTGGTCATGTGGGGCGATCGGACTCATCACAAGCACTGGAATCAAGCTCATGTTCCCTCTGGAACTTCTAAGGACAAATTCCAGGCCAAAGGGCAACCGAAGTTTATTCCTGACAATTACAGTTCAGTGGATGAGGTGACCAACTTACCAGCAAATCTTTTAATTAGTATTCTTGTGTTCATGTCTCAAGTCTAAACAAATTAATCTGCTACCTTTGATCTCTCCTTTAGATATAAGTTTATTCTCCAAAATTTCTTACCAATATTTTTCAAGCTCGAATATTCTTCACTACAGGAAAATGATGCCTGCAGCATCTGCTTGTACGTAACCTGTTACCTGTTTTGATTTTGAAGGTTACTGCTGCGTTGAGAGACGCTGGTCTTGAGTCATCAAATCTGATTCTTGGTATTGACTTCACCAAAAGCAATGAATGGTCAGGTGATGCTACTTCTGTATTGATGTTACATACATTGGCTGTTTCCTTTAAGCCTTGCTATCAATTTTACTCGAGGATCCGTTTTGGTTTAAACAAACATTTTTTTCCCTGCTGAATTTCTGTAGGCAGATATTCCTTTGGAAGAAAATCTCTGCATGCCATTAGTGCCACCCCTAATCCATATGAGCAAGCAATTTCTATAATTGGGCGAACACTGTCTCCTTTTGATGATGACAACTTGATACCATGTTTTGGATTTGGTGATGGTAAGTTATATCTGGATTTCCTCTTTTCCCCTTACAAATTTGTTTTCACTAGTATACTTCCTGTATGAACTGCTACTATCTAATTCATTATGTAGCTTCTACGCATGATCAGTCCGTCTTCAGCTTCTACCAAGACAGTCGTTCTTGCTGTGGTTTTGAAGAGGTTCTTGAAAGATATAGGCAAATTGTCCCACATTTGAACCTTTCAGGTAAGAAGGGCATCATCCCCCTTTATTCAGTTCAGATTGTAGAATGATAACAGGTTATGATTTTCACTTACTATTTTATTTCAGTAACCACCAAAGAACAGTTCAGTCAATATTTAGCTGTTCTTTTTTTTTTGCGGGGAATATTTAGCTGTTCTTTCTTCTAGCATGGATTATGATTTAGAGTAACCAATGTTTTGGTGTGCCATTTTATTTGTACAAGTTGTTTTTAAAAATATTCAATATTTCTTCTATCAAATTGTTATAGCATAGTACACACAGAGTTGTCCTTGAGAATGCTCAGCAATTTGGAAACTAGTTTTCAGTCATCACTTTTGCAGCTTTATTTGCTCATTATTCACGGCATCATGATTATATACTTCGTTGTTCTATTATTTGGTCTTGATTTCATTGAATTTTGAATAACTCCTGTAAATGAAAGGTATTGTCTAATGTAGCTCATTTGCTGTGTTTCACCGAATAATAATAACTCAATAAGCTGTTTGTAAGTAGTAGGTAACTCCACTAGCACTGCTGTTTTGTGCTTTTTGCCTGGTTCATTATTTTGTTCGACCGGTGTGTGCAGGACCGACTTCTTTTGCTCCTCTTATCTACGCAGCAATTTCTGTTGTCGAAAATAGTAACTTGCAATACCATGTCCTCGTCATCATAGCTGATGGACAGGTAATTGTTTACAGCCACTGAAAATTACTTATATAGCATTGCCAGCATGTGACTTACCTAAGCAAAAACTGTAGGTGACCACCTCAAATACAAAGGATGGAAAATTAAGTCCGCAAGAGCAAGCAACTATACAAGCAATTGTTGATGCAAGGTAAATTAAATTCGTCCTTGGTTAGAACTTGGTGTTAAAGTTTTACTGAAACCCATTTGGTTGCTCAGCTACTATCCTCTTTCAATTGTGATGGTTGGGGTGGGAGATGGGCCATGGGATGCGATGCAACACTTCGATGACTGTATTCCTGACAGAGCTTTTGACAATTTTCAGGTGATTATAATACTACTATTTTGTCATTTCAATTCCGAAATTTCAACATTGCTCCACTTATGCATGAGCAAACTGATGATTCCAGTGAGAAATCATACTACGTTGAATGTAAATAATCTACTTTCTGACTAGAAGAGACTTGTATAGTGATTTCATATCTATTTATTTAGCTAGAAGTTAGAACCTTACTAATAAACTACTGCAGTTTGTGAACTTCACAGAGATTATGTCAACAAGTAAGGATATGCCAAAGAAAGAGGCTGCATTTGCCCTTGCAGCCCTTATGGAAATACCTTCTCAATATAAAGCAACTCAAGGCCTCCGACCACTGGAGTACTTGCTCTTCTCAGTTCATTGCAGCCCTGCATTAGTTTCATAGCATCCTTATCACACACTTTGTTTCTTCATTTTTATTAACAGGAAGCATGCGGGTCATGTGGCCAGTCATCTGAGGATTCTTCCTCCTCCAAACAAAGTTCTTGAGAACGACAACGCTGCAGCCTCACGTCCTCCAACTGCAAGCTCCCAGTCAACTGGCTTCGGAAAGAATACCACTGATGAGCAGGTAGGCACAATTTGGGCAAGTAGCTCTTGATGAGTTTAAACATTTTTTTTTCTCCAGAACTGTGGCATAACTCTTATTATTTTCTTTTATGGCATCATCAAGGTTTGCCCAATCTGCTTAACCAATCCAAAGGACATGGCTTTTCAATGCGGTCACCTGGTAAGGTTTTCTATGCTGTGGCATGAGTTCTGTTGGTGAAATCAAATTATGAAATCTATGCTGGCATATGTATAACTATATTTCTAGTGAAACTGTAGGTGAACATAGTGGAATCGTATTTTTTTTCCAAAATTTGAAATGATTAAATCAGTAGTAGTTTGAGGGATTAACAGATCTTCTTTACTTCTGTTTGTTCAAGACATGCAAGGAATGTGGCCCAACTCTATCAACATGCCCCTTATGCCGCGTGCCAATTACGATGCGTGTAAGGCTCTACTCGTGAGGTCATCTGACCTTCTAGAATGCAGGAACAAAGGACTCAATTCAATCAGTATAGTGTATATGGTGTCGAACAGTAAGGAGATGAAGAACTCGGAAGCACAAGGACTCTCAATTCATGCCAAGATGCGGATGGCGTGAAAACTATGTGAAAAAAAAGGCTAAATTAAACTATGCTGGATTAGTTTCAGTTTCAAAGGACAGGTATATCCTTTGGGATATTGTATTTGTTTCTTTTTCTTGTATGTAGTAGGAATAAGCTGACCTGTGATGCTTGGCCCAAAGAACTTACCGAAGGCAGTTGCGGAGATGGCTTTGCTGCTGCATTGTTGATCTTCAGAGACAATCCTAATTGGGACGATTTCAAGTAGTGAAGTACCAATACATCCTTTCCTTTTGTCTTGCAGATCAAATTCCCTGTGACTGCAATCGACCTGTTCTAATTGCAGGGATATAAAAGTGTGAAACAATGGGAGAAACACACGGTACCAGTCATCTTATTCTGAAACTCGTAATGGAGGTCGATCTGAATGGATCAGCTACGTTACGTGCTCAGCTCGTTGTAATCTATTTTAGCAGCTGATTGTGTTATTTACTTCATCTTTTCAATTTCTACTCCCTAGTTTTTGGTCCTTAATTTTTAGGGCCTCTAATTTTTACTCATGGTGACGTGAACGAATCTCAGACGTCTATTTTCCAATCGAACGGTACATATATGGTACGCAACATATTTTTCCCGGTAACGGGACGTTTGACCAATTGGACAAAGCAAAATAGCCGAAAACACACACACATGAGAAGACAATCTTTCTTTATCATAGGTTGGAAATGATTACATTCTCATCTAAAATTTACCATATTACATTAGCAACATTTTTATTTGTTGTAAAATTCTCCGGCAAAAAACACAAGTGAGTACCCACATGTTTGCTTCATCTCCAGGGATGGCGCTACCTCCAGACTCTCTCTACTTTGTTTCAGAGACCCACCTTTTCGCTTATTCGTGGAATAAGCGATACGTCATATTTACAAACGAATAGTATTTTGTGAATAAAACTTTTATATAGGTGTTCTTAATGATCTAAATGCAAAGGCTGAAAAATAAATTTCGATGAAAAAACCCTCAAAATGAGCTTCAAATTCAAAGTTGAAAATTCAAAATTTGATTGATAAGCATAAGTATAAGCGAAAAGATGAGGCCCTTAGTTCCGTGACAATGCACCGGCAAACCTATATACCAAAAGTAAAAAAGTACCGGCACCCCTCCTCGCCGACGTCTTTGTAGGTCTTCTCGTACTTGGCTTTCCACTCCACGACATCTGCCGGGTCTCTCACTCCTCGTACGGTATTGTCCATGCCGCCGCCACCATCGCCGCACTCATGAGAGTACCTGTGGAGGAGACCCTCATCGATCGCCGGCGCTGCAACCACGAGGCCAACGACATCATAGGTGGGCCGCTTTATACATCGTAGACAGTAGTCTCATGGGGTCATAGACAGTGTATGAATATAGACTACATAGTTTAAACAATTATATAAACAATTTATAAAATTTGATAAGATAGATTATGATGATGTAAGACACTATACAAATATGCAAGTCTAAATTTGATCCACACATAATGAAACAAGAATAACATTTTGTTCTGCGTTGTACAGTTACTATTCACCGCCTAATTTCATTTTTTTTGTTTCTCTAGTTATAGATCAAATATAATCTTGCATGTTTGTTTATAGTCTTATATCATCTCAATTGATGTTACTATTTTTTAAATTTTTCTATAACTATTTAAGTTGCATGCAAATAACAGACAACATGGTATCTGTGTAGAAATTTCATGTCCGTGGGCTCATCCCAAGATCCGTGGGCCGTGTGGCTTCCTCACCGTGGGCTGACATGCCGCGGCAGCCGACTTGGAGCAGCCCCGACCCTAGCTGGTTTGGGTGGATGGGATTGCTTTCCTCGGCCCGAGGACAGTATGGGCCTAGCCCATCCGCACTGAAACGCCCGCTCTACTGTCGAAGTATATAAAGTTCATTTCTCCCCCCACCTATATAAGCCAAACAAAATTCCGTTAAAATCAGTTTTAAATCGAAACCATCAACATTAACGGCAAATCACTGTAGCACATTCATTCAATGCAGAAAATATAAACACGCGGTTTTGTGTTGAGCGGAGAGAAGAAAATAATTGGGGGATCGGAAGCGTCGCGGCGACGCTACAGCGCGGGGAGAAATCTGATATGGTTGCGGCAGCTTGCGAAGCATGGGGATGGCGGCTGGTGGCTACAGGAAGAGGATGGCCTCCTTGGCTACAGAAGGCTTGACCCTTTCTTCTTCTTCCTCCTCCGTCTGCCTCAATTCTTGCTGTTGTTTTACTTGGTCCAAGAATCCAATCTGGAAGTCGTCTGCCTTTAATATTGTTGATATAGATCGATAGATATTTCCGTATAGATAGGTGGGGTGGCGAAGTCGAATTCAATGAATTTGCGTGCGCTGCTGAGGTCAGAGGGAGACAGATTGGTTGATGGATGGATGGATGGAGAGGGGCGTTGCCAAGTCCACCATCACCAAACCCCGAATTTACTACGACATTTTCCATCACCTTTTCAATGTTCTTGTCATCACTGCTCGTGTCACCCGTGGGCCGTGGCGAAAAGCAGAAATTATTCAGGATTTGGGATTTGAGATTTAAGAGTTTGCGTTGTGGCAGCTGGTAGGAAACTGGAAGAGGTCAATCGATTCAGTTCGATGTAGTGTACTACTTCCCCCTATCCCTTTCCTACCTCTTCATGGCTTTATTTATAATATTATACTGTACTTTGCTCGCTCATTTTCACACCCAAGCGGCCAAGCCCAACTTAATCCCCATTATATAGTTAATATTCGGTTGATTATTATCTCTGCTTGACTAATACTACTCAGGTTTGTCCTTTTCTACAACAATCCTCCATTGGTGTGGCGGATCGATTGATTCTTTCTTTCTGCTGCCTCCTACCAGCTGGTGAGTTCATCCTTCTTTCTCTCTTTAATTTTCTGCTGAGTGGTATGCTTGTTGTATCTATCGATTCCTTCCCTGCATCGGTGTTTCAATCGACGTTATGCACACATGTTCTTTTTCCATAATAAACAAGATAGTACAGCAGGCTTTCTTCAATTCTTCCCTTCATTCATGGTATGATATGCTATCGCAGCATGATTGCAAGGGATTCATCAGCAAACACGTACTTCGTTGAAATTTTAGCTTTCATCTCATAACATCTCTTCTTTATTGATCTCTAATTGAAAAGGTTGAAATTTATGTTTTATTGGTGTTGGTGGTCGGCAGTCGCTTCTCAGCTGCTGTTTAAAAATAATAAGAAAAAAAAGATGCTCCTCTGAGTTTTCAAAAATTCCTAGCTACACTGGTGAAAATTTATGCTTAACTTTTTTTTTACAACTTTACTTTGCTCAAAATTTAAGCAGTAATCTGGTGCATCCCTGACTTTATATGGTCCTCTGTGCACTTTTGGGTCTGGACAAGTAACCGTTGCCCCTTTGTTCCATTTCAGGGACTGGATTATGCTATCAAAGGGAAACTACATCGGTGAATTCTCAATATCCTGCCAAACTGAGCAAATTTTCTGTGTAGTAGCATCATGCGGCAGTCTCGACTCTTCTATCTTTGCTCCATTATCTTCATGTTCTACTTGGTGCAAAGAACAGAAGCACAGATCACTGCACCTTGGGAAGGTAATATCCATCATTCTAGCCATACTTTACCTCCACTCCTCTTATTGAGACTGATCTCTACAGTCTACATGCACATATCTCTTTCAATCTTTGTGTCATAAGCGTGGCCTGCTCACTTGAGACGCATAGGAGAGCACAAGCCATGGTTCTAAATATATTAGTTGTTATGGTTACGTTATTGAGTGTTATTGATTTTTACCTTGCATTATGAAGCTAACTAGGTGTAACATCGGTACATTTGGTCTGCAGTTGATGCTCTGAAAGCTATCAAAGGCAATCTGATAGATCCGCAAGGACGTCTAAACAACTGGAACCGTGGAGATCCGTGCATGGGAAATTGGTCTTATGTTCACTGTTACAATGAAACAGCAAGTGATGGATATCTCCATGTATTAGAATTGTATGAGCATAAGTGATCTCCTTGTTAACTGTGTCCTTATTATACCACATTTTTCCGTTGCTTATCTTATGGTTTGCTTTTGGTGTTTAGCTTATGTTAGGCGTGCTTTTGGTGATGAATTTGTTGAATGTCATAACATAATAGATCACATTCCGCCTTCATATATTCTGCATTTTTTCGAGATGTAACCAGATACTTTCCACTGCTGCTGATAGCTTCTCCTTTTTAGAAGTAGAATAATGTTACTGTGTTCTTTATGTTCTTATTTTTTTGCCTTGTGAAAAAAAATGCCATGCTATTTGAATATTGATTGCCTTGATGGGGCAATTAGTGCAGTACAAAAAGATAAACTTTGCTCGAATTTTCTCTCTAAAGATCCCATCTCTTTTTTTTTTCCCAAGTGGATCTAATTGCCGTGATGCATTTATGTGATTATAGGCAACTTCTAAAATTGAATTTATCTGGATCTTTAGCTGCTGAGCTTGGTCGGCTATCTCACATGCAAATAATGTAAGTTGGACAAGTAACTGGATCATTGATTTGTTAATGGGTTAGCTTTTAGGTGGTTGGATGCCCACTCACAAGGGCGCTAACTTTTTTTTTTCTTTTTGTTCTTTCCACTGAAGGGATTTTATGTGGAATAACATCAGTGGCAGCATACCTAAGGAGGTTGGCAACATCACTTCTCTGAAATTACTGTAAGTTGAAACCCGTATTACTTCAATTTCACCAATACGGGTTTCCTTCACATCTTTTTGGTTAGAATTGAGCCTATCTTCTTTCTGGGGCTTCTTGTTCAACTTAGTTTTGTTTGCTATAAAACTGTAGTTTAACTGAATCAGTATCTTCATGTCCTTCTGGTTGGATGGTGATGTTAGCATTTTTCATGAGTTGTTTGTTCAGATTATTTTTTTATGATACAGCTGTAATTGACTGAATATATATGTTTCCATTGTAACATGTCCTTCATAATATATATATTTTTTGAAAACAATTATTTCTTTGAGATAAATTGTTGGTAGGTGAGGTGTGATTGTTGTTGTATCCTCTGTTATCTGGAATGGAATCTGTGTTTTCTTGTCACTTATAGGTAAGTATGTGCGGATGTGCCCATCCTATTTTTGCAGGCTCTTAAATGGAAACCAGCTTACTGGTTCTCTACCAGAGGAGATTGGTTTCCTTCCTAATCTGGATAGGATTCAGATCGACCAGAACTACATATCTGGACCCATACCTAAATCATTTGCTAATCTGAACAAAACAAAGCACTTGTGAGTAGCATCTGGTTTTACATCTATGCCAAGCATCAGGGAATTATTATCCTTACCCTAATAGTTTTCCAATTTTCATCCAGTCATATGAACAACAATTCATTAAGTGGTCAAATTCCACCTGAACTATCCAGATTACCTTCACTTGTTCACTTGTAAGTTTCTGACAACTGCGTCTACCATATCGGTATTCTTTATTTAAACTCTACTTACAATGTAATTAATTTACAGATTGTTGGATAACAATAACTTGTCGGGCTATCTTCCTCCAGAGTTATCGAAGTTACCAAAACTACTTATCATGTACGTAAACTTCTGTGTTGCGATAGCTCTTTCTTTCTTTCTTTCTTTTGGTTACTTTGGTTGGGTTCAATGTCAGTCTTTAACCAAGAACTAGATTGTGTCTTGTTATTGCATGAAGTTTACAAGCAGACCTTTGCCTATATGTGTTGCTTTACTAAAATTTAACTAGAAATTTAGCAGCTTAGAGAAAGAGTCTTTCGGCTCTTCGCTGTGCTGCTCTCATTTACTGAAAAGTAGCTACTGGTGTGTCTCTTGACCATTGTGATTTTATTCAATCATTTTCTTCACTTTCTTTTAAAGGATAGTCTCTGATATTAGAATTACACACATATACAGCACTCTCTAATAATATCTGTTCAAAATAATTTCAGCCAGCTTGACAACAATAATTTCTCAGGAACCTCAATTCCTTCATCTTATGGCAATATCACCACACTTCTGAAACTGTAAGTATTTTCTTACCTCTATCTGCAATTCCACCTCTCAGTGTAGTTACTTCTTGGCTGTGTGGATCCTAGTCATGCAGAGGCTGAGTGTTCTCAGTGTAATCGTATCATGTAATTGACCGAGTTCAATAAATCTTCTATTATCTAAGAGAAATTACTATACTTCTGAAAGTACGCTTTACCTATGTCTGCGATTCCACATTCTGAGCATAGTGCTGAGATGAACTTTGATGTCAATCTTGGATGTTTACGCATTGTCTGGTCTCTTGAATATTTTTAGGAGAACCGCCCAGGGGTCTTCCGGCTAGCTCCACAAGGTGGTGGGCTAGCCGGGTCTCACCCCTTCTATTTATTTGATATTAGATCATTCCCTAATATTCGCCTTTTTTTTTCTCTTGAATATTTTTAGGTAATGGTTTGGCTAACATTGGTTGACCTGGCTTATTCATAACAAAACATATTTGCAGAAGCAAACCTGTATCAGTGTGCATATTATGGCAGTAGAAAGGTGTTTAAGTATATGTTTTTTTTTTGCCATTTCAATCTACACAAAGGCCAGCTCTGCTGTGCAAAAGTATGACCATGTTAGCATGTTTTTACTTATTTTAGAAATGCATCCAAGTCACTATCATTACTTGATATTATAATTATCCATGGGAACCTGCTCGATAGACACATCCAAAAATAGCTTCCCTTGTTCACAAATGGCTGGCATCTTAGAAAGGTTGCATTTTGAATGCTTTGCAAATCAAGTGGTAAAGTTGCATTTCAAGAATACAGGTTTAATTCAGACTTCTACTCTCTCTGTAATTATGAAAGTTTTTTTTGCCGGAATGACCGAAGGAGGTCATTCAATGAAATTAAGATAGGAAGTAATTATGAAAGTTAGAGACTAATCTATTGGATATGATCTTCATCAGGAGTTTGAGGAACTGCAGCTTGGAAGGACCTGTTCCTGATGTCAGTGGAATACCCCAACTTGGCTATCTGTATGTGTCGAATTCCAACACTGCAACTTCACCTTTTTGGGAACAGAAAATTACCATATTCGTAGTTAGCAAAAATTATATCATGTGTGGCAGCTTTGATCCTTGTCTTATTTGTGTTCAGGGATCTTAGTTGGAATCAGTTAAGGGGTTCAATACCATCTGGCCGACCAGCAAGCAACATAACCACAATGTATAAAAATAGAGCCCTTACTAACAACTTGTCATTTTTGTTTATTCTATTTTACTAAGTATTTGGCAAACAAGCTATCATTTATATGCATGCTCGTACAATTTGTGCAGAGATCTTTCCCACAATCTTCTAAATGGATCAATTCCTGGAAGTTTCTCTGGCCTTCCCAATCTACAAAGACTGTAAGTATGATAGTATATCTTTCTTTATTCTATTTCAAGTTCGGTGAGTACAATAGGTATATGAGTATCATTGGTAGAAGCAGAATAATAGGATAGATCTCTAGAGTAAAAGGGAATAACTTTACAGGGGAGAAAAGACTAGCACTTTTTTACTTCATAACTTTTCAGTAGTGACGATTACAATATTATGATAATTATGCATAATATTAGCCAAACTGATATGACACCCAACAGGTAAAACTTGGTTTCATCTTTCTGTCTTAAACAATAGCTGCGTGATATTGTACCTTCTTTGCTCAGGTCATTGGACAATAACAATTTGGATGGTTCTGTTCCATCAGATGTCTGGCGGAATATTGATTTCAGTGGAAATAGAAGTCTTATATTGTAAGACCATGCATAATCTACCGTTCTTTTCACTTTCTCTGGAATTAGTTAATTGATAATCTAATTCTCTGTCAATATTTTGTAGGGATTTCCAGAACAATTCTCTAACCAATCTATCAAATCCTCTTTCACCACCTGCCAATGTTACCATCCTGTATGTACTTCTATTTCATTAGTTTCCTTGTTAATTAAAATGCAAAGTACCAAATCCATTAATTTCATTATTGGAAATATGCTATGCTGGCAGTCAGAGATTGGTCTGATGATCTTTGTTTAGTAGAGGAAACAAAGGGCCCTGATCTAAGGCCTATCTTTTTTTTTAATTGTAGTTTACCTTCTTCATACTGTTTGGAAAGCACAACTGAAGACTATTCTTGTTTGTATTTGGGAACTTAAAAGTAGACTACCTTGTAACCACAAACCTTAGCTTATTGGATAAATGATCTGTATAACTAAATGAATGCAACAAAGGAATCATCTCCCTGGTTTTCGTTGTGAATATCTTTACTAATGCCATGACTCTTTAGGATTGTGAAATTGGATAGTTGCACGAGCCTGTAGGTATTATAAGACCCTTCTAAGCCAGTATCATAGAAAAGTGATGCGAACTGATAAATGAATAGGTGTAATTTCAAGCCTTGACGTAATGCTCAACTGGAGTTATTTTAGTTAATGTTAACATGGTTGAAGATGGAGGCGATGCTATGGAGTGGGTAAAGATTAATGTGCTACTCTTTAAAGAGAGTTATGCCCGCTGTGACAATTACAATTTACAAAGTCATACATGCAATAGGGTTAACACGGTGTTCAGCTGTGGGGAAGCTTTTATCTACTACTGTAAAAGCAGACTTGTCCTCCTTCCGTCCCTTCCTCCCACCGCACGTGCACAGCGTGAGGAAAAAATGGCCAAACTGGTAAAGAAACTGCCAGCCCATTTCAAGTGGTATGGGCTGTTGCAATGCATGGGCCTGTTACTAGTGCTTTAAACCATCTATCAGAAGAACCGAGAATGGCTTTCTCAAGTCTTCTTTCATGGAGGAGAAATGTCCATCCTGCTATGTGAGAGTCAGAAAAATAAGGTTGATCGGTAACCTGGTGAAGTAGCAAATGCATGCTGGAGAAGTCTTAAGAAAACTCAATAGGTGATTTGATAGAGACGTGCAAATGCTCCTTGGGATAGCATGGTCGCACTAATTCAAATGCTTATTAAGCAAATCAGAAGTCTACTTCTCATCTATATTTATTTCAAATCTGGTGATCATTGGTTGGTGTTCCACCCGAAACAATAAAATATGAATGACCAACTAAACCTTTATTATCAAAATTTGAATACACTTGTTGCAATTTGGTGAGGTGAAAGTCTGGGAGAAAAGAATCAACATAGTAGTAACATTGGGGACATGACTGATGTGATAATTAAAGGATTTTTTTTGTATTGATGGTATTGTGATGTACTCTGCAACTTTGCTCTTTCTAAATAAACTAATGGATACTTTGGCCAAGGTTGATATGAAACAGAACATGTAAGTCACATAAGAAAATGATAGCATGTATGCATTTGCTGTTGGAGTTTTGATATCATTCAGATATATTTCTAGTACCTTATATTTTCTTAACATCTCATGTATAGGTTATCTGGAAACCCCATCTGCACATCTCCAAATCAACTGAACATTACTCAGTACTGTCAATCAGTGCCAGTTATTGTGCCTGACGGTTCTGCAAGTAATGCCACAGTTTGTCCGCCATGCTCTACTGACCTTCCGTTTGAAAACATACTGATGTCACCAATACGATGTATATGTGCTATTCCACTTTATGTTGATTACCGGCTAAAGAGTCCTGGATTTTGGGATTTTGTTCCATATGAAGGACAGTTTCAACAGTACTTGTCATCTGGACTTTCATTGTCTTCTTACCAATTAGAAGTTTCTCAATTTATGTGGGAAGAAGGCCCACGGGTGAAGATGAATCTGAAACTGTTTCCAAATAACACTGCTTATTTTAATAAGAGCGAGGTGTTAAGACTGAGAGGAATGTTCACAGGCTGGCTGATTCCAGACTCTGATATATTCGGGCCCTATGAGCTCCTCAACTTCAATCCAGGGTGGTATAACAATTGTATGCTATATTGACTCTATACATTTCCTTCTTATTCTTGTATTGGCATTTATCTGATTTGTAGGGGTTTTAAATATTCAATATTTGATTTCAAGTATAGTTCTGGATCTCACCAGGATTAGGATGTCTATGGTAGTTAACATGCAAATGACCAGTAACTGTGAGAATAAGTATGTGAAAACAGTTGGTTTGATCTAAGTAACCAAGTTATGAAAAATGATGTCGGTTGTAATGGGTGCACTATTTCCACTGTGTAATGTCTAGTCAGAACTTAACAGGAACAACCAATGAAATTTAATACCCTGCCTAGCTAATCTAAGTTTAGGGACTCACAAAATTCAATTCAGAGAGTCAATGAATTTCCATTCATTCATTGGCATTTCAGGATTTCCCATATCATTGTACATTTGGTTTAGTATTCACATTTCAACGAGGTTCTCATACAAATCCTGAAGGACCACCCAAAGGAGTGGTGAATCATGACAATTCTTTTACTTTCTTTTTTATCCATCCATCTAAAAGAAAGTTTTATTTCTTATATGCCACAAAAAGTTTACAAAATTTCTCATTGTCCCAAACTCCTAATGACAAGGTTGCTCCTGGTCCAGATGCCATTGGGACAGTGGGCGATATAAGGGATGAGGTAAACTGAATAATAAGTTTTCAGACTAGGATGGCTGATTTGGACCTTATAATGTAGAGAAACCAAATTCACCATTTACACATAGCTTGAGGAGGACATTTGTCCCCATTAATAGTAGATGCTTACTGATGTGTCAGATACCCTATTCCCTAATAATTTGTATCAACCCTCTGTTTCCAAAGTCAGGTCGTTTTAGAGTGGTTGACATGAATTAAGAAAGCTGTTCAAATGACCTTGTTGCCCTGCAACTATTATACATTTAAAATGATACCTCATTTGTACATGAGTGGTAGAACTTAATTAGCATAAGAGGAATTTGGAATAAGAGGAACTATTATACATTGAAAAGTGCCTCTAAGTCCTATAACATCTTACATTTGGAATCAGGGGAGTAAGATGTAAGCATCACTGCATCAGAAGGTGGTATACTCTTGCATCACGACATGCCAGGCCACACCGCCACACTTGCTGGTTGTTGCCTGTAGCTGGGATTGATTTCTTGATTTCTTCCATCATCCAGAAGTTTCAATTACTTGTAACTTGTGTTTCAATGTACCCATAGGGGCTGGATCCCTGGATATACAAGAGATGGCTTTACAGAAAGAAAGCCCCTATACTACAGGGAATACACTCTGCACATATACTACTTAACAAGAAGCATGCATGGGTGGTTTCTGGATATACTAGAGATGAATTAACAGAAAACACCTTACAGTCCTACACTACAGGAAAAATACACTGTGCACATTTACTACTAAACAAAAAGCACTTGTGTATGGTCAAGATATAGTGAGTCTAATGATTCAGTTACAGTACCATGCAGTTCAAGTTTAATTCCATAATTGTTAACAATTTTTCAAGAGAGTAATCTTATATTTTCTTATGCTATCCAGTATTTCCAGATCGTGCAAAGTCCAGCCTAAGTACAGGTGCCATTGTTGGTATTGTCGTGGCAGCGTTTGCTGCAGCAGCATTTCTTTCATCCCTCATTACTCTCATTATACTGAGAAGACGTTCAAGATATTCTTCAAAAAGACGCTCTGGTAAACCCTCCATTTCCGCTATCTTCAATGAAACAGTTTCTTTTTTTATTGTTATGTTTTCCATATTTTATCAGTTATCTTCTGTTCAATCTTCAATATGTCATTTTTTTATCGCATTTGCAGCAAAAAGAATTCCAATGAAGATTGATGGTGTAAAAGACTTCAGTTTTCAAGAACTGTCACATGGTACAAACGACTTTAGTGACTCAGCACTAATTGGTCAAGGAGGGTATGGGAAAGTGTACAGAGGTATTCTCTCTGATGGAACAATAGTAGCAATAAAACGTGCGCAGCAGGGATCTCTTCAGGGTTCGAAGGAGTTCTTCACAGAGATAGAATTGCTGTCCAGGCTGCATCACCGGAACCTTGTTTCATTGCTTGGTTATTGTGATGAAGAAGATGAGCAGGTTGTTCCTGGTACTTTTTTTTTTCAATAGAAGTCCAGGGCATTAGTTTTGTCGAGCGTTGAAATATTCAAGTTCTTTCTTGTTTTCAAATGGATTATAAAAGGCTGATATCAAAATTCATTGAAATACATTCGCTGCGTTGAAGTACATAAATATGCATGCACATGTTCTCAGCCGCTATCAGATTTTATTTTGGAGAACAGGTAACTTTTCGTTACCTGGCTTTGGGAGAAAGCCAAACAGAACATAGTTCAGCCTATTTCAGATAGGTGTGCTGGAAAATGGTAGAGCAGTTCAGTGCATTATTTTTGTTGGCTAGTATATTATTTTTGAAAGTTCATATTTGACCAATTTTAACGGTAGAAACTGAACAGCTGCCTATCAACTTCTGTTGCGGAGTTGGTTGTGAATAGATAGTACCTCACATTTGGTTCAACATTAATTATGATATAAACTCATACTGTTAAGCATGTATTGCAGATGCTGGTATATGAGTTTATGCCTAATGGTACTCTACGTGATCATCTTTCAGGTTAGAACTTTATTTCTGTACCTACTGACAAAGCTGCTCTTCATAAAATTTTAAATATTCATTAAACAGAAGTCAACAGATAAAAATATCATAAACCCGCAGTTTCTTTGTTAGCTAGCACGTTCTTAATTACTAGTAGAAGAATATTAGCATCTTGTGCTAAGCTCCATGGCAGTGCTATATATCGTTACTTCTGAAGTTATGTTGCTGTTATTTCTGTGTACCTAGTTGCCCTAACAATTGTCTCATGTAGCAGCTCGATCAAAAGAGCCCCTAAATTTTCCCACGAGGTTACGAATTGCGCTGGGGTCGTCGCGAGGCATCCTCTATTTACACACAGAAGCAGACCCTCCAATATTTCACCGTGACATCAAAGCAAGCAATATTTTACTGGACTCAAAGTTTGTCGCAAAAGTTGCTGATTTTGGTCTCTCTCGGCTTGCCCCAGAGCCAGAATCAGAGGGGATTGCTCCTGGTCATGTGTCAACTGTTATAAAGGGTACCCCGGTGAGTAGCTATGCCATCTGTTTGTACATGCTCTGTGAGCAACTAGTTGAGCAGAAGTCTGCCACATTTGCCAGCACTTTTATCAGTTTTTACTTCAGTTCATATTCTGATGTCTGATCCCGGTGTTGTGTGCAACCGCATATGGTGAATGTGACCAGAAACTTGTTCAACTTAGGTTAATTTGATTAATGGAAAGAGAACTATAAGTTAAATGTCATTGCAAAGCTTGATTAATTAAGGGATTCTTGAGCGAAATTTCTTACTATTACCAATTGATAAGGATTAGCACAAGCAAAAGCAACTATTTTGCCTTGTTTTAAGTTTCCAGCTAATAATAAATTGTTTAAAGCACAGTGTTCTGCAATGGTGTTGATGGTATATATTCCTTTCTTTACAATCGCAGGGTTATCTTGATCCGGAGTATTTCCTTACTCATAAGCTGACAGACAAAAGTGACGTGTACAGCCTTGGTGTTGTTTTTCTGGAACTGCTGACAGGGATGCAACCTATTTCTCATGGAAGAAATATAGTTAGAGAGGTATAGATTTCATGCTTCCTTGCATACAATTTTGCTTATATTTCATTGGAAAATCACATGCGGTGCACATGAAAGAGACTGAAGTGCTCCCTCTGTTTCTTTTTTTTTTCTTTGCCGGGTCGGCTGAAGACATGGCCGGCCAAATGTTATGCTCTCTCCGTTTCACAATATTTGGCTATTTCTTGGAAGTGCAATATGCTTAATTTAGAGTGAATTGCATAACGGGGCACCTAGTTTTACCTACGTTTCAATTTGGGCTACCCCTTAACCAATCTTTTCACTTTAGATCATCTTTCTTTTCCTTTTGTTTTCATCTTGGACACCTATCTTTCTTCTCCAACTCCGCTATGTTAGGGTCTGCTATAGGCGAGTGGTGGAGAGGTCAACAGTGCATGTGGTGGAGAGATTGAAGGCATGCTACCATTAGTTGCTCTAGCTCTATGAGAAGAAAGATATAGGAGGAGAGCTAGATGAGAACAGGGTCCAAAATAAAACAAAAAGGCAAGAAATAGTAGTCTAAAGTGAAAAGTTTGGTTGAGGGTTGGTCCAAAGTGAAACACAGGTAAAAATAAGTAACCCAATGTGCAATATACTTAATTTATACTCCCTCCGTCCCTAAATATTTGACGCCGTTGACTTTTTTAAACATGTTTGACCGTTCGTTTTATTCAAAAACTTTTGTGAATATTATTCAAAAACTTGAGTAGTAGTAGTATATGTAACAATGAATCAAATGATAGGAAAATAATTAATAATTACTTAAATTTTTTGAATAAGACGAACGGTCAAACATGTTAAAAAAGATCAACTGCGTCAAATATTTAGGGACTGAGGGAGTATTATTTATGTAAACTACAAGAATCAAGTGTGTAGTGTTTTGGGATCATACTCCTAACATAATTCTTGAAGAGGTTGAATAGTCCTATTACTACTATATATATTCGTTGTACTAGGATATGTCACATTCAGTACTAGATTCGTTTTTTATGGGACGGAGGGAGTATGCACTAGAAGTAGTAAATTGATTTGATGCCCTGAAACTAATTACATATATAAATGTTTGTGCGTGTAGGTTGTTGCGGCCAATCAGAGTGGGATGATATTGTCAGTGGTTGACAGCCGGATGGGATCGTACCCAGCAGAATGCGTGGAGAAGTTTGCTGCACTGGCACTGAGATGCTGCCGAGACGAGACGGACGCAAGGCCGTCCATAGTGGAGGTGATGAGGGAGCTGGAGAAGATATGGCAAATGACACCGGACACCGGGAGCATGTCCTCACTATCCTTGGAACCTAGCAACACAGCCACCCCATCGTCGGGATCCAGGATGATGGTTTCATCGTCATCTGGGGTTGGAAATGATGATCACCATCACTACAACATGTCATCATCCGATGTCTCCGGCAGTAACCTCCTCAGCGGTGTTGTACCTAGCATCAATCCTCGCTGAACATTATTTGTTATATACTCCATAGTGTAAGACACGCATGTATTTAAAGATTTAACTTTAAAAACATCTGACTAACAAGTAGTGTAATGTAAATCGAATTTTATTTGCTGAAAATAATATCATTGGATTGGTATTTCAATATATTTTCATATGTTATAATTTTGTTGCTACAAACTCTATATAGTGTATGAGAAGTTTATAAGTTAAAAATTAGTTTTGTAGATGGTGTCAAGTTTGTACTTGTACGATCGATAATACTCCCTGTACAATATACTACTTTGCTCTTGTGATAGCTAGACGTACGAATGGCTTTGACCTCCTCACATCGGGCATATGTGTGGTGCTCGTCCGGTCCAAATGTTGTCTGCCTTAGTGCCTTGTGCATTTGTTCTTAAACCGTTTATGGGCCTTTCTTTTTTGGCAACAAACAGAACTTTGTTTGCCCTGGAAAAAAATTATACATACAACCTCATATACGAAACTTTATACATGTAAACTTTGTACATAAAACTTTGGTATGAATATACCAATTTTATACACATGAACTTTACACCGGTTTTCAAAGATGTGGGATACGTTATACCCGATTTGGCCCATATTTTCTGGGCCGTATCTGGATTTCATTCACGTGCGGCCCAAGAATGGGATTGCGACTTTCCGTTCCAGCCTCATCCTGAGCCACAGCGAGCCGCGAAAAATTCCGCCGCCGCCGTTTCGTCGACCTCATCGGCGGCCATGCTGCTCCGCCTCCGTCCGCCGCCGCAGCCGGCCGCCAGCCTCGCATCCTTCCTCCCCTTCTCCCCCTTCAGGCGCTTCCTCCACTCGCCGTCCTGGCGCCCTCCTCCTCCTCCTCCTCCGCGCCGCCACCGCCTCCTCTCCACTGCCGTCGCCTCCTCCTCCTCCTCCTCCAAAGGTAACGCTGCTCACCTCGTAGTGGTCGATGGGGATCTGAGTATTCGCGACCACATGAAACAAGCGAAAACGATTCTAATTGATGGATGGGTTTCTGCTATTCTGGCATTAGTCTCGACAAGTCTTGAGGAGCGATACGATGTGATTGTGGTTGGAGGAGGCCATGCCGGATGTGAGGCCGCGCTTGCGTCGGCTCGTCTTGGTGCGCGCACCCTCCTCCTTACGCTTAACATTGATCGGATTGCGTGGCAGGTCTAACACTGAGCTCCATTGCAATTTTTCACTTACTAGATTTCTTCATTTGTGTACTACCATATCCTTCCATTAGACCAAATTGTACTTTCTTTATGATTCCTGTATCTTGGTTACAAAAGCAAAGTTAGGTAGTAAAAGATCATATGCTAAAAATATGTGGTCATTGATTCCTTGTGGCATAGTTAGTTAAAATCTGCAATCATATACCCCATACAACATGAAGCAAGCAATTGAACCATGTTTCATAAGACTTGTATAAGTGCATGTCAAATCCACGGATTTTTCTTAGAAAATTATGATATGGCATGTATAGTGGATGAAATGCTTACATACATACATTTTTGGAACTCATAGTACAAGGATAGTTTCCAACGTGGTATGTCCTCAGTCTAGGCTATAAGGATCTTAGCAAATCAACCTTTTTAACAAAGGGAACATTGTGTTACTATTGTAATATGGCTACCTGTCCTAACTCTTCTTTTATTCCTTATGTTGCATAGCCTTGCAACCCTGCCGTGGGAGGGCCTGCAAAGTCTCAACTTGTTCATGAGGTAGATGCCCTTGGTGGTGAAATGGGGAAAATTGCAGACAGGTACATTTAATTGGTTCATTATTTTAGATAGATAGATTTTCTTTTCCCCTACTTTTTGGACTTTTAGTTGGTGTGTAGGTCTGAGAGATGAAACCTGCACCGAAATCCTCAAAGATCTATTGTCATACTGATTACTTCATCTCTTAGGTGCTACCTACAAAAGCGTGTGCTAAACAGCTCAAAAGGCCCTGCTGTACGTGCACTGCGTGCTCAGACTGACAAGAGGGAGTATGCAGTAGAGATGAAGAAAGTTGTTGAAAGGTCAATATGCACTCTCGTCTTTTATCAGAATTTACAAACTATATTCGAATTTGTTTGCCTTTTAGGTAAATCAAAAGACACCAAACTACTCCCTCCTGATTTCTGAATAAGAGCGAGCGTGCTGTGTAAATTCTGAATTGGCTGGAGTTATTCACGCGTTTCAGATATTCTTAAGTTGTACATGGTTATCCACAGAGTCACAAGGCTTGTGTTTTATTAGTTTAACCTATGAAGACAACTTCATTCATTTGACATGTGTTTTGATTGGTCCTGACCAAAGACTATTGACTAGATGTTAATTCTAATTTCTTGAGTAGAGGTGAATCTGTTTCTGCATATCTTTTACCTATAAATTCAACAAATATAGTTGATGTGTTCTTGTGATATCTAGAAATATGTTGTTGTTGAATGCAGGTACTTTAGTGTAATATCTTTCATGTTATTTACTGATTATTGCATATGCTATTTTTCAGCACACAAAATCTTTTCATTAGAGAGGCAATGGCTACAGAGGTTATGATAGGCCAGAACGACAATGTTGAGGGTGTCCGCACTTTCTTCGGCATGGACTTTTATGCACCATCTGTTGTACTTACCACTGGAACATTCATGAGTGGTAAGATTTGGGTAGGTAGGACTTCAATGCCTGCCGGGCGAGCTGGAGAGTCAGCTTCACATGGACTCACTGAAAACTTGCAGCAGTTGGGTTTTGAAACTGACCGCTTAAAAACTGGCACACCACCACGAATTGATCGCAGGACTGTTAACTTTTCTGGATTGGAACCCCAGCATGGTGATGAAGAGGTATGGAACATCTGACAATATGTATGAGTGAAGTTTTTTGTTATTCGTTATATACAAGTGTCATCTTCCACTTGTATCTGAAAATGCAAATTCCGTCATTCTTATATACTTTTGCTTCTCTCTTTCATTTGCCACTTTACATTTCATTGTTAAAGCAACGCCTTTTGTACTCTTATTAGTAAGATCTAGAAGCACTGTGCTTCTGTTGTGACAGTTAATTTGGTTTCTCTCTGATTAGAAGTCAAAATTTCAAAAGCACCCCTTGAATACAGTGTTCGTTTTATGTAATGATTGATCAAAGTTGTGAACCCTTGTGGATAATTGATTCTTTTGCTATCGATCTGGCACAGAAAATAGATTGAATGGACTTTGCACAATTTGAACCTTCTTGTTCAAATATTTCCAAATGTATGTGGTATTTTCTCCGATAGACTTTGAACAACATTTCCTGCACCTGTAGTATCTGCTGCATACTTTGTGCACTTAGTTGCGTTTATGAATCTATGACTTATCAGCTGCTTAAGTTTGCAGTTCAAGTTTGCTTTGACCATATATGTAAATGTTCAAAAGATGGTTTCTCTTTAAACAGGTTGGCTGGTTTAGTTTTGATCCTGAATTCCATATTGAGAGGGACCAAATGTGCTGCTATTTAACAAGGACTACAAAAGAGACACATCAAATTGTTAGAGATAACTTGGATGAAACACCAACTTATGGTGGTTGGGTAGAAGCAAAGGGACCAAGATACTGTCCAGCAATTGAAGACAAGGTATAATTCTACCATCTGAGTTTTTTAGTTTGTTAAATGGCAGATTATTCTATTTTAGTACGTGTAATCAAACTTATTATTGCTAAGGAAGAGGTTGTTCACGTTATGGCACAATCATGAGGATAACCAGACTATCTTTGCTTCAGATTGTAAGGTTCAAAGACAAAGAGTCCCATCAGGTATTTCTTGAACCAGAGGGCAGAGATGTTCCTGAGCTTTATCTGCAGGTCAATCTACATCCAGAACTCCCTCTATCCATTCAACATATTTTATATCATGGTTGTATTTATTAATCATCTATTATGGTTCTCTTGTCCCCTATTTTTTAAAAATAATGCCTTCTGCACTGTTTTGCACTCTCTAGTCATATTTATTAATCATCTATTGTGGTTCTCCAATATTCTATCCCCCATTTTATTGAAAATAATGTCTTCTGCACTGTTGTTTATCCCAATTCCGACCACTCAAGATCATTTGTACATCGTAAGCAGGGGTTTTCCACTGGGCTTCCTGAGCGATTGCAATTATCACTTGTGAGAACACTACCGGGACTGGAGAATTGTGTGATGCTAAGGCCGGCTTATGCTGTTGAATATGATTACTTGCCAGCTTACCAGTGCTCAAGATCACTTATGACCAAGAAGTTTGAGGGCTTATTCTTCTCTGGCCAGATTAACGGAACAACAGGATATGAAGAAGCTGCAGCTCAGGTTAATTTATTTTCTTTGCTGTGTTTATATGGTTGTTCAACAAGTTTTTTTGAATCCTAAGCTTGCTTACTTTTGTTTACAGGGTATAATTTCCGGAATAAATGCAGCTAGGCATTCTGATGGAAAGCCACTTATCATTCTTGAGAGAGAAAGCAGTTATATTGGGACTCTGATTGATGATCTTGTCACAAAAGATCTTAGGGAGCCTTATCGCATGTTAACAAGGTATGTTTTTTTTTCTGTACGAATGCTATTAGTATGATGGTTGTATTTTTCTTTTTTAGAAAATGCAGGAGAGGTGTGTTTCATTTCATTAAGAAGGAAAAAACAAACACCCATACAATCAGGGCTCACAAGCCCTCCACCCAAACACACCCACAAAAACATCACACAAGGTGACGCACGGCCAATGATGGTTGTATTAAGCTGAAGCAATTGGTGATATAACTGTGTATCCTAATTAGTACTAGATTATGTGTTACTCTGAGAAGCTAAGAGTCTGTGGGCGCCAATTTGCCATAGAATAATGGTCATAATTCTCATTAGATAATGTGTAATCAAATGAACTATTTAAATGGAGGGGCCAATGGTAACCTGATTAGAGATGTGTTGCAATAGGATGTTAATTTTTGATACTCTCTTCGGCTAAATATCAGAAACATGCTATGCTTTGTACATTGTGTAATTCATTAGAAACTAGAAACTTAACACATTACTAGTTCAATATGATCAGGGAAAAACAGTCAGCCGGTAAGTGGCTTTACCAGTAGGTACTGGTAGCATTATGATTTCTTGAATCATAACTTTGTTGACCTTTTTTTTTTTTTGTTGCTACATACATACATTCAGCCGTTCAGAACACCGTCTATTGCTTCGAGCTGATAATGCTGATAGTCGGTTGACTCCTTTGGGACGAGATATTGGTTTGATAGATGATAGACGATGGGAGCTTTATCAATCAAAGCAAGCCCGGATTAAAGAGGAAAAAGAACGATTGAAATCTACAAAAATCCCAGGTAAATTCTATCTTTTTTGAAATGCTTCATGAATTCATGCCAAGTTTTAAAATGCTAGTACCAACATGCACTTGCTCAGTATAGTCACTAGCATGAATTCAGATGCTCTAACTCGGTATTTCCGTTCTCAGGAGGTGAATTTGCTGCTGCGGTTACCTCTGTATCCAACCAACCTGTAAAAGAATCATCTACACTTGAAGCCATACTGAAGAAGCCACATGTACAGTATAAACTTCTTGACAAACATGGATATGGAAATGAACATTTGTCTCGAATTGAGAAAGAATGTGTGGAGATTGATATTAAGTACGAAGGTTTTATAGCACGGCAGCAAAGTCAATTGCAGCAGGTAATTTGCTTTGTGGATCATGTGCATTTGTCCTACTTCCTAAGATGCACTTATAAGGGAGGCTCTTTGAACTGAAAGAAAAAATGTGCATAAACATTTAAGATGTAATTCAATGCATATTGAGGAACTTGTTTAGCTCTTTGGTAGCTGTATTCTGTTGGGCTTCCCAAATTGGGAGCACTAGTTGATTATTTATCAGCTTTTGTGTAGCTGTGTTCTGTTGGGCCTCCTAACTTGAGAGATGTAGTTGATTATTTATATTCAGCAATGTAATATAGAATTCTGATGTTGTTTCATATTCCTTTGTTTAACACCTCTTGTTTTTTCTACCTAGAAGATATGCTGACCCCTCGTTTTATTTTTTTCTCTTCATCAGATTGTAAATCAGGAGCACAAGAAGCTTCCTGAAGACTTAGATTATCATTCAATGACAAACCTGTCACTTGAAGCTCGTGAGAAACTTTCAAAGGTGTGTGATCTTCTTCATGTTAAGAACCTTATATAGCAGATGACCTGTCAACATATATAAATGAAATGCATTATACGGTTCTCTATTTGTTGACACATGTTATCTACACCTCAGTCATCTGAGATAATTTGTTTTTAAAATGCTTTAGAATTCTCAATATATCAGCTGCTGAAGGTTCTGGTGATCATATCTTGCCTGAAATTGTGTCGTGCACACGTTATCTAAGTTTTACAATTTGGCAACTGAATATCATTCATGATCTGTAAGAAATTCAAGCTGCTAGATTTGCATTTAATACAACTAATTTTTTTCACCGTGCAATGCAATTTATATTATGTGGTATGTTTAGGTAAGGCCACAAACAATAGGCCAGGCTAGCAGAATTGGCGGGGTGAGCCCAGCTGATATGACTGTTCTTCTCATTTGGATGGAGAGCAACCGTCGCATGGCTAACTACAAGAGACAGCAAAGCACGTTGAGATCTGCTGCGACCAAGGCAGATGATTCTTCAGACGAAGTGGTTCATGCCAGTGCCACCAATGCATAATTGAGCGCCCCCCGACTATATCAACCAACTGAATTGGACCACTGGACTTTTCTGAGCCAAAAATGTGTACTCTCTGAAGATAATTTCCAGACGCCTGTGGAAGAGTTATACAGGACATGCATCAAGGCACCTTTTGCTACTTGAAGGAAGTTGGTGGTGGCCTCTGTCAGTTATGGTGTTTCTCCCCTACGACGCTGAATTGCTGATGTGGTTTTAGAATGTCGGATCGTATTGGTAGGATTTACTATATCTTTATAGTGGATAAGAATGTAAAGAGCGACAAAAATGAAAGTGGTAGAGCAGAGTAGCAATGTTTATGTATATATACATCTAATTCGCGAATGCAAGGGAGCAATGTCATTTACAGAGAAGTGAATGGTGTATGTAATCTGTAAACAGAATGAGTATAAAGAGGTTGCAGTATCACTGTGTCCTATCACAGAAGAGGTTGCAGTGTCTTTGTGTCAATTGACCATTGCTGAACTGAACAAAACGCTACTAGTTTGCAAGTGGAATGTGCAGAATGAGTAAAATGCTGGAACTTCTGAATAACAAACACATGGATACACTAAGTAATCAATTATACCATGAAATGAGCAAAGAGTCAGTAAATCACCTTTTCCAGTTCGCAAGCTTTATTTCAAATCAAATTGACAGGGTAAACACAAAACAGAACGTAAAACAGATTGAAGCTAGAATGAACAAGTCACTTAATGAGGCAAGTGTTATGTACAGAATAAATGAGTAACATCTGAAACTTCTCAATAATACATCATTAGTCTACTCTCTGTACTCAGCTTTCAGCAATTTAGCAAAGAGTCAGACAACAGTAAGAATATATGGTCTATCGATAACATTAACATCATAGGTAAGTTGGATATCAGTAAGAATCTATGGATAACACTAACTTTCTATCTACCACCGTCCACTGTAAGAACTGAATGCCTAAACCCCAAATTAAACCAATTACTCTACAAAAAGAATCCCAGCACTGTCCTCATTCAGGACAGCAACCAAAAAATTCTCCTTTGTGCATGCAACAAGCTGTTGAACCTTTGATCATCTATCACACACTTCTGTGTAAAACCCATTTCTCGGCAGTCAGTGGACCCGGGCACCTCGGGTTCTGATGCTTGTGTACTTTTGCACATTTTCCTGGGAGAAGCTGACGATCTGGTGCAGCACAGGGACCAACCCGACTGGTAGAGTAGCTGAAGCTGCAAGATGGGCATGTTTTACAATCTCATCATGCTTGGTCTTCTCCTCATCCTTCTTTCTACTCATCTTCTCTAGCTCGATTACACGGTTGTCATGGCTGTGGTGAGTGTTCTCCATGACTGCAACCATATCAAGACTGGTACTCAACCCAAGTTCCCTCTGCAGAACTTTGCGCCTTTTGTTATAATCTCGGGAAGCATGATCAGCTTTTCGTTTCTGCCTGTGCTCCTTTTCCTGGGTCTTCTTGTACTCATGCACAAGCTTGGAGAATTGGTCAATTGTCTTCAACACTTCATTCTTGGAAACCATCTCAATCACTTGGAGCCAATCATTTGATATGACAAACACAGGCGGGGCGCCTAGCTTGCCTGGGGAGAAAGGCGGGGCGCCATCCGGTGTGTTTTCCTCCTGCACCTCAGGCTCAGTGAGCCATTTCCTCAGCCATCCGTTCAGTGCTTCAGCATAAGACCTCTGTGAGCTGATCCACTTGTTGAAGCAGCGGTACCATTTTGCAAGCTCCCTCTCTAATTCTACTGTGGCTACTGCAGCAGCATTGGATTGGCTAATGGTCACTGCCTTGATCAGGTGCATTTTGCTGTCCTGAATGGCCGATAGCTGCTTCTCGTGACACAATAGAACAGCTTTCCACATTCTTCTCAATCTGCACTCAAGACAACAAATTGTATTCATTAGATGAAACTGTCATCAGGGTGAAGTGTTGAAGAATAGTAGTACAATTAGAAATCATGAAGTTTCATACCCAATGATGAGATCAACGAGTTGAGGATATAGCTCTTCATCTCGAATATTCTGTATCTTCGATGAGAAGGCATTGGCTGTTCTAATATTGATGGTAATCCTGGATTGCAAGTTCCTTACTGATAACCTGGTGGCGTCGATCGTAGTTGAATCTAATCCTCGTTCGTCCAGAGATTTTAGCCTCCTGTACTTCTTTTCATAAAGAATCCTCAGCTTCTCTTCATCCTAGAACAACCACCTAACCATCAAACACGTGTTCGGCGGTAAATCATATAGCATATGAATTAACACCTATGCTTTGTTCTATGATGCGATAACTGGTGCAGAGATTATGTGTGTACCTTAATCTCCTGGTAAAGCTTCTTTTCCCAAGCACATAGCTTCTCCAGAGTTGATGAGAGACTTCCAGCACTGTTTCTTCTACCAGCTACTGATGGATTTGATGAAGTGCTGGCCTTTCCGCTCAATGTTCTTGACTTTCTACGTGGCTTCGGCAGGCACGAAGATGAAGGCACGGTCAGAGATAGAGGATCCATCACTCTGGAAGACAAATCTGCAGAGACAACACGAGAAAATCTATAAATGCTCTAGCACACATTACCTAGTTGCATCAAAATGATACTGGTAGCTAGTAAGAAACACAATGCAAATGCATTACCCACATCTAAGAACTCGGGGCGTGGAACTCTGGGGGGGAACCTTCCCCACCTCAAGAAGCTTGGAAACTTCTTCGCCGCAGTTCAGCGCCTCATCGAACCTCTCCTTGATCTCGTCCATGGCCTCCATGACACTCCTGTTCCCCTGGTGAAGCGGCGAGAACGACTCACTGCTCACAGCAGTCGACTGCACAGACTTGCCACTCCCACCTTCCCCCTGAGCAGCAGCAATCGGTTGCTCAATGCCATCGAAGGCTATACCTTTCTTCTTGCTGGTGGAGCTGCCATTGTTGTCACCACTACCACTGCCCTTCAAGCTGGCATTCTCTGGCTCGCCATTGCCACCGGATCCCTTCCTCTGCAGCAGCTTCCCATCAGAAGCCTCCCCCTTCGAGCTGACGTCTGAAGAAATTGGTCTCTTCCCTTTCCCACCTTGATCAGCAACGACGGAGGTTGATGGTTTGGATGCCTTCGCCTTCGCCTCCGCCGCCTCGAGCTCCGCCTCGTCCTCCAGCTCCGGGATCCCCTCCACCCTCCTCAGCTCCGAGTAATTCGGGCTATTGGAAGGCAAGTTGCCGCCGTCGTGGCCCTTGTAATCCTCTATGAATTGATCGTAGGAGGTGAAGGGGTCGAAGAAGTCCCACGCCGCGACCTCCGCGGTTGGCGGCGGCGTCGCCGTCTCCGGCCTCTCCTCCGCAACCACCTCGCCGTAGGGCCCGTACGAATACGTGTACCCGTAGCCACCGTAGCCACCATAGCTGGCCTCGCCATTGGGGTCCTCGTACACCGTGGTGGGCACGGTGGGAGAGTTCCTCATGTAGTGGTAGTGATACCTCGTCGATGACGCGGCGGCGGCGGTGGCGTGTTTGGCGGCGCCGTGCGCGTCCAGGTCCTCGTCGGAGAGGGTGTGCGAGAGAGGCGAGACGGTGGAGGACGAGGACGGCGACGGCGGGAGGCTCGACCTGGCCGCGGCGGCCGAGGCGTCGACCGGCTTCGCCGGGGACGGCGGGAGGGTGAGCACCGGGGAGGAACCGGACGGCGGGGTGCCCGGCGCGAGCGCGGCCGCCGCAAACCGCCGCAGCGCGCCCCCGACGGCGGCGAGCGAGCGGAAGTACGCGGCGTGCGCGGACGCCAGCGCGTAGCGCCGGTCGGCCGCGGCGCGGATCAGCGCCGCGCGCTCGCGGCACAGCGCGGCCGGGTCGGCCTGCGCCCGCCGCGGCCGCTCCAACGAAGACGACGACGCCCGCGCCCGCGCCCTCGCTGCGGCGAACGCGTCGTGCGAGGTGGTGCAGCCCATGCGTCGAACACCCTACCTGCAGCAGCAGCTGCAGGCGCGGCGCGTGAGCGGGTCGGTGCTGTGCTCCGGCGGCTCGTCGGCGTCCATTACATACACACACACACTCGGACGCCGCCGGCGAGGCGGACTCCGACTCCGACTCCTCGTCGGCACCGGAAATTGGCGGCGGAATTGGGAGAGGAGGAGGAGGCGCCGCGAGCGAGAATGGAAAGAGTAGTTGAACCTTTTTTTTTTTCTCTCCCTTGGTTTTCATGTTTTATGTTCATCTCCTTTCGCTTTCACCCCCTTGTGTTTCATTTAATTTAGGGTTGACCACTGAGATTTCTTTCATACGGAGTATTTCTTGTATAAGTATAAATGCTCGCAAAGTACTGAAATTGCCCAGATTGCACCGACAAAATTTGATGAAATAGTTTGATTAGGGAAATATGGATTTGAAAAATATACGAAATTGATTGTGCATGTTCCAAGCTGCATAGAGATACTAGTAGGGTTAGTAATTAATCAAAGTGATACTATTTGGAGGCTATATCGACGTTCAAAAGAACATACATTAAATGATCGGCGAGAGTAAAAGGGTTGCCTTTACATATTAGGACATGTTTGGAATGTGGTTAGCCCTCTATCAATTGGAATGATACAAGACAAATACTCCCTCCGTTTCGAAATGTTTGACACCGTTAACTTTTTAGCACATGTTTGACCGTTCGTCTTATTCAAAAACTTTTATGAAATATGTAAAATTATATGCCTACATAAAAATATATTTAACGATGAATCAAATGATAGGAAAAGAATTAATAATTACTTAGATTTTTTTGAATAAGACGAGCGGTCAAACATATGCTAAAAAGTCAACGGCGTCAAACATTTCGAAACGGAGGGAGTACGTAGTAGCAAAATTTTGTGTAATAGTTGCATGGTAATCTTTTGATGCTCATAAATTGATATCATGAAAAGTTTTCCACCGTATCATGTGTTTAGGCACGTTGTTTTTATTTTTAAACACTGCCGTATACACCTTCTTCTCGAATCTTAACTTGTGACTAACGAATCGATAACCCCACTTACGCAAAAAAAAAGCTAATAAGTATAAGCATAGCTTAAAAAAAAGACATGACACTTCGCAACCACCGTTTTGATTACAAACATTTGGTTCCATGGCTTGTCCAATGTGTCCAAGTTTTAGCAGAATGTGGTAGTGAAACAAGAGTAGTATACATTTTTGCCTGGAAAAATACATTTTATGTTAGTACATCTCTAATGTGTTTCAAAAAAAAAGTAGTATTTTTTAGATATATATAAAACTATAAAAGTGAGGGCCCTTTTTAAGGTTACATAACAATGGGAGGATGCATATGCAAAATTTATTGTAGCAGGTGTACTTTTTTTTCCTTCCGCGATCGATCGATCACTCGCATGGACGCGGAAACCTCAAGATTTTCGTGTACGCCGCCGCCGAAATCAACAGCGAAAATTACGCAATTTCTTCCATCCATTGGACCAGGCTGCGTCGTCTAGATGCTGCAGTACGTGTGTTCTTGCTTTTCAGACATGTTCTTCGAAACAGATTTGAACTCCTCTTCAAAAACAGATGGAGAATTTCAGAGCCAATTCTTCGTCGTCCTTGCTTTGAAACGAAGGAACAATTCATGGCAAAGGTGTTTTGACTCCTCTCTCGTTCTTGCTCGTGTTGACAACTTAGTATAACAGCTATGCCTACACCTAGTTAGTGCTAATTAAACATTATTAAATCTTTAACGGTTTAGAACAACTGTGCTACAACAAGGTATAAAAAATAAATGCGATGTCTTCTGTATAAACCTCCAAATGGATCTAGTTTGTCCAGGTCAGACAAGTTCAGTCAACAGATTAGAGGCCAAACAAGCCACATCAAGAAGTAGAAACTCAACATATGAAAGGTATATATGAACAATATAGAATTCGTTACGCGAGAAAAAAAAGAGAGCTAATCAATCGAAGTGAATTACTGAGAAGACTTTGACGCATGATCTGAAGTCATCTCTCCTTCGATCGATCTGTTAGTGAGTTGAACCTGACATCAGTTGGAGTAATAATCAAGAACAATTGGACATACTAAAAAGGAAATAAGATTTGGTGTTAGTTGTGCTGCTGATGACGATAATGGGAATTAAAGCTTGCCTACACCTACTGCTATTCTTAAGAACAAGAACAAGAAGTGCAATCCCTTCATTTTTTGGGAAGAAAATGGAAAACGAGAAAAATGATATATAAAAAAAGGCATACACTTGTTAAATAAATTATGAGGGCATTGCCTCAATTTTGCTGGTATATACTGTACTATATACTACTACTAGTAGTAGTACTTATTAAAGTTTTTGTTAATTGACATGTCCTAGTATTATTGATTTGTACGGACTTGAAAAATCCGTAGCAAGAAAAGGATATGGGATCTCTTAAAAGGTATGAGGTTGATATGGTATCCCTTGTGGCACACTGTGCTTTGCTTGTTACCTGAGTGTGTTTTTATTATTATTCTTTTTAATAAAGGAAGTACTCTTCCTATTTCGTATTATAAGTCATTTTTACTTTTTCTAAGATTGTGTTCTTTTCTTGTTTCACTTTTGTAACTTCCTCATTTATTATAAGCATGCTCACTAAACTATTAAATGGAATGTCATTAACTTTTTATATAAAAGTTTCTTTAAAAGACAAATAAATTTATTTTAAGTTTATAAAAAATCAATAATTAATTGATCATACGCTAATTGATTGCTCCAGTTTCCATGCAACTTAATAGCTCAGTTGTTTTGCAACAGCTAACGCAGCCTCTAAGTCAAATTTTTATAAGTTTGACTAAGTTTGTAGAGGAATATAACAACTCTATAGTACTCCCTTCATTTCATAATGTAAGGCTTTCTAGCATTGTGTACATTCATATAGATGAATCTAGACACACACATATATGTCCAGATTTATGAAAATCTATATGAATGTGAGCAATGTTAGAAAGTTTTACATTGTGAAACGGAGGAAGTATGAAATTAGTTTCCTTAAACTTAAATATATTTTGATAATATATTTGTTTGGTGTTGAAAATAGTGTTATATCTTTTATAAATTTGATGAAACTTAAAATAAGTTTAACTAAAAAAAATCAAAATGTCTTATAATATTATAAAATAAAAGGTATGTATTACTTTGGACCTATACGTTAAATATGTACGCAACTATATTTACGTGCATTAGGATTTAAACTCCAATAAATCACACAACCACAATTAATCTACTACTACCACACGCTTTTACGATTGTAGCCATAGGATTAAGACTTAAGAGGATCAGAGAATCGTCCTGGTGTGAAGGGCAGTGCTCCATCGATCGCCATCGTCTCACGCTCATGCAACGCAAAAGCAAGTACACGGCGACGGGGTATGCATCGCACAAAACACACGTCGGTGTACACGTACGGCAGCTAGCAGTGTGTGGAATCCAGCCAAAAAGGGCACCCATCAGAACCAGATCGATATATAAGATCATCCAACGAATTACTGCACGACAGCCCAGCTCTATCTGACGATCGATTGACCAAATGGAAAAAGGCTAGATAGTGCGATTATATATGCGGCGCCGGCGTCGGCTTGCTTCACCATTAATTAGTTAGTACTCCCCCTGATTCACAATGTAAAATTTTCTAACATTGACCACATACATATAAATATTAATAAATCTAGACATAAACATATATCTAGATTCATTAACATCTAAATGAATATTAGCAATGCTAAAAAGTCTTACATTGTGAAACAGAGGAAGCAGTACTACTATATCAGTTGTAAATTGTACTTCATCTGTACCACTTTAAATGCAATTATAAGTTTTTATATCCAACGTTTGACCATCCTCCTTATTTAAAAATTTATAAAAAAATAAAAATAATAAGTCAAGCATAGATTATTATTCATGTTTTATCAGATATTAAATAAGAAAATTTTAAATAAGATGGATGATCAAACATTGGAGAAAAAAACTCATAATTGCACCATGAATGGAGTATTTTAAAACATGTCATGCAATTGTAGGACCATTAATTTCGATCAAATTAAACCCAAATCTCAAGTCGACCAGCCTTCGTGCGGATCCTATCCTTTATTGGTACTCCCTCCGTTTTTTCTTTAAAAAAACTCAACCTCCCTTTCTAGGTTAAGTTTTTTGGGACGGAGGGGTAGATGTGATGGATGCATGGTGGCCTACCTGTCAAACTCAAAACTAATTACCCCAGGTCCAAGTGACATCACACATGTAGGGATTATGCATTTCCAAAATAACTTAATCTTTTATGCAACCCACACACCAATAGAAAATAATAATAAAAACTATAATACCTTCCACTTTATCAAATCTTAATATAATTGTCTCTCAGTTGATTACCCCTTCCACTATAATTATCCTACTTTTTAAAACTCCATAAACAATAAAATGACTACTTAAAGATGATCTTGTTTTGGACAAATAAAAGGAAAAAAAAACAATCTTATTTCTGACGGAGGGAGTACATATGCTGGCTGTTATTGGCCTTAATTGGTGTCTCATCAGTTAGAGAGTTAGGTCACCAACCCACAAGTTTCTTTTTGGCTCGGGGCCTATATGTCTCTTTTTTTGTGTGTTTGTGTTGTTATTAATCATCTCAATCACACAATCCCTAAATGGCTCGCTTGTCTGCTTCAGATCATCAAATCTGATCAATTGTCAGTTAATCCCACTTAATCATATGAATCAATCACTCGGTCTCTCAAGTCTTCTATATTTGAAGAACAAATTGCTAATCAGTCTCGATCTCTCAATTATCATGGAAAAACGGACAAAACGTCATCGAATATCACTCTAAAATAATACTCCATTAGTTTCAGTTCATATTATAAGTCATGTTAGGTTTGTCTTAAGTCAAACCTCTTTAGGTTTAACCAAGTTTTTAAAAAATAACTAAATACACTATACAAATTTGATCAATCCTATAATTAATTGTTTCTACATTTTCTTATAAATTTGGTTAAACTTGAAGAGTTTTAAATTAGGGTAAATCTAAAGTGACTTTTAATAAAACGGAGGAGGGAGTAGAAAACATCACGGTATGTTATTGAAAAAAAAATTAGGAAATGATCTAATATCAAATAAACAGAAGATGTGATGCTTCAAACTTAGGCAGCTACCTCACCATCTTGTGGAGCTAGATGGAAGACCCTCGAGCGTTTCTCAATGTGTTCTTGAAACAGCCGTGCAAATCCAAAATTGGTAGTATATATATAACACATACCAGAAAATCCAGTCCAGCAATTTGCATTATTGACACATTTGATCTACTATCACCATCGATCGATCAAGACATGAATTCAATACACGTAGCGACTATATTAATTAACGGATAACTAATGATCAATGTGTTTTTTTTTTGTATAGGTGTGACTGATAGATGTACCGGTTGTTTATTTGATGAGTAGTTCACTGATAATGAAGTGAACTACTCCCAGATTGTGTTGGGTGATGGTTAGGAGTAATCCCTGCTCAACTATCGTACAAGTACAGTACTAATGTACTATCTACCCCTCAGTCCGGCTGGATCTCGATCGACTGATATACAGCTTGAAAGTGAGTGCACATTATACACGTATGATCAAATAATTAATTTCATGCTACTCATTCTGATTAGGCTATTAGGATATATATCTAGTACAACATAAATCAAGTTAAAGAAATAAACACGTGTACAATATTTAAGCCCAGCGAAATTCGATCGACACACAGGTGATCGGTCGTTGATTTTGAAAGATTGTATTTTTTTTTAAGACAAGGAGTACATACAACTTATAAACCACTCTTGGAAGAAACAATGGTTATGCATATTATTGCCAACCATAATTAAAGGTTTAGCAATAGATCTTATCTCTGTCTTTAAGGAGTAATTAAGTTGTTATTTTGTAGTTTGCAGTCGTCTATCTTGCAATATTTGTATAATTAGTTGTAACTTCTAAGCAAAAGGCGGAATAAATTATATATTATCATACGTTACTTCCGACATGCGCAAAACAGAGCATCATATATGCAATCGAAGATTAGCTATCACGGTGTTTCTGTGTTGGTGCACGTGAAGCTGTGGAGCTGGATTAGTGATGCTTAATGATGCAGGCCAACTCCGTCGCAATGATATGGAACACAAGTTAATAATTTGGTCTACTCTGGCTAGTTAGGAAGGAATAATTATTGTGGATTTCGAAAAAGAATGGTTTAAGGCTTCCTGTTTGAATTTAAAAAAATGCTAAATATGAGATATATGCATATCAAAATAGAGGGGGTGAGATCTGAACCTAGGAGCTCATTAGTTGTCCATATTCCCTGAAAAGTCAAAACGGTTTATTAGAGAATAAAAATTAATTTGTAAGTAAAATTTTTATATATTTGTTTGTTGCGACTTGAAGACCAATGTTAAAAAAATACGTTAAAAATATCTTAAAATTAATTTTAAAATTAAATTTGAAAATTCAAATTTTAACTTCTGCTTTGGCTTATTAGGACCGATGGGGATCGGCTATCTCACACCTTATGGTTTTAGCCGGAAGAACCCCACCCCGAGCCTTTTCTCACTCTAATTGAATCAAACTTGGTCTAGCTAGAGTTTGCCAGTGAATTAGGCTAGTTCGTGCTTCTCTAATTTTTCCTCAAATATATCTGGTGGTTACAGAGTTTCTTCGCAGGCCAAAGAGCCAATGACGAAGAAGTCAAGCATTATCGCATCATAACTGCATCTACGTGGATCCAACTGCCTATACTAGCTAGTTGACCTTAACAATATTAGCCTTTGACTTTATATTTTAACTTTACATCGACGAGTCTGACTTTTTTTAAAAAGAAATTTTCTCGAACGGATTATAATTATAGTTATCTAGGAGCAAATAATTAGTATTGTCAATCCAGGAATAAAGAAAATTATAAAATGGTCAGCCATTTATAGAGTCAACTAAGTTAAGTATTTAACCGATCAAAAAGTTTAGATTATTTTGTTTTCACTTTCTACTTATAATACTAGGACCCAATTTAAAACATGATAATTGAACTGAACCTATTTGCTGGGGAGCTCCTACTTGTTGGGCTCTTTCTTGTTTATCTGCCCAAAGCTAGCTAGCAACTCCTACAAAAAGGATGGCCCTTGTGTGGCGTTTAGCTAGTTCTAGACTCTTGGCATGTGGCAGTTTGGGACCAATAAGATATAATTACTGCTTGAAAATCACTGGAGTAAGTTGCAAGTTAACGCGGTTAATTCTATACCTCAAGTATTAAAAAAAAAACTACTAGTAGTTGTAGAACAGTAGAAGTGGATCGAAGACACACGGCATGAGCATGACTTGACCAGCGGTTGGTTTGTGGCTGGCTGTACATGTGTGTACGTTGCTGGCTTAGTTAGTTAGCAACTTGAACCACTAATCACGACGATTTGTAGCTGACAAAGATTATCATCGGCAATTGCATCTTGGCATTTTGGGAACGAGTCGTAGTGTCATTGTGTGTTTTCTCTCGCTGTAGTGAACAAACCAGATAACTTAATCACTGTGCGGGGATAGCTCAGTTGGGAGAGCGTCAGACTGAAGATCTGAAGGTCGCGTGTTCGATCCACGCTCACCGCATTTGAATTTTTAATGTCTTTTGCCATCTATCTGTTTTTTTCCCCATTTCTGTCACTAATGTAAATTTCAGTTCACCGGATTTGAATTCGCCGTTCTTTCCACCACTAGCGTGTTTGGAATTCACCGCTATCTTGTTCGTCATCGTCGTCGACGGCGTGGCTGACCGGTGAACAGACCAGTCCCAGCGGCCAAACACGTGAATTCTCCAGCGTATTTCCGCGCTTCTTCTTCGCTATTGAATCTCTCTCTATCTCTCGTCACGATGAGCTCATGCCCATGACGGCATGATGGTTGAATGGTTGATCGGCCGTTGCTGGGCTCAATCTGCTGCTCCTGTTTGGGCTTGGTTATAAGTCCAGTTGCTACATATGCCTGAACAAGGGTTCGAAACTTCGAATACAAAACTCATTGTTTTCACACATAATTTCCTCTCATAATAAAGAGTACAGTAAGACGAAGCACATTCATGTCAGGTCTGGGCTGTTTGTTATCTCAAAGCTAGCACAGGTTTCAGGTTAGATAGACATATAATCTTGTGACAAACATATGCACTTAGGAACAATCTGTTTTCTCTACAAACTCAAGTCACAGCGATCTTCAGTCTAACCACTAGTGATGAACTGATGGCTGACATTACACTACATCAAATTGTATCAAGAACCAGGAAGTCTATCAATGTGGGTGAAACCTGCTACTACCTTTACCAGATGGAAACATCGTCTTACAGAGTACAGGAACTGAGACAAATGGTCAGATGAAGACTGCTCAAAACGAGGCATAAAATGGAAGCTATCCCATGAACCCACTGATACCAAGCTTGTCTGCAACGTTGTACATCACTAGATCGTTCCACCCTGGCCCAAATAATCGCTCGCCACCAATTATAAATGTTGTGGCCCAGGTGAGTAGAACCACCGAGAAAATGGTAAAGCCAATTGCTGACCGGACAACATCTGCAAAAGAAGCTAAAATGTGTAAGAAAAATGTAGACCACACGGTTACCACGAAGTTCCATAACATCTTATGCTAGTCAGGATAACATATGCAGTAGAAAAACTTGCAAGACATGGAAAACTCAAGAGATGAAAAGACATATGCTCCTCATCTTGGCAAGGGTTTGGGATAACGCTGTATTTCATTTACAGGTTGCAGGGTTCAGAAATTACCCCAAGGCTATGGCATTTGACTAAACCAAAACAATCACTTTGAAACATTGTGATACTGGATACCCAATTAGTTGAGGCATTTTATCCCTTATTGTCTGAAAGGGAATCATCGAATTTCTAGTCTGCATGCCTCATCAACAAATGAATACTATGACTACAAAAAGAAAATATATCTATAACCTCTAGAAGTGTAAGAAAGCAAATGCCAGCACAGAGAAACTGATAGAATTATCTCTTCTCGCTACAAAGTATGTGATAGTAATAGTATCATGGTGAAATATCTCATCTTTACTGCTAGCATCTGGAATAACCCAGCAATGCCACTGAAAAGTTACTTCAAAGTCTGTTGAAGTTGGTCCAGATTAAGATGCCACAAAATTCTCATTACTATATAATCCTTTTTCTTTACTCTAGTTTAAAAAATTAGCTAAAAATTTCTGCAAACTGGTAATGTGATGAACGACATGATGATCGCACAAGAATGATGCTGCTATTTCAAGCAATCCCCGATTTCAAAGCATTGCACATTTGCACTATCACGACCTAATTAGTTTACTACAAACTGGACAGATTTTGATTAAATGTTGATGCTCCAACTTGTTTTCCTAAGTGTCAAGATGAAGCAAATGTTTCCCTAGATTAAATTACAGCAACATTAGATTTCAAGGATCGCAGATTGTTCCTTTGGTGTATCTTGTCTTTACTGACTTTGATCAGTGAGCTTTAATCCTAAATTCAATTACCAAGTACACACACTGCTCAGATTTATAGGCATCAACAGCTTACAACAGAGTGACGTTTATTCTGGTGTACAAGAAATTCTTTTAATGCCAACCAAATAATTGAAGGTCAAAAGAGAGCCTAGTGGTCAGATTCATTAGATGAATAATAATAACTAACTAACTAAAATGGTTCAAAACCCCCTTCTCAGAGTGGAAATAACCATATCCTATCAGTATATTCTAACCAAGATAGGGAGTAGCAGACACCGAATGTGCCCCAAAACAACTACAACAAATCATTAACATGACCAAGTCGATCTTTAGTAATCAGTTGCCACTAACAAGTAGGGAGCAACACCCTCCAAGGCTCCGTTAGCAGCCTCTGATTATAGCACTAAATTCTACACCAATCAAGATCGTACGGAGAGTCTTAAGACCAGCTAATTTCTGAAGAATCGCTAAATTACAGAGTAGCACTCCCATGTTTGCACAAAATTAGATACAATGGCAATATATCAGTTAACAGCTTCTGATTAATAAATAATAAGGACTTCATTGCATCACAGATTCACAAGATGGGTTACTACAAAACCTACGAGACGACCTAGATAGATCCAAGAGCAACTCAAACCACGCAAACGAAATCGCACAGGTGATAGATGATGAGATCTTAGGAGGCGGCGGCTCACAGGGGCGGATTCGGGAGAAGGCGGCGGAAGAGGGGAAGGTCGCCGGCGAGCGGAGGACGGGCCAGAAGTAGCAGCAGTTGATGGCCCAGAGGAAGGGGAGGCAGGCGAACCCCCAGAGGAAGAAGCGGCGAGCGTGGCCCTCCGCCTCCTCCAGCGGCAGCCCCAGGGGCCCGTCCACGGTGGCCCAGACTGGAGGCGGAGGCGCGCGGCGCGCGGCGGCGACGGATGGGCGGCGGCCGGCGGCGGACGGGCGGGGGAGGAGGCCGGATTCCTCGTCTTCGGGCACTCCGGCAACCCTTGCCTCCATCACTGTTTTTCCTCTTTTCTCCCCTTCCGCGCTACTTCTCTCCTTTTTGTTTGTGTGCCCCTCTAAATCTAAATCTACTGTACATCGTAATCGTAATCATAAAAATCTATAGGGAGTATAATTTTAAATTAAACGTCACATAAACTTAAAAATCTTTCAAATTAATTTTACCCTGCTTGGTATTTTGTATTGTACGCGTACTGAAGAACCCCATTTCATACTAGAAGACGCTTTGACTTTTTTTTCTAAATCAAATTTCGTTTGACCAAATTTATAAAAATGAGAGTAATTTTCACTTAACCCTATGTATTGTGGTCTAAATTGCACAAATCATATAGATTTTAGCATGTGCCACTTAACCCTCAGTATTATAGCTATAAAGTTTCATAAAACAACACTATCGATCATTTTGATTTTGATATTACAGGCTTTTGAGTTCTTCAATCACATCTTAAATTTATGAGTTTTTTTATTTATCATATAATACATGCTTGTAAGTAAAGCCTTTTAAAATTTTGATATAGGAGTATGTAAATTGATTAAGGTGTGGTTTTATGAAACTTCAGGACTATAATACCCGAGGTTATGTCCATCTGCTAAAATCCATATGGTATTGTATAACTTGAACCAGAATAGGTGAGTTTATGAAATTTACTACAAAGAAAACCTAGAAATCTATCACATCAAATTAATTTCACAATCCATCATTAAATACACTTTTATGACATATTTGTTTTGTGTTAAAAAACGTTGTTGCGCTTTTTTATAAACTTAGTTAAAGTTAATTAAAAATAAGTTCAAACGCCTTATAATATGAAACGGAGAGTATTAATTAACCCAACAAAGAAATGGTTGGTTGTGCACGTGGATGAAAATTCACTTGATTATACTCCGGGTTCCGCTGGATCAAAAAGGAAATTTCGTGCGAGTCTTAAGAGATTCAAATATTTATAAATTCCCCCTGCATGACTGTTTGAAAAGCATAAGGTTTTATGGTTGGAAAAATTATATGAATTGCTTTCGTTTAACGTATTTCAATAGAAAGAACATGTATGATCTCAACTGTCATTTCATTATTATTTTTCCTTCTAACAAATCTAATGCATCATTCATTTTACCCTCTACTTCTATCTTATTTTACTTCGAGCCAGCAAATCCCTGTGTTTCTTGTGAACCATCCATACATATTTCAAATTTTCATGGGATTAACTCGTAAAAATAACATGCGTTCCAAAAGAGCTTCATAACAAAACAAGGTGGTAATAACATGTGATTAATTAAGTTTTAATTATTACAAATTTAAAAACTAGATTAATCTAATATTTTAGAACAACTTTCGTATAGAAAGTTTTCGCACGAAACACACCGTTTAACAGTTTGAAAAGCGTGCCACGAATATCAAAAAAAAAATATCCTCTCTTCCTAGAGGATTCAAACGGGGCCTAGTGATGGATTTGTGCGTACAGAAGAAGTATGTTCATTAGAGTTTAAATTCTGATATCCGCAGTTACACGTACAATGAGTATTCTTTCAGTAGAACTTTTAGTTATTTCATGCATTACGAACGTGTTTAAAAGAGACGTTCTCATGGGTATGTGCATCCGTTAGCCTATTCTATATCAGTATATCTCTAACATTTTTTTTTTGAAGCTTACAGAATACGATCAGATGGCACGATAATTAGCCATCTCAAAAAATGAATCTGAATAGCTCTGAATATCATCACTTAACTTTTGTTAAATTTTTCAGTTCAGTATAATTAATTTAGATGCGGAGCAACAGGCAACAGCAAATCGCCTCATATTGACATCTATATACAACACATTGTCATATATCACGAACCGACTGAAAACATCTGCAGATTAATCGTCGGAAGAACCGAAATAGGGGAAGAATCTGCAATGCAGGGAAGAAAACAACTGAAAAAACGCTAGTCTGGCAGGCCAAGGACCGATCTCCCACCCGATTGCTGAGCTAGCTTGAACGCAACCTTCGATCCTGTGCATATCATATTCTCTCGTAGTCGAGTTTATCCGACTGTAAAAATAGTGTTAAGATTAAGTGGTCAAATGATGGTACATTCTGCATTTTGGCAATGCTGCATGTGTGATGGACTTAGAGATACTGTAATTACCTTGATGAGCATGTAAGTTGGCAGCCATGCCGGTGGAGTTGGGATTCCAACCCAAGCGATCTGTCCAAACATATGAATGAGATTCAGAAGTCCAAATCTACAAAATATACAGAAGAAATGAAGTGGCAGGTGACTCACCAGGGCATACTCCCCTGTTTCAAAGATTCTGATGTCCAAAACCTGCACGGTAATGACGAACAAGATTATGACCGTAGCTAGAACGAAGATGTTCTTACTGCTAGGTTTAATTAGCTGAAATTAACTTCAGGTTCAGTAAGATGGGCTAAATAATTACCTCGCCACGGTCCTCGTATATGTAGTCTAGCCCCTTGAAGAAAGGCGGGTGTCCAACTGACAGATACTGAATCAATGAAACAAATTTTTAAAAAAAATCATGTGCAGGGGAGGAAATCATAGACTGAAATTACAGCACAAAGAGTAGAAATGAATGAAGCATCTATGCAGTAGCATCGATCAGTGTGCTTACGTTGATGCTGTTCAAGTACTTCTCCTTGTCGACGCGCACAATCTGGCCCTTCTTCACTGTGGCGCATCATCAACCAAATCAATTGGATGAAAATAAATGGATTGGTTAATCAAGTATAAACAAAAAAACAAACAAGAAGCTAAATGGCTTTGATGCTTGTTCAGAACTCAGAGCTGAAATGCAAAGTTGCAAAGCGTATTCATTACTCGAGTAGACAGGTTTCTTCTTGAGGATCTTCTTCGGCGCCGGCGCAGCCGCCTGGCCGTCTCCCGCCGCCGCCGCGGCGCCGCCGGTGGCGGGCTTTTTCTCCTCCCCGGCCGGCTCGGCGGCGGCGGCGGCCGCCTTGACAGGAGAAGCAACACGTCTCCTCCTCCTGGCTGACGCCGGCCAGCACGCGGTTGGCGTGACGGAGAAGAGAGCGCGCGGCGAGGAGAGGAGAGCTTCCATGGCGAGAAGCTTAGCTTTGGCAATGGCAATGGCAAAAAGCAAAGTGACGAAGTGCACGTAAATATGTGCCACATGAATTGCACGCGGCAGATAAGGTGACCACTGGGCCTGAGCTAGCGCTCTCAGTTTTGGGCCAACTGTCACAAAGCTTCAGGCCCAGCTCACCTCATTTGGGTAAGGCCCATATATGATGATTATATTATATGAATGAATTAGCAAAAGAAAAGAGAGAGAGAGATAGACAGAAAAAATAAAGGAGAATTGGAGGAGTCAAGGTCATGGATCATGACACCGTCTTAGATTGTTGTATGCTCGACCTCAGCGAATGAGCGAGCAAATGAGGAATTCCGCTTTAGTTTTATGTCGCTATTTAGCTTGGAAAGAGTAAACAACAGCGGCAAGTGGAAGGGAGAAAAGCGTTGAGAGCAATGCAAAGCCTAGCTTAAGCTTAGGAGGACACCCCCCCCCCTTTTTTTTTTTTTTTGCAATGGTCATCTTCTACCTTTGCTTCTGCTGGTTTGTGGCACTTGTCGTAACATGCACAATTGACCGATGCCAAGGATCCTTCCTCCTCAAATGAATCCACCGCGTTTTCAACGTCCCCATCCATCCATGATCCATCCCATTTGACCTCTACTTTAGCAAAACATAGCAACCCTTCGAAAATATTCGATCAAACCGGCCCCACGCGTACCATTATTTTGTCTTGCGACGGTTGCGCTGGAAAAAAGCAAAAAAAAATCATGAATCTTCTTCCGCATGTCCAGGTAGTGAATGATCCGAGCATATCCTGGCCCCACATGTCAGTCTAACGAACACCCAGGCGACTCCTGCTTGGGTACGGCCTTTTGCCTTTCCCAGATGTATAACAACTGCCATGTGGAAACTGCCATTAATTATTATCTGTATGACATGTGGGGACCACCCGATGACCCTTCCTCCTACTCTGCCTCGCGTTTAAAAGGTCATCGCCTTTCAAGTCTCTCGCTGCGCCTGCGCGTTGCCGTCGAGTCCAACTACTCCATCTCACTGACAGATGGGCCATTCGCCCTCGCGCCACAATGCATGCGGCGGCGGCGGCGGCGACGGCGAGTCGCCGCCCTCGCCGCTGCCGTCTCGCTTCGAGCGGTTCCGCCGCCGCCTCCGCCTGCGCCACCGCGACCGCGCGGGGCGTCCCGGTGGCGACGCCCACGCCTCCGAGTCGGGGACGGGGAGGGCCATCGCCGTCGACGAGTTCGCCGGCATCGCGCGCATCCGGATAGTGAAGGTACGGGGCCGGGTTGGGTGTGTGTGCTTGCGGCTGCGAAGCGGAGGGGGGTGGAATTGGGGATCGGTGGTTTTGATTCATTCCGTCTGTGTACGCTGCTGCTGTGGTTTTGTACGCGTTGTTTTGATTTGGTTGGTGGCCACAGGCGGATATGCAGTTCAAGGACAAGTTCATCGCGTGCCTCTCGCTGGGCGAGCGCACGTACCGCACCGAGAAGTCTGACAAGTTGAGCATATTTTTCATCTAATATATTTCTTTTGTTGTGTTAGATTTTTCGCTTCATTTTCCCCATTTTTGAACATACTCGTGGTTTGTTCATTGTCGATGCAGTAGATTTTGAATATTATACTCTGATCAGCTTTTTTGCGTTAGCAAAATTTAAAAGCTTATAAAGTCCGTACGATTTGTGTTAACGAGGAATTAGTACAGGAAATTGGATTGATGCTTTTGCTATTGGAATCTGTTTAAATCCCAAACCTATTTACCAGGCCTTTATTGAAATTTAATTCCATGTTTAATTGCCAATTTTCCACCTGTAAAGCCACCTATCAAAAAGTCAGGTAGTCAAATTACTACAATAACTTCATCTTGTGAATTGACTTCCTTTTACTTCTGTTATCAAGTTTATCCTACATAGGTCCATATTTGGAATCTAACGCTATTTTCTTTTCCCTGTCTTTGCTTACATTTCAACAGTACTTCCACGCCCGTATGGAACTCTGTGAGTAAGCTGTTACCTTTTTGGTCCCCATGAAGCTGTATTGTGTTGTATCATACTGCTGCTCCACCAATGTAAACATTAGTTTGACAATGCTTACAAATGTGCAGGAAAAGAAGGTTGTGGTAGAAACAAATGGACCTCACATTGCACGCATATCTGTCTTTGAGGTATTTTGCCTTTGTGTTGGCCTTCGACTATAAATATGTGACTTAAGAAACTTGAATTGATAGCAAGTGTTCGTCAAACCAATGTCGCGCCTAATGATGTTAATTATTTTTCTTTTTGTAGACTAACCGATTCTCCAAGAATACTTTGGTTGGTTACTGTGAAGTTGATCTGTTTGAATTGCTCACTAAGGTACAGTGCCTTTCTATTCAGTTTGGTTCATAGATTCTTTTGAAAAAGTCATATTTTCTCTACATTTTAATAATTGAATGTTTTTTTGCACGAGAAAACCCTATGAACATGTTTTATTTAAGAATGTGGCACACTGTAAAATATCGTGATTCAAATCTATATGTATATCCCTATCATATCTGCCCTAATATGAGGATGGCTGGATGATGCAGTTAAGACTGGAGCTTAACAGAAATATGAGCAATACCTTCAAATTTCTAGAAATATTCACAACTTTGTATATAAATATTAATTTGACAAAAATAAATTCCATAACAGGATCTGGATGAACACTCTGAGGTCCTTTCTCTATTGGACCCATCATCATCAGCTACTATTGTGGGCAGCATATCCATCTCATGTTACATTGAAGTAATCACCTTTTCCCCCTTTATCTTGAGTGTGGCACTCACGGAACATCTTCCAAGTAGTAAAGCTGTTCTCCACTGTTTCTGTTGCAGGATCCCGTTGAAACAGAACAAAGTTTTGCACGCCGTGTCTTGGCTATAGTGGTACTTTCTCAATACTGATTAAACATTTGCTCTTTTCATATGTGAAATTCTGAATAATACCTGATAATCTTCTATTGAACTATAGAGCACACTAACGTTATTGTTTTCACGTTGTTTCGATTGATTGTGAATTTATAATGTTTGGATATAATGATTACTTCCCTGGTCATCTCATGGGCTGTTAGGCTATATGACCAACACTATTTTTCAAGAAGCATGTTGAATATGGCAGCTTGGATCATTTACCTTTTAGCGTCCCTGGTTGCTTTATTTACACTATTAGTTAGCCCTAATATTATTCTTGAAACACTCGTTAGTCACCTGCACATAATTTACATTATTTTCAAAACCCTTGCCTATCAATTTGCATTGCATGTGTTGCCTTCATTTCTTTGTATTCCAGTCTACAGAGCATAAATGTGCTATTTTTACAACAGGATTACAATGAAGATGGAGAGCTATCATTATCTGAATTCTCAGACCTGATGAAAGCTTTTGGTAATAAATTAGCAGTTGCAAAGGTATGACATATTTCCCATTCTTTTTTAATATTTTGTTCGTTGTAGTTGTAATCAGGTCTATCCGCAGTTCTCCCTAGTATATCATATTAGTTTCTCTCATATACCAGATTGAAGAGCTTTTCCGTCAAGCTGATAAAAATGGTGATGGTATAGTTGACATGGATGAACTGGCAGCCCTTCTAGCTAATCAACAAGAGAAGTAACTAACCCCTACCTTAGCATATTTAGTTTTGTTTCCAAAGTTAATCATTGTTTTAGCTCTAAAACGTAATGGTATAACTAGTTAATCTCTGTCCTCTTCTTCAGAGAACCACTTATCAGTAACTGTCCTGTCTGTGGTGAAATTCTTGGTAAACACGACAAAATAAATGATATGATACACATGACACTTTGTTTTGATGAGGGAACTGGTAATCAGATTATGACTGGAGGATTTCTAACAGATAAGCAAGCATCATATGGGTAAAGTTCTACACTTATCAACAACAATATTTTTCTGTTCTTTTGGAAACTTCATATGAAATTAGTAAGCTATATTCCAAGTCATACATCTTCCATGTGTAGGTGGATGTTTAAGCTTAGCGAATGGGCTCATTTTTCCTCGTATGATGTTGGTTTGCACTCGGGCTCTACTGCTTCTCATATCTTGGTATGTTTCAGCTAATCCATTAGTTAGATTAACTGCCATTCTCTATTTATGTGGGCTTATTAACAGAGCTTGTTCTGGTCCTTTTGGGTCTGCTTTAAGGTTTTTTCTCCTTAAAGTTGCATATTTTAATTGCTCTCCTTTCTTTCATTTACTCAATACATGGATTAGGTTTTCGACCGGCGAACTAAGAGACTAGTTGAAGAAGTTATAGACGGAAAGATTGTGTTGTCTATGAGAGCTTTATACCAATCAAAAGTAGGGCTAACTCTTATTGACACAGGTATGTTGGAATAAGAAGCAGAGCAGTTTGTCCCATATTTTCCCATTAGCCATTTATATACCTAGAATGCCAAAAAACATTACATTGTTCATTCAAATGTTCTGGATTTTCCCTCACTGGTACATACATGCAACACAAGTCATAATGCTTTATTTTCAAGAATGTTGGTTTATGAATCTAACTACCGTGGGCATTACAACTTTACAATGTCTCTAGAGTTTATGTTTAGCAGTTACCATTTTATGAACAAGAAGCTAACTGTTCTGTGAGCTAGAGTTCAGACTTGAACTTCTCCTGGGCTGCGTACTACACACTTGTTGAAATTCTTATGGTCCCTGCACCTTTGCTTGCATGCAGCTGGAAACAAGAAAGCAACAATTACTGCTAGTTTTTGAGAACCCATCCTTACACAAATGTTGACACAAGAGTGATGGTTTATTTTTATGAATAACTATATTATAATGTTCTGTGTTAACAAGCATTTCTTTTAATCTTTCTATGGATGGTCTTTATGATTACTTAATGTGTTAACCTATGTGGACTTCTCAATAGACGCTAATGCCAAAGAAAACATTTTACATTGATATGCCTGTGTTCTTTTGAATTTTTGCCATGCAGGTGTCAAAGATCTCTTGAAGAACCTATCTGAGAAGCAAGGAAAAAAGATGAGCTCACCTGAATCTGCCAAAGATATTCCAAAGTTCCTTGAGTTGT